AGGGTAAAGAGCATCCAACGTAAAGCGGCCTTTTATTCCCTTGTTTCGTCGTGGCACACCCCCACAAGCACCCCGGCTGGGGGACCAGAAAAGGCCTTTCGTTTTCCACCCTTCGTCGGCCCTTGCCGCCTTCCTTAACAAGCCCTCGAGCCTCCTTTGCGCCGCCTTCCTCGTAGAAGCCGCCGGGTTGACCCCGAAGGCCGAATTCTATGGTAGAGAACGCTGTAATAATAATTGGACCATGAAAGACTTTTTTAAGTATTGCAAAAGAAAGGGCTCTTGATAGAGCTGGACGGGAAGCAATAATAGTTCTCGAGTCGAGAGAGGCTGGCCCGTAAGCTGGCCCCTTAAAACCCATTACTTAATAAGGATTTGTTACGCGCGATATGCCGACGACTTACTACTGGGAATCGCGGGTGCCGTAGAGCTTCTCATAGAAATACAAAAACGTATCGCCCACTTCCTACAATCCGGCCTGAACCTTTGGGTAGACTCTGCAGGATCAACAACAATAGCGGCACGGAGTACGGTAGAATTCCTCGGTACGGTCATTCGGGAAGTCCTCCGAGGACGACTCCCATACAATTCTTGCGGGAGCTGGAAAAGCGTCTACGGGTAAAGCACCGTATCCATATAACCGCTTACCACCTACGCTCCGCCATCCATTCCAAGTTTAGGAACCTAGGTAATAGTAGTATCCCAATCAAACAGTGACGAAGGGGATGAGCGGAACAGGAGTCTACGGACGCGGTTCAACTGGTGGAGACTCTTGGAATAGCTGAGTCAAAAGTCCCCAAGTGAGCGTATTATGGGGACCGTCAAGCACATCCGGCAAGGATCAAGGGGATCCGTTGTTGCATAGCTCAGTCGAAGCAAGGTGCTATCGGACGTTCAACAAGCGATCTCACGATCGGGCACTCATGCCCGGAAGTTGTCATTGTATACTCCTGCAGTCGGAAGGCGGCAAAGGAAGGAGGGGACGCTGGCGAGATCTATCGCAGCGAATTTCCCATACAAATAGAGGCGCCTATCAAAAGATACTCCGAAGGCTTCGAGATCGAGGTCTCATTAGCCGAAGAAGACCCCGGCCAATCCACGTGGCTCGCTTGACGAACGTCGCCGACGGAGACATCGTAAATTGGTCCGCGGGCATCGCGATAAGTCCTCTGTCCTACTACAGTGCCGCGACAACCTTTACCAAGTCCGAACGATTGTCGACTACCGATCCGCTGGTCCGCAATATTCACCCCGGTCCACAAGCACAAATCCTCGGCGCGGAATATAATCCCCAAGTACTCCAAAGACTCAAATATAGTCAATCAAGAAGGCGGTAAGACCCTTGCGGAATTCCCCAACAGCATAGAGCTTGGGAAGCTCGGATCCGGTCAAGATCCGAACAACAAAGGAGCACTCCACTACTAGTCTAGTCTAATAGTTGTTTTTTCTATTAGTTGCAATGCGAACAGGCTTTTACTTATGAGATTAATTGAGTAGGCTTGCGTTAGTTGTCTGCTACAAGATAGCCGCTTTGGGGAAGCGTATCGAACGCCCGTCTATTCCCGCATTTGGGAACTTCGAATACAATTTGTGCGGAATAGAGATAAATTACAATAATACAAAGCGGCATTCCCCCTTGACAGGATCTTTCATTTCATTTTGGAATTCTCTTTCGCATTCTAGGCTTTGATACTGCTTCTTTCGTTCTTATGGTTAGGTTCAAACGGGAGATACGAGAATCTGTTTGGTTTCGGACGGAGAGTTGCTTCAACATTAGGTGTAGAGAGAGTTTTGCATAAGATAATAATCTTCCGCGTGCTATTACGGGCTTTTTTTATATGTTGTAGGGGTAGTCCTGAAAACCCCGTACCTAGTGGTATGATTTCATACATCTTCTTTTGTTATTGTAAGTTCGGAAGTCCTGTATCTATACAGGCTATTATTTCGATTTATCGATTTTCCTAGGCCTACCATTATCCCACATTCCTTGTCCACTTTTCATGCATTTAGGACTCTTTCTAAAGAAGAAGAAAGCTCCAACCTCCGTGCACCCGGAGAATAAGCAACTCGCTAGAAGGAAGAGTCTTGACGTAAGGAATAGAAGGAAGGTTCTTTGCGAGAGTAGTTTATCTCGGGAGTGAGGAAGATAAGATGAGTCTCTAACAACGGAGGCCAAAGTGTCCTCTCAAATTCAAGTGCGGCATTCATCGACCATGTACTAAAGAAGGTTGTTCTTGGTCTTTTTTCGTAGGCTTATTTTATGTAAGCGGAAGTCTGTTAAAGCGCACCTCTGGAGGCATTTAAGTTAAGGCTCAGTCAAAACTCTCGCTAAAAAGGCGTAAGAAGGCTTTCCATTCGAAGGAATCTCCCGTCCTTCCTTTAGAAGACGATAGCGATTCCCTTTCGTCTTTTTAGTAAATTCTTCCTTATCTAATAGCTTCGTTCGTTCCTTCAAAGGAATGGTCGGAACTCGATCCCGATTAGATAGTTTCCATTCTTATCCTCTTTCTATTTTGGCTTGGGGCCTGTTAGGCGCATCTTTCCGAGTGACTAAGGAAGTCGGGGATGAACGAGACAGAGTTTTTCCAAATATGAGTCAAAATACTGTGAGCGCCGCAGCAGCCGAATATAGACCGAATTCGGGTCCTCAACTCTTGAGTATATTGACCACGGAACGGAAACGATGTTACTCCAACATCTAACTCCCGCGTGTAGGATAAATCACGGGGAAGGCCGAAGTAAACAAAGAGCGGTAGAATACATTTATGCGCCCATTCTTTCATAGTTAGAAAAGAGACGTGCAAGCCGAACACTTTTATCGGTGTCGGTGGGCACGCCTCGATAAGGGCTCGATCCCATAGAGTGAAAAAAATCCCCATCGAACCTATAGAATGGAGACCAGATCTTCTTCCTTTTAAGATAAGGATTTCTTTTTCCCTTATCTTACGATGCCTGTCTTGTAATATATGCCTTATGAGGTGAGTTCCCTTCGGGGTTTGTGTTTGAGTGGAAGGAAGGAAGGAAGCTATTAGAAAAGATTATGGCTCTCCATAATGAAGTCTCGGATGAACGGATTCGCCCGTGCTAAGGTGCATCACCACTTGCCAATAAGTCTCACGCCGACTCTCTAAGATAGACAGCTATCATGGGGCACGAAAGATAATAGCATCCCTTGGAGTGTAGGGCCCGACCTAGCATAGAGGTGTACTTTGGTACAAAAATTGACCAGTGCGGACCATAGTCTATATTTGACCCATTCCTTGCTTTCTAACGGATCCGATGCTGCAAGGAAGATCAAATAGTTGCCAACGAGTCTTGGCGAGAGAGATTACTCGTAAACTCGCTTCCCTCCTTTCTACTACTCCACTCGCTCCTCGCTTTTGTTCAATTATAAAGAAAGAATCACTTTAATGGAGATTTATAGCATCATTCAAGTAAATACAAATTAAGATTGTAGAAACATGAGCTTGTAATATAGCTACACCTAATTCCAGACCGGTTAATGCAAGAACTATAAATAAAGGACCAAGATCTCCTATGAAATATAAAAGATCATGCATACATAGCATAGTCCAAGCGAACCCACTTAAAATCTTTCTTGAACTATGCCCGGCCATCATATTAGCAAATAAACGTATTCCTGAGCTTAATGCGCGAAAACAATGAGAGATTAGCTCAAGGAGTACTAAAAAGGGCGCTAACGGCAGTGGGACTCCTGCGGGTAATAAAAAGCTTAAAAAATGAAGCCCATTTTTTTGAAATCCCACTATAGTAATGCCAATAAAAATGGAAAATGAGAGACCCAAAGTAATGAGAAAATGACTTGTAACTGTGAAACTATAAGGTATCATACCTGGAGATTACGAAATAACAAAAAGTAAAAGTGACCGAGATGCGAGGGAAAACTTTTGTTTAACATTTCCGGAAAGACCACCTATTTGTTCGTTTACCGGGTTCAGCACGAAATCATAAATAAGCTCTACCAAGGATTGCCAAACATTTGGTACTGAGGTTCCTCCTCCCTTTTTAGTAACAAAATAAAACAAAAGTAGGACAAAACTAAGGGTAAGTAGCATAAACAAAGATGGATTTGTGAATGAGAAATACAAGTTTCCTAGTTTCATAGGAATCAATGGGAGAATGGTAAATTGCTCAAGGGGGCTGCTTATTGTCTCCCCTAGACCCAGGGCAAACCTATAGGCTTCACCTGTTATTCCGTTTGTGTTCAAATCATTTAACATGTGCTCCAAAAAAGGGATATACCACAGACCCTGCCATTAAATCAATAAGCATAACAGCTGGAACAGCGCCAGAAGAGTCTGACGGCCCTATGACGCCTTAAGGCCCTTTCTACTTGGGAGATCTTCTTTCATCAGCTGTATCGGCTCAAGCTGTTGTTTAGGACTACGTTAAACCTTTAGTTTAGTAAGATAGCTCATGAGTGAAGCTTTAAAACCAGTTCCTGATTTCATTATGGGTCAAGGGTATCGAATAATGAAGTTCAGTCTTCTCTTCTTTTTATTCTTTTTTTACGGGGTGTAAAGATCGGGCAAGAAGCTAGACCCGAAAGGTAGTTTTTACTTGCTTACTTGAACGGGAAGGGAACATTTACTAACTAACCTTTATTTAATACCATAGTCTCGTATAACTTTCTTCCTTCTTTGGCGCATAAGCACTAGATCGAGGGCTTTCGAAACGAAGTACTTGGCTTGCTTTCCTTCCCCACTTAATCTCCTTCACTCACAATGAAGGCTTTGGCTCGACCGGGTCACCGATAGAACTCCCTTTTGAGGTAATAAGAGTGATTATTTTAACTAAGATCGGATACCCGCTTGAAGAAGACAAGAAGGAAGAGACCTCGAAGAAAGACAACTAGCCCCTCCCGAGAAAAGAAGGGAGGATGAAGGGATCTTTCATTCCTAGGGCCGTCGACCGGCTTCGCACCTTTTGTCTTCGTCTTTCTTGCAATGGTTGTAAGTTAGTTCAATAGAAGCTGGATTTCTAGGTGAAAGCTCGGTTTAGCCAAGCCTTGAAAGTTGAAACTATCCATGAGCTGGACGAATTCCTTTTGTGAAAGGCTCAAAAGTATAGCGAGTAGAGGTACTACGATTCGGCGAGGGTACGGCGACTTTCCTTTGCTTGCACCGTATACTACATCGGCTATCACGGAACCGTATGTTTTTGATGGTCTGACCTAGTCCGAAGGAGATTGTGCACGGGATTCGAGACACAAGTGTATAGGGTTCTCTATTCCATGTACCCTAGTGTCTCTCTTCCTAGTAGCTAGTTCGTTGTGTGCTATTGTATATTGATGTAGACCGCCCGTGCCCGCTTGGGGGCTCTCTTCGAGTAAGGAAATAGCTCGTAGCCGCTCAACAATTGACTGTTCAAAGGAACAAGAGAAGGTCTCAAAATGTGTAAGATACGATCAAAGGAAGAACGATAACTATAAGGTTGAACTTCCTTATTAGATGTACCAATGACTTTGTCCTCAAGAGAAAGTGAATCAAACTCTTTGCTTTGCATAGAGTATATATTTGATAGTTACACTACGGGCGTAAGCGAAGAAGAAATATCCTAAGCAAGAAAGATGTTCCTATTAAGACTAGTGGGACTGGGAAAGCTGTCGCCAAGACGAAGGAAGAGAGAAAGCCACGAAAGTGGCATTGAGAATCAAGAGGGCGTTAAACAAGCCACTGGATGGATATACTTCGGGGATGAGGTCATAACACCGAAAAACACGGACTACGAGCAAATCAAATCAATCTTCACTTATCTCCAAGAAAAAGTCAAGGTTGTAGTGGGACGTTCTTTTCATAGATCCTTCGATCGAGTTCCCTTCTTTTCTTTTATCCTGTTTTCCTACTCCATTCGTTTTTTCATATGGAGTCCACGTCCCGGCCTAACAGAGGAGCAGCCTCCTTTCCAATAGGGTGGCGAAGGCTTCACTTGCCGATATCTTGTACCCTTAATGCATTGCTTCTCACTTGCATATGTCACTTGCTCACTTGCTGGAGCCTTAAGGTAATGCATATGTGTTTCGCCCTTGACTCACGATAGACGCGACTACCTCGAGTGATCAAGGACTGTCGACGAAAAGCCTTCTTTACCGAAAGGCTAACGGGAAGGATGGCAAGTCCGAACTTGGGCGGTGAAGCCACGCCGATCTGTCAGCCGCGCTACCGAGCCGAACCGCCCAACCGAAAGGCGTAATGGACCAGCTCCACCGCACCTTACAGGATTTCCTCTTTGAATCAATTCTATTTCCATTTCGAATCTTATCGATGCTACGAAGTATGTAAAGTAGGCTTTGAGCTTTCTTGGGTAACCTTCGTATAGCTAGTAATCTCGACACCTTAAGTTGTGAACGGTGAGCCGATAGCGGCGAGCGGGAAGTTGGGGTGAGATTTCAAATAAGGCGAACCATTGAGCTCTATGGCTAATTCGTTCGGCTATTCTATGTTGTAAGGATCGACTTAAGCTTAAGCTAGAGCAGCTCCTTCTATCACAATGGTGGTAGTGAAAGGAACCGACGATCTTGGCTTAGATGGCTTTGCTCTGGGAACTTCATTTATCGATAGTAAAGGTACCGAAGTTAGGCAATCAGCACGAATTCCTTTAAATGGATCCTCTCTCTTCAAGTTCAAGCTAGACTATAATATATACTAAGACAAGAAGGGAGAGAAAGCAAGGAATGACCTTGCTTAAGAGGAAAGACTTCTTGTTACATGAGAGGGTATGTACCGTCGAACGAAAGGGGAACGAACAAGCATTCATCTCTACCTCTCCAAGCGACTACTACTAAGTGGATATTCTTTTTGGAAGAAAGACCACAAACTCTTTCAGAGCCTCTATAGGGTCTCTCCTTTCTTTTCTAAGGTATGTCACTTGTCTGTGAAAGGCTCTCTCGCCTACTCTACAAAAAGATTCAATATTAAAAAGAAGACGCACCTGGGATCGGATACATCTTCAATCCTTGAATGTCGGTTTTGCCTTTGAGTCAGTCAATCGATGAGAGAAAAAGTCGAAGGGGGCAAGGTCCTTTCCTTCCTTCGAGCAACGTAATGGGGTGAAGGAAATTCTTCTTGAACTAAAGTTTTGGGGTACATATATAATCGTAAGTCTTACTCAATTGAATTGAACCGAGAATGGTACTATAATTTAATTCTTTACCCCAAAAAAAGAGAAAGAATATAGTTAAAGATTGGAGAAGTCACAGTCACCTGAACCAGTTTTTTTGCATTGAGATTAGCAATGAGCCAATCTCACGTGCACCGGTCTGGCCTTCGCTGCCACCAATGCGCAACCGTATCACCCACTACTTTATTCCCAAATTAAACCCCACCACCGCCCACCGTCCTAATTACGCAAAAACCCCTCTCATCTGCCGCCGTGTTCCGGTGGCCCGCTAATCTTCATTGGTTCTTCTCCGGCCTTTGTCTTCCTCATTGCCATTGCCTGATTTTGTTTTCTGATTTCCTTCACATTATTGGGTGTTTTGGCTCGCTGACCGGTCTATTTATTGGTCGCCGGAACCTGCGTTTGTTTGTTTGTTTTTTTTTTTAATTAATATTAGGCGCCGCCCGTATTTATTTCTTTATTGTTTATTTTGTGTTTGTCTAATAAAAGAAAATTGGAAAAAAAGAAGACTCTACCGTTAAGAGAGCGCGTTTGTGTAATCTTTTGGCCGTTTTTTTTAATGGAGTGGTGGGTGGGGGCTAATGGATTCTGGCGCAGTACCCACGTCTCTTTCTTCCTTTCACCTTTCTCCACATTCTGCCATTAACCCCTTTTTCTCTCCGATTTTGATATCTCTGTAATATCTTTATTCTTATTATATTTTGTATTATCTTCTCTATAGTACACTTCCATAACCATTTGGTATTGTATCTTGATTGATTGATTAATCCATACCACATTTTTCAGTTGGGTTGGAGTTTGATATTTCACGAGTTTTTTGTCTTACCCAGCTGGAAAAGTTTTACAACGTTTCTTTTGTTCGGTTTCTGTTTTCACACCCAAGCATTTGACAAAAAAGATAAGCAGCTTCCTTTATTCTTTTGGGATTCATTTCCTTTTTGTCTGGTTACCAATCAGAAAAGAAAAAAGATTGTATCTTTCTTGGTGTTCGGATAAAAATTCATACCACTTTTTTTGCCACAAAGATGTCAACGTTTAGAACTCTGTATAGCTTATTTGTGCTAGTAATGGTTGGGATCTGGGCTAAGAATGCTGAAGGCCTTGGTGTGAACTGGGGTACGCAGGCAAGTCACAGGTTGCCTCCTAAGGTGGTTGTACAAATGCTGAAAGACAATGGAATTACCAAAGTGAAGCTGTTTGATGCTGATGCATCCACCATGAGTGCTTTGGCTGGCTCCAATATTGAAGTTATGGTGGCTATTCCTAACGATCAGCTTGAGACTATGAATGACTACGATCGAGCTAAGAGCTGGGTCAAGAAGAATGTAACTGTCTATATGTTCAATGGAGGTGTCAACATCAAGTAAGCTCATCCCTTTTTCTCCCCTTTTCGGGGTGTCATATTTTTGTTTCTGATCGGTTGCACCCGGGATTGATATCTGATATCTTTCATCTGTGTTGTTCTTTCTGAGAGTTTTTAAAATTTACTATCTTCCGGGCGGGAGTATGTCACCTGATTGAATATTCGTCCTTCATCGTTTTGGTCCTATAGAGGTTAATGGTTTTACTTCTTGTTAGAAACTCTTGTTGGTTGATTTAGGTGAAGAAGATGTTCTTGTTTCTTTATTGTAGTCCTTAGCTATTTTGAGGCAAAGATTTGATCATAGAGATGCATTGATTTTGAAATGAATGATTGTAGATAAGCTGGTGATTAAGAAATGTTTTGGCAATTAAATGCGTGCAGCTCGGTGTTGTAGTCAGGGTCTGATGTCTTCACTGTTAAGTACTCTTTCTTTCCCACTTGGCATCTCCACAATGGCTATTGAAAACTGAAAGCAAGAATTCGGTTTCTTTCCTGTTGTTATGTACACTATTTCTGGCAAGTGGTTCTGATTAAAAAATCTTTCCTGTTGGCTTTTCTTCTTACCTTGGATAAATCCTGGCTCCCAATTCTTGAGACTGATTTTTGAGAGATTAATCTTTACTGTTCTGCTCAAAATTTGAGAGATTAATGTCACATAGTAGCAGAAACGCGTAACTTTTGTAACATGGTATCTCTCCTTGAATCCTTCAGTTCATAAATGGTGAGAGGTTCCATGCTGTGTATGTTACGATCATATGCCCTTAAATGACAAACGAGTAGCATGTATTAAGGTTGGGATGAGAAACCATGGGTGGAGAATACAATAAGTGGTTTGGCAAAGATTCTTGTTTCTGGTTTTTGCAGCGTTATTTGAGTTTTTGAGTTGTAAATTCTTGTTTGTTGGATCTTTTACTTCCCAGTCATTCCTTATTAGGTCTTACTGGATATCATCTGAAATTTGTAAAAATTAAGAAATGACTAGATTGCCTTCTGATGAGTGACATAATGTTTTCCTCTTCTTCAATACTCGATATTAAGGAACTGACAAATTGATGCCCTTCTTAATAATTGTACTGTTCCAATGTTCTAAAGTGAAAATATTGACTAGGTTTAATTGTTGATACCATAGCTGAAGGAATTTTTTTGTGTGTGCCCCTCTGCCTGAATCTGGTTCTTTGTAAACTATAATTGTGTTTCGGTAGGAGGTATATATGGCTTTGGCTTTTATTTCTGGCATCACATGGAAGTTTACTATGTTTTGGTTTTGTCTCCTGTGTATGGTTTTGTTTGAGATTTGTGAGAAGATGTGTAATAATAATGTGTCTGATTTCAGACTTTCAGTAGCTCATTGCGTATCCTTCTTCTCTTCTTCATTTAATATATCTCTCTCAACAAAATTTCCCCTATCTTTTCTTGATACAGATATGTAGCAGTTGGTAATGAACCTTTCCTTGCATCTTACAACAACTCTTTTATCAACACAACTTTTCCTGCTCTTCGGAATATTCAAAATGCCCTTAATGATGCTGGGTGGGGGGATAGTATAAAGGCAACTGTGCCGTTAAATGCCGATGTCTACTTTTCCCCGGAATCCAATCCTGTTCCATCTGCTGGAAGATTTAGGGAAGACATTAGTGGGCAAATGACACAGATTGTTCAGTTCCTGAACCAGAACAATGCACCATTTACAGTAAATATATACCCTTTCTTGAGTCTATATTTGAATGCACACTTCCCTTTTGATTATGCCTTCTTTGATGGGGTAAGCAATCCAATAGTTGATAATGGAACTCCATATATCAATGTTTTCGATGCCAACTTTGACACCTTGGTTTCAGCACTCAAGGCATTGGGTTATGGCAACATGAACATCTTGGTCGGAGAGGTTGGATGGCCAACTGAAGGTGATATTAATGCAAATGTAGGTCTTGCAAATAGGTTCTATAGGGGTCTTCTACCACGACTTGCTGCCAATAAAGGAACCCCTCTCAGGCCTGGTTATATAGAGGTTTACTTGTTTGGGCTTCTAGATGAAGATCAAAAAAGCATTGCTCCTGGAAATTTCGAGCGCCACTGGGGAATTTTCAGGTATGATGGTCAGCCCAAGTTTCCCATGGATCTTTCAGGTCAGTTGCAAGACAAGTATCTTGTGGGAGCGCAGAATGTGCAGTATCTTCCTAACAAGTGGTGCCAGTTCAACCCTGAGGCAAAGGATTTGAGCAAGCTTGCAGATAACATCAATTATGCTTGCACATTCTCGGATTGCACCGCGCTCGGGTATGGTTCTTCTTGCAATGGTTTGGATGTTAATGCTAACGCGTCCTACGCATTCAACATGTATTTCCAAGTCCAGAATCAAGATGAGATGAGCTGTAACTTCCAAGGTCTGGCCAGAATGACTGAACAGAACATATCTCAAGGGACCTGCAACTTCACCATTCAAATCAAAACTTCCTATTCGGTAAAATTGTTACCCATGGCTGGGATATATTTTTCTGCAACCATTCTTTTATTACTAGTGAGCATCATTGTGTAGATACCTTAGCGCAGCACTTGTTCTGTTCCTCATACGACATTCATTTGAATTGAGGGTAATGATTGTGTATTGTATTGGTGGCGGGCAGATTCTTCTGAGAGGATTGGATAGAATAATTAAAAGTCCAAAGGGTGTCATTGGAATTTTTTTTTATATTTGCATTCTGTGTTTATTACAGCTTCCGAAGTATAATATGCCAATCAATGATATACGGAGCAATCAATTTTAGTCAATTGCTATGAGTTTTGTCCTTTTTGGTACTATTTGTAGATTGTATATTATTGTCAAGAAAACAAATGCCACCACATAAAATGAATTAAAATTTCCTTTGATAAATTTCAGTTAGAGCTTTCGGGACATATTCGTACTGAATGATTGAAGTAATAATCTAACATACTGTATATGGTTGACATATTTTGAATCCAGATAACCATTAGGCTTTTTGGGATATCTTGGTTCATGAACAAGCTTAACCCAGCAATTATTAGTCAAAAAGAAAAATACCTAAATGAAATTTGAACAAGTAGGTCACAGAAGTTGTCAAGCACGACGGTGACATACTCGTTTTCATCCTTAAAAAAAACAGACTTATCCGAAGTCTTCTTTTAGAACATGTAACTATTAGTTTCCCCGATGGTTATAACTCCTTGGAATGAAGGATTCCTCCCCCCCTCATTTTTTTCTATTTTTATTATTATTATCATCATTATTTTTTGATTAATGGAGACTCCCCCACCAATTTTTGATTAGTGGGGGGAAGTACATGAAGCGATCATATATATTTGAAAAACGAAGAGAAAATAAATTAAGGATCGAAGAGGGTAAAATTGTCAATTGATCATCAAAGTTGTGAATGTAAGATCAAGTAATGAAGCCATTTATTTTTGGTTCGGTTTAATGCAAAAACTTTGACAACATTAATATTACCATGAAGAACTACAAAGATAACGAAAATCTACACACCCTCAACACAAACACACACACACACACACACACCACCACCCGAAATTAATACTGATGTCTAGTGAGGAGGAGGGAGTAGTGAACATAAGTAAAATCAGCATCCTTGGGTGGGGTCGCATTGGAGAGGACCAGCATCTTGGGTCAACTCTACAACTTCATGTGCGGGTGCCGCTGCAAAATATTGAGTTTGAGTATAATCAGGTTCCCAAGGGATTCCAGATCCATTGAAATAGGCTCCGTTTAGAAATGCATCTCCTTTGCTGGTCCACGACCATCTCTCCCCTCTATCTCCTCCCTTTTTGATCTTTTTCCACGTCACCTGTCATCAATTCTATATAGTATTAATTTATTTTGAGACTTTCCAACCATGTTTAGGAGGAAATTAGTAGGATTAAATTTCTACCTCTTTGGCATCAGGATTGTCAGGGGCATCAAAATGGTTGCCTTCGCTTAATATCGTTGGATTCATGCTCCCACCAATTGCATATTGAAGCCACTTTTCGTATCTATTGTTTGCAACGTGAAATGATCCGAACCTAGCCCTGTATTAGATACAAACACTAATTAGTCCAAATATTTATTCCTATTGAATCTATGCCATTTTTTTTTTTTTTTTGGTTACCTTGGCATTCTCGAAACTAATTCGGGACCAAAATAGTTGAAGGCCACTGTGACCTTCATGTTTACGTCCCTTAAAAATTTATCTGAATGGCCTAACAGCATCACCTGAAATTTTGTATCCAGTCAGGACAAGATTTTTGCCGTATAACACTAAAAAAATCCAACAAGTGAATCTAATTTTATATTTATACCTTTCTGTGGTTGGAAAAATAATTGTTGGAGATGGTGATGTAAGTTGAGCTTAAGCTTACGTCAATGAGCCCATCTTTACAACTAGAAAGCCTGCAATGATCGATCCAAATGTTGTTGGACCTCAGTACCCGGATACCATCCCCATCGGATCGCTTCCGGTTATCAACCCAACGGGCTGGACCCGATTTATGTTTCTGACAATTTTCAATGGTCAATCCATGGATAATAACGTGGCTTACTTTCGCCACCCTGATACACGGCCCATCTCCAATCCTGATTTGAGCTCCCCGCCCATCTATGGTCTTGTAGCTGTTCACCAGCAGCTCTTCCTCCAACACAATGTTCATGTCAGTCTGGAAGGTGATCCAAAGTGGTTCCGTTTGGATCACACCGTATCTCAGTGTACCAAATTTGGGATTCTCCGGATCGTCAGATGGGTCAGTGACGACGTATTCCGCCCCATTCTTTCCACCTTGGGCCGAAGCCCCGAACCCTTTGGCACAATCAGCTAGCCTCTGGCGCTTGGCACCCCAATTAGGATCCTCTCTCCAACACTGATCAATTGAGTTATAGAGTTTTGCTTCAATTGTTGTTAAATAACAAAGCATGATGAGTAGTGGCAGTAGTAATAGTAGCGCCCATGGAAAAGGTATCAAAGAAATTGACTGTGGCATGTTCAATGAATTTGGGTTTTTGATAAAAAAAAAATAAATGGGATTTTTTTTCCCCCCCTTAAGGATGGGAAAGAGCTAAGAAGAAGCTAGCTAAATCATATACTAGGAGAAGGTTGCAAAGGATGCATTTCTGGTGTGGAATTTTGGGTCTTTAAATAAGTGAAGTGTTAAGTGAAGATAGTGAGACAATGTTAGCAAAGTGGCATTTTCATTCAATAAATTGGTTTGTCCATATTATTTTTTGGAGGCAAAATAACAACGTTATTCAGTTTAAATCGTATACCGGCAGTTACAAACAACGTTATATAACAAGATTTGGTCTTTGATATAGCTGTTATAACATTCAGACTGTTCGATTAACACTTGGCTTCTTTCATGAGATTTTTGTTTGGGAAAACAACAAGTTTATAGTGATTTCAGAGTGAACAGTTTTGTTTTGTTTTGTTCAGATTAGTTACAAATTAAAGTAGTAGTAATAAAAGCATAATAACGGCAGACAAAGGTTTGAAATTAGTCAGTCTAATTTCTCTTGGAGAAGGTGATTTTCCCAATACTCCCATTAGACACTGTTGAAGAGTGCTTAAATTCAGTTTTGGCTTCGGCCTCCACTTTTGTCAGGGAAAAAAAGAAAAAAAAAAGAAAAAAGAAGGTGCTTATATATATACATTGGTTGAATAGTACTTCATCATCACGTCATAAAGTTTTAGTTCGAGCCACAATTTATTTAAACAGAATATCACCATATATATACATAGATATTATCAAAGGACAATCAAGTCAGTGTAATGTTCAACATTAATCTAAAAAATCATAAATTCTCATATTCATTTGAACAAGCCTTAAACATTACTTTTAAAAGACAATTATATAGTAACAATACTTGATACATCTTTTAAATAGAAATCGATAACATTATTCTGTATCAATCGGTGTTTGAAAATTGATAATATTTGTGTGAAGTATTATTCTATCAATACGTATATATATTATGGAGTACATCTGTACATGTTGACCAGGGCAATGACATACGTACTTAGAAGGGAAAAAAAAAAAAAAGAAAAGGAAAATCGCAGTAAATTAATTTGTGCAATATGTGTAGAAGAGAAACCCACCTGAAATTAATTGAAAGGCAGCCACAAGTCGATTGGTTATTACAAAAACAGGATATTGTACGTAGTGGTACATGCATGTTCATTAGCAAGAAGTTTGAAATGAAAATTAGGTGGATGGTCAAAGTTAAAAATAAAAAGATTAACAAGGTTTGTTTGGGGTACAAGTTAAAGGACCAGCATCCTGGGTTAAAGCAAGCGCCCTGGTTCCATCAGAAACTGGAAAAGCCTGAGCCCTAGTGTAACCAGGGGCACAGCTCCCATATCCCGATTGAACAAAATATGCTCCGTTCATGAATACGTCCCTTGATGACCTCCATTTCCAGCTGCTCCAGCCTTTGTTATTTTGCTCTCTCTTTGTTACCTGAACCCAATTTTGATATCAATTTTATTAATTTAAAATGCAAATTTGCATTACAATTAAATCATCACTAGATTTGCCAATGATCTTACTTGTTTATTATACGCGGAGTCAGGAGCCATGAAATAATTGCCTTCACTGAAAATTGTGGGATTAGCACTCCCACCAATTCCATACATTATCCATTTATCGTACCTGTTGTTGGCTACATGAGCGTATCCCAGCCTAACCCTGAAATCAATTAGCACATACAAATATAGTACATATGTTGGAACAAAAGAAGTACAGTACATGAAGTACAGTACATGATATTAAAACTTTTAGAAAGGAAAAAGAATATCTCTCTCTTTCTTTTTCTTTTTTTATTTAATAACAGATGCATCATGCGTGTAATATGTAAGATATAACATATAACAATAGTATTATAACACCCACAAGAGGAAAATTTATCCAAATAAAATAAAGGTCACACCTGGGCATTCTTTGAACCAGACCAGGACCAAAATGGTTGAAGACGACGGTAACTTTCATAACTTTGTCTTCAATGTTCTGATCATTGTGTCCACATAACATCACCTGATATTTTGCAATATTCAATTGTAACATCGTTTATTAATACCCGTATATGATTGATGTAATTTTATAGCCTCATCCAGAGATCTACATTAAAAAAAGAAACAAGGTGCACTCCATATATGCATGCATGGGGGATGCAGCACATATTTACATACCTTATCGTGCTGGGTAAAGTAGTTGTTGGAAATGGTAATGGCTGTGGAAGCATGGATCACATCTATAAGCCCATCAGAGCATCGGGCAAGAAAGCAATGGTCAATCCAAATATGCGACGAATGGAAGACTTCGATGCCGTCTCCGTCGGACCCACGCCGGTATCCGGTGTGATAAATGTTGGTCACCACCATTCCGTTGTTCCCCGGCTTACAGTCGTGGATGCTAATACCATGAATAATAACATGACTAACATTTTGCAACGTGATGCATGGTCCGTTTGCAATTTCCACTTTTACCCCTCTCCCATCAATGGTCTTAAAACTAGCCACAAGCAACTCATTCTTGAGGGTTATGACCATGTCTCTCGCAAAAATAATCCACAATGGTTTTATTTGTACCACGGCGTACCGGAGTGTGCCGGGTTTTGGGTATACCGGGTTATCTGAAGGATCAGTGACGACGTATATCGCGCCAAATTTCCCGCCAATGGCGTCGTTACCATAACCAACGGCGCAATCGGCTAATGCCTTTCGGTTTTGAGCCCAGTTAGAGTTGCTTCTCCAACAACTGTCGATGACATTCATGTTCACTTTACTAACAAGAGGAGTGTAGTAGTTGGTTGCTGCCAATTGGGAGATGGAGGAAGAAAAGAGCATTGATACGAGTACAAGTGAAATGGCTGATGAGGAAGCCATGGTGATTAGTTCTTGGAGATGGATTTTGATGGGGGGAGGGCGATTAGTGTGTCAATTATGTGAATCTATAATTTTAAGGGTTGCAAGAATTGAGAAATATATACAAGTTCGGAAGGTGATGCACACAATTACCTTGGTTGAACTTGATGGTTTGTTTATTATTATTTCTATCAATCATTTTTGACATTATGTTTGGGAAGTAACAGACGTGATTGCCACAAGCTTGTAGATGTGCGATCAACTTTCTAACTATTTAACCAGTTTCTTAATAGAAACTGAAAGGTACTTTCTCTGTTTTTTTTTTTTTTTTTTTTTTAAATTTTGCGAGGGATTTAATAAATCATCAGATTAATTGGTTCTTATTACACCCCAAATGGGTGGAGGTACCATCAGCTGTTTACTTGTGGATGACTTTGAAGTATTTGAATTGAATTGGATTATGCAACCGAGATCTTTTCCTCAGTATATATGTACGCAGGGAGAGATTCTCTGACCTTAATAAAAAAAAAAAAAAAGATATTTGCAAAGAACAAGGGGGAAAAAAAAGACAACAAAAATGAGAAAATTAATTAGTTCAAAGCACCTTTTTAGACATTTCAGGCACTAGCTTTTTACAAATGAAATTCTAATTCCATCATAAAATAATTTTCGATGACTAAAACAATTATTTTATGGGACTAGAAAGCATGAATTGATGATCAGCAGAAGCATAGGACTTGTGAGCACGTTATTTTATTGACAAGTGGAGTAGTATCCGTTAATTAACTATATATATACTCCATTAATTAGTGTGCTGATGAGATATAGCTGAAATCATACTTTCTAATCAATCAATAAATTCAATCACCAATTAATTCACTTTTCAAGGTCTTTAATATGAGAAAGTGAAACAAAATTTGAGATCACAACTGCAACAAAAAGAAAACAAGGATAGGCAATATAAATCCATTGTAGTAGGAAATTCTTGGTAACGTGCACCAAACTCATTAGTTATTTTCAATATATAATTTTTATTTTCAAATATAGGTGTGTGCATGACCTTTAGATATTTTTTCCAAAATAAAAAATAAAAAATAGACCAACAATATGTTGGAACTAAATATCCAAATCCGGTAATTAATTGGATGGATGGATTGAATCTGGATTCAGTATGGTTTTCCAGGAACACAAACGAGAGGTCCAGCATCCGAAGTCAAACCAAGATCTGCATTTCCGGAGGCCACAGGGAATGACTGAGATGTTGTACACGGTGAAAACGGGTTATAATTACCCGCTCCGGATTCAACAAAGTAAGCCCCGTTCATAAACGCATCTTTTTGAACTTTTCCATTCCCAATTTTTGTTGAGAGTCATGTGGCAAATCCCGCATCGGAGGCATGAGAATATGTGAATCAGTTAATAAGTAAGGTAGTTTTAGAACCCATTAACTTGAGTTTTTGAGTTCAGATGGGTCTTATCTTACTTACTAGGCTCCATGTCGAATTTTTTCTTCCAAATAAATCCCCAACAATTTTGCCATACCCCCAAACCTCCGTTTGTTGTCTATCTCTTTGTAACCTGCCCAAACAAAATGTCAGGGTTTTATAAGAAAAAAAACTACATACTTACTTAAGATGAGATCCATCACTGATCAGCTGAACTAGCTAGTTGTTAAGGATTCCATGCCAATAATACACACACACGATTATTAATGATTAAGTTAATACTAGTATAAATAAATGTATAATATTTTTTTGTTACAATAGAGGAGGCTGAATGGCTAGAATCTTACATTTTGGGGGTATGAGACCCATATTATATCATGTTGTAGCCATGGCCTAAGGCCTGACAGCGGTCATCAAACCTCTGTAATCCAACTGGATCAAGGGTAGCTAGGGAGGCTAAGTAATCAGTTACACAATTAGCTTCACGAAACACATGATCAAGTTCCACAGTCTAATCCTGATGTAGCAGTTCCCGAATCTCGTATACAATCCCCGCATGAACTTAAAAAATGTCAGCATTCCCTTTCACCATAAGTAAATAAATGCATAATATTAAGCACCTGTTTCGAAGAAGGATTATTTGAAGCGAGGAAATAGTTCCCTTCGCTCATTATCGTAGGGTTCGAGCTTCCACCAATTGCATATTCTGCCCACGGGTCGTACTTGTCGTTTGCTACATGAGCATATCCATATCTAACCCTGCAGCATTCAATAATTCAATCAAATTCACCAATTTTAGGAAGTAAACCAAAAAAAAAAAAAGAATTATATCATCATTTGTTCGAGAATGAAATTTTTTTTAACTACTATATCTATTAGTATATTACGTACCTTGGCATTCTACAAGTCAATCCAGGACCAAAGTGGTTGAAGGCTACAGCAACTTCTATAACTTTATCTCTTCTAAATCCGTCTTGATGTCCAATCAGCATAACCTGCATAATAATGATCTCAACATTAATAATCTTATTATTAGTCAATTTTATTTTATTTTATTTTCATTTGATAAACATGACTATCTTTAAGGGACTAAGGTAAACTATGAAAACGCTAGTATTTCCCTCAGCCCTCATCATGGTGAAATCCACATAGCAAATAAATACATAAATAAAATTTATTAAAAAAAAAAAAAAACAAAAAACTCTCTACCTTCTCATGTTGGGTGAAGTAACTGTTGGAGATAGTCACTGAAGTGGAGGCATAAGTAATGTCCACTAGCCCATCAGTACACCTTGCAAAAAGCAATGATCAATCCAAACTATAGAAGATCCAAACACAGCAATTCCATCTCCATCTCCACCAAACCTATGTTCAACAGAGGTTGGACTGCTCCGAACCATACCCTGTTTCCCGGGTTTGCAAATCATGGATACTAATCCCATGGATAATTACATGGTTGACTTTATAAATTGCAATGCAAGGCCCATTTGCAATTTCAACCTTAGCCCCCCCTTCCATCTATAGTTTTACGACTATTCACAACAAGCTCATTCTTAAGGGTAATGATCATGTCTCTACCAAAAATGATCAAAAGTGGTTCAAACCGGGTAGCACCGTATCTAAGTGTACCCGGTTTGGGATTTACCGGGTCGTCAGATGGGTCGATGACTACATATATGGCTCCATTCTTGCCTCCCAAGGCACCATTCCCGAACCCTTTTGAATACCATTTGGGGTTTGATCTCCAGCAAGAGTCGATTACGTTCATCGATTTGTTGCTTCTTTGATAATTATCAGGATAGTAATAATAATCACATTATCATACTCATTATCATATTCAAGATTTTGAGCTTGAGATGTAGCAAAAAAGTAAGATAATGAAACTAATGAAAATGAAATCAATAACAAAATGGCATTAGACATGGCTCTGAGGTTGAGGCTGGCTAGTCTGCTGAGTTCGGGAGATTTCGACGAGAATTTGTAGTGTACTTTTTTAATGATTAATTTAGAAGGTTTAATTTCACTATATATATATGTTTACGCAGTAATTTTAATTTAATTCGGATTTCGAATTTCAAACCACATTGAAGTAATTTCTTGAAGAAGATTTAGGAAGATAAATGTACTTTAAGTCACTTGTGATCTTTACCATTCACGAACAAAAATGCACCAGCCACAACTTACAATATGTTAAGTTGACCAAGTAATTTATACTAAAAGTGCCAAACTGGATCTGCTACTAATCGAGAGACGAAGTAATACATTTTGTTATGGTCTTTTTTTTAAAAAAAATAAAATAAAATTATGACTCATATTTGAACGATAGTTTAATTTCTATAAATTGCCAATAAAATGACATGCTTATATATTTATGAAATTGTTCTATTTCAAAAGAAAAATTATCTAATTTGATAAAAGTGAATTGTTTTACTTATTTAAAATTTCGCGAGCCTGTTAAGTAGTACGTTGCATCCAAAACTGTGTACTAAAAACAACCTTCGGTCTTTACTAGTTAATGATGTACGGCTATGTTTGGATGGTTTTTTTAAGTGTCTTTTTTTATTAAAAATATAAAAAAGTATATTAAAAATGTAAAAAAATACATTGAGAATATAAAAATGTATGTTTAGATGGACAAAATATTAGTTAAATTGCAGCCTTCTCGCTGCTACAAACAAAAGGATAACCATTCCATATATGGTAGTTTGTGGAAACTGGAATCTTTTTTTTTTTAATGATTTATTTTATATATAGTCCCCCCATAATGTATGGTAACGATGATCTACTATTTTTTATTAACCATCAAAACAGTTTTATTACCGTAGTTTGGTTGAGGGAGTTGCCATTTTTATGTCTACTGATTGACCCGCACAATGAACTCCACTTTAGAAACACTAGTTTTTTTTTTTTTTTTTTTGAAAACATAGAAACACTAGTTGATTGACCATAATTGATGGATTCATTGATAATTTAATCAAGAAGAGTAAATCTACAAATATAATTACTATGGTAATGATTTTGTGCAATTAAATTTCGCGCTAAGTTTCCTAATTTCCGAATCTATTTAAAATTTTAAAATATGTTTGCATAAACTATTCACAAGGTGATGCTTTTGACCTTTGAGGGAGGGAGACTAAATAACAATGATAAACATAGATTGAGGCACAAATAGTACAATTGTACAAACCAGGAGTATACATATCGTAATTGCTAAAATAGCAATACAAATGAAGCAAATACATTTTTTTTATTTATATAAAAAGACGACCAACAGAAATTTTAACTTTATTTTTTCACCAACATAATTAACAAAATAGGCTATAAATTTGAAGAAGAATCAATCAATCAATCACCATAATATATGTAAATGCTTCCCACTTTCGTGCGTCCATAGGTTTTGTTCTATGCGTAACTGCACATTCCATATGCACAAGAGCTGCCTTTGTCACAGGAATTGAAGCAAGCTCCACAGTGTTTCCAATTTGTGGATGGATTCACACATTTTCCTTTGCAGCATATCTCCCAATACTTGCATTGTTTACCACACATTCCACAGTTAGCCCTATCTTGCATCACATTCACGCATTTCTTCTTGCAACAATCCGGCCCTGGACTTCCCCTCGTGGAACATACCCTAGGGAACTTGTTGCATGTCATTTGATATCGGAATTGGTATACGCGATTTGTACCGCGTAACGATGTAACCGGTTTTTTAGTATCATTTTCAGACGAATCAGAAACGCTAAATGTTTCCGTTGCATTATTATTTTCGTCGTGAATGCGATGATCGGTTGATGTTGCTGAAATAGCAATGGCTAACGCCATTACCATTACCAATAGTAACATAGTGTTTAGGAACTTCATGTTTACCGTAAGCGGCAAAGTTTGGGAATAATATTATTTGATACTTAAAAGGGAAATGTGTTTGAATGGAAAATGTAACTAACGGGAGCAGAGTATTTATAGATGAAAAATTGCGTGTGAATTAAGCTACAAAAATGTAATAAGTGGTCCTTAGTTTTATTTTCATGATAGTGGGGTGGTCTAATTAGAAGGGCTACACACAAAAACTACAAGCAACGTAAGTTAGGTCGCCAAAGAACAAATTGGGCATTAGACATTCATCAAGTTTGATTATCAGTTACGCTGTTGGCGCCAATTGAAAAAAAAAAAAAATCAAATCGGGAAGTCACCAGAAATTTTTTGCTTTTTTTGTTTCTTTCTTTATTTGGATATACACTTTAACATTTTATAAACTTATAGGAACATAATGCAAATATTCCGCGGAAAAATATGCTTAAGTAAAGAAGGCATAACTAACCTCGGTGCTCAAACTCAAAAGGTTAGACAAACAATTTTTTTTCTTTTTTTATTTTTTGGAAAAAAAAAATTATTCACGGGTAATGGAGGGTAACTAACATATTTGCGTTTTCTTTCTAAAGAAAACATTGGGCCAAAATTGTCTAGATAAATTGAGTGGTGGATGTTGGATGGTCTAAACTTTGGCATTGAAAAAAAGAACAGTTGAGAAGGCACTACTACGCACGTACATGAATACATAATTCGGGTTTTGACTTTCATGCACTTTGAATTTTGAGCCCAGTCGGGTGAAGCTTTCGTCAATTGCACAAAAGATTTTATGTCATACCTTTCATATTTAGTTTGGCACCTTGATCACTTTATTTTTATCTCTAATATTTATGCCAATAAATAATAATAATAGATTAGGTGTTAGTTAAATTTATAAGATTATAAAAAATGAATGCACATTGATTTTTTTTTTTTTTAAGAATGTTACAAAAAATGTATGACACCATAAAGAATGTCACAAGAAATTCACTTAATAATAATATACTCCATCTGTCCTAAAATGATTGTCCAATTTGGATTTTCACTTTTACTTTAATTATCATACTAAAAATAAAAATTCAAACTGGACAATATTTTTGGGACATATAGAATAACTCCAATATCGTAAGTTGTGTTTAAATTTCTGTGGACAATAATTTTAGGACAGATGGAATAACCCTAACAGATGAAATACACCGGTGAAAAAGGCGTCGGAAAGAGCGGCAAGGGATCAATTTTGGCCGGAGCAGGTGATGTTAGGCTTAGGCTTGGCCTTATCAGGTGCCTTGGATATTAATTCTCCTTGGTGGTTTTGGCATTTGGATTTGGAGCCGCCGGGTAGCAGCCCGTACCTATATATATATATATATATATATATATATATATATATATATATATACATTGAGAAAGTCGAAACTCAGAATACAAAAAAAAAAGACGTCACTGCAGAGTTGAGTCCGGCCAGTCAACGACTATCTTAGCAAACGTGGAGTCGGGAGTTGCCAAAATATGTAATCCAGAGGTTTGCGATAGGCCTAGTTTGACTAAAGAATCAGTTGATTCATTGCCATTGTGCCTTATGTGAGACGTATCAACTAGCAACCGAAGGTCTAAGAGCTTTCTAATTCTATACAAAATATAATTAAATTGAGACATAATCAAGTGATGTAAATTGAGACATTCTGAATTCCGAAAGAAAAAGAGAACAAAACGGCTCATTGTTTGCTTTTGAAGTCAAATTATACAGATGTCGAGTTTAGGATAAGCGAACTCTCTGGTTTTTAGCGATGGATCATTTAAAGCGTGTAAATGACATGTGGGCTTGTAACCGAGCCCAAATATGATAACATCCTGTCATGGACAGCCGGGTCGGGCAATCGGTTTTCAATCGGGTTGGGCGTAGGGTTGCTGGACGGCGTCGTTTCTGTAAGCACTGGGAATAAAAGTCAGAAACTTCATTAATGACACTCATGCATGCATAATATGTACTTAACTGCTCTTTTGACTTTAGTTGACTTGTTTTTCAATTAATATTTGTAATTGGGGAATCTGGAAGCATCGAATAACAAAATTGAAATCCAAATTGTGTGTTGCACACGTTTTTTCTTCTTTTTCTTTGATTTTTTGTTTTCCTTTTGGCCAAACCTTTGTCGGTTCATTGACATTGGTATCCAGAGCTTGTAGATCCTTGGATCTGTGAGATCTTATGGCACCTAATCGGTTCACTTCTATTGCGGCGGATGAAAATGTTACGAATCTTTGTTTGGAGTTCGATGAATTCGTAACTCAAACTTCTGCTAATATGAATCGATTGGAGAAAAATCTGAGTAAGGTGACTACCGATTTGATGAAGGTGAGTACAGATATGACGCAGTTGACTGTCAACTTGGCGCCGATGAATGTTAACATGATGCAGTCGATTGTGAAAGCAAATGAGGATATGATGCACAGGGTGATGGAAATGATCGAGAGGAGGTCTGTGGTTGGAGAAGCAAGGTTTGCAGGTGATGAGCTCAATCAGGAGATGCCTGAGGACTCTGCTTCATGTAAGGGTAAAAATAAACTATCTTGCTATTCCTTCTAGTTCTGGTGTCAAATTAGGTGAAATTGATGAAAATCGTAGCTACGAAAAGCCTAAGCCGTACTTGTTTGAGGGGGAAAACCCTGGAGGGTGGCTCAGAAAGTGTCATAAGTGCTTTAAAGTATATGATATGAAGGAGGATGAGAAAATGGATGCGGTTGAGTTTTATTTGGATGGAAAGACAGATGTGTGGTTTCAAACTTTTAAGAAGGTTCATCCTGTGGCTGACTCATACTTGTTTGAGTCTGAATTGTTGAAGAGATTCAGAGATTTGGATGCTTTGGATCCTGTTGAAGAATTCAACAAGTTAACTCAGACTAGGAATATTAAAGAATATCATGATGAGTTTGAGGATCTTAAGTCCTCTCTCTTATGTTTGAATCCACAGTTGAGTGAATTTTACTTTCTTTCCTCTTTTGTGAGTGGATTACAAGAGGAATTCAAACCTTTTGTAAGATTTGTAGAGCCACAGACTGTACAGAGGGCCTTTGAAGCTGCCAAGGCTCAGGAACAATGTGTATTGTTGTCATCTAAAGCCAGATCTTCCGGTACAGTTCCAGGGAGAAGTTATAATGCTGAGGGTAAAGTGGCAGTTCAGGCTGATAGAAAGGAAGGGAATGAATTGTATAAAAGGTTGTCACCAGCTGAAAAGCAATTCAGGAAAGCCAACAACCTCTGTTGGAAATGCAATGGACCCTGGGGTCCAGGTCATTTGTGTAAAATGGAACACCTTAACCTCATCGTTGTGGAGGATGATGTGGACTTGAACAATGTGAAATGGTTGAGCGATGAACTGGGTGAATGGAGCAAGGAGATAGAGAAAGCACCAATACAGTTGCATACCTTATCATGTTGGGATGAATGTTGTCTCTGGAAAAGGAAGAGGCTCAACCAAGGAAGCTAATCATCATCATTGGATACATTAACAATGAAATGGTTAAATTTTGGTGGATACATGAGCTCTAAGGAGTTTCATAGAACTGATTTGGCCTGTAAGTTGGGATTAGATAGAAAGGTGGTGAAACCTTACTTCATCAAAGTAGCAGATGGCCATCCGATCAAGAATAATGTAATCTGTCTAGCTGCCAAATGGTCTATCCAGAAACATCACTTCCAATTTGACTTCAGACTGATGAATATTGGCAATTGAGATGTGATTTTGGGTACTGACTGGTTATCTCACTTTAGTCCTGTTTTGTTTGACTATGACCTGTGCAGGATTGAATTGTCTAGAGGTGGAAGGAGATTTATGTTGCAAGGTCATTCATTAGCAGCTGAAGATGAGATACAAGAAATCATAAGAAATGTGAGTAGATCCAAAAGGCCAAGGATGGAAGCTCATTTCTCTTTTTCTGACTAGAGCATGAAATGGTTTGATCCTGTTATCAGTGATTCTCAAAATGAGAGTCAGCTGTCCACTATCACAGTTCAAGAAGGGGTATGTGATGTGACAGATGCAGAGATCCCTCCCGTAATTTTGAATCTATTACAGAAGTATTCCCAGATATTTGATGAGCCAACCACTCTACCTCCCACAAGGTCAGTAGATCATCAGATTATTCTAAAACCTGATGCTGTGCCATTCAAGTTGAAACCTATAGAAATCCTCACGCACACAAATCTGATATTGAAACTCAGGTTGATGAGTTGTTGAAGAAAGGAACGGCAAGGGAGAGTGACAGCCCTTATGCTTCCGCAGTGTTATTAACTAAGAAAAAGGATGGGAGTTGGAGGATGTGCACTGACTATAGGCACTTGAATGAATTGACAGTAAAAAGTAGATATTAATACCAGTTATAGAGGAATTGTTGGATGACTTGAGAGGTGCTAAATGGTTTTCCAAGATCGATCTAAGGTCTGGTTATAATCAAATCAGAGTTTGTCCAGATGATATCCCTAAAACAGACTTTCAAACACACTATGGCCATTTTGAATTTTTGGTGATACCATTTGGGTTGACCAATGCTCCCGTTACCTTCCAGAACTTGATGAATAAAATTTTTAAGCCATATCTGAGGAAGTTTGTGCTGGTTTTCTTTGATGATATACTAGTATATAGTATGACTTTGCAGGAACATGTCAATCACTTGAGTTTGGTTTTCCAAGTTTTGGTTGATCATCAGCTGTTTGCAAAGAAGTCCAAATGTTCATTTGCTCAGCATTCCATTAAATATTTGGGACATGTTATATCCGAACTGGGAGTTATGATGGATCCTGCCAAGGTGGCTAGCATCACAGCTTGGCCTGAGCCCAAAACATTAAAGGATCTGAGAGGATTTCTTGGTTTGGCTGGGTATTACAGGAGATTTGTGAAAGATTTTGGTGTGATCAGTAAATCATTGACAAACTTGTTGAAGAAGGGAGCATTTGAGTGGAATGATCAAGCTAATCAGTCTTTTCAGCAACTCAAAATTGTCTTGTCTACTGCACCAGTGTTGAGGTTGCCTGATTTTTCTCAACCATTTGTGGTGGAAACAGATGTAAGTGGAGAGGGAATGGAGGCTGTGTTGATGCAGCAAGGACAACCTATTGCTTACCTTAGCAAGGCTTTTTGTGCTAAGAATAAAGCATTATCTACTTATGAAAAGCAGATATTGGCATTGGTGATGGCTGTAGGGAAGTGGAGGCATTATCTATTGGGGCATCATTTCAGTATAAGGACAGATCACCAATCTCTCAAATATTTGTTGGAACAAAGGTTGACTACTCCCTGTCAGCATAAATGGTTGGTGAAATTGTTGGGTTTTGATTATGAGATTCAGTTTAAAAGGCAGAGAGAAAATGTGGTTGCTGATGCTCTATCCAGAGAGGTTGGTAGTATGGAGCAGGAGGTAAATGCTATTTCTACAGTGCAACTAATTTGGATGCAACAGTTGCCTAATAGTTATGATGGTGATGCTTATGCCCAGGAAAAGATTTTGTATGCCACTTTGGATGCTGTGAATCATCCTTCATTACAGTATGTGGGAGGGGTTCTTAAAGAGAATGGGAAGTTGTTTGTGGGGAATAAAGGAGATATCAGGGTACTATTGTTAAAGACTTTTCATTCTTCATCTTTGGGTGGACATTCGGGTCAAAATGCCACTTATCAGAGGTTGAAACGCTTGTTTACTTGGCCCCATTTGAGAAAAGAGGTGGATGAGTTTTTGAAGAACTGCCAGGTTTGTTAGGTGAACAAAGCGGAACATCTCCACTATCCTGGAATGTTGCAACCATTACCAGTGCCTCAACAAGCATGAAGAGGAATAGCAATGGATTTTATTGAAAGACTTCCTCCTACCACTAAGGGTTTTGATTGCATTTTGGTGATAGTGGACAGATTCACTAAGTATGGCCATTTTATACCTTTGGAACGCCCCTTTACAGCCAAAGATATGGCTGAGGTTTTCTTCCAGGAGGTGTATAGACTGCATGGATTGCCTAATAGTATAGTATCTGATCGAGACAAGATCTTTACAAGCCACTTTTGGACTGCCTTGTTCCAAGCAGTTGGTGTAACTCTGAGTTTGAGTACTGCCTACCACCCTCAAATAGATGGTCAGACAGAGAGATTGAACCAATGTTTGGAATGCTACTTGCGCTGCTTCTGCAGTTCTGCCCCAAACAGGTGGTCTAAATGGATTTTGTTAGTTGAATGGTGATATAATACCACTTATCAGACAAGTGAAAGTATGACTCCTTTTCAGGCTTTGTACGGGTAACAACCCGTGGAAATTCCTATGGGTACTTGCACTGATTTGGCCATTCCTGCTGTTGCTGATACGATCCAACAGAGGCAAGTGGTTTTACAGAATTTGAAGGATAGCTTGGTTAAGGCACAAGACATGATAAAACATTATGCTGATCTGTTGAGAACTGAAAGGGAATTCCAGGTGGGAGATTATGTTTATCTGAAACTCCAGCCATACAAGCAGCAGACATTGGTTCCTAGGAGTTCTTCGAAATTGATGCATCGTTATTTTGGTCACTATCTGGTATGGAAAAGTTGAGAAATGTTGCTTATAAGCTTTAATTACCAGTTGGATTTCGAGTACATCCAACATTTCATGTCTCATTGCTGAAAAAATATGTTGGACCTCCTCCTACTATAGCTTCAGTGCTGCCTGACTTGGATGATGAAACTAAGTGTAGATTGGAGCCTGAAAAGGTCTTGCAGCAGCGTTTCATCAAGAGAGGATCATAGGATATTGTTCAACGGCTGATCAAGTGGAAATGTTTTGAGATTGATGATTCTTCATGGGAGGATAGCCATTTCATCCAAAGCCAGTTTCCAGATTTCAAAAGTTGAGCGCCAACTTTGAATTTTTAAATGGGGGAGGAAATGTCATGGACAGCCGGGTCGGACAATCAGTTTTCAATCGGGTTGGGCGTAGAGTTGCTGGACGGCGTCGTTTCCTTAAGTGCGGGGAATAAAAGTCAGAAACTTCATTAATGACACTCATGCATGCATAATACGTACTTAGCTGCTGTTTTGACTTTAATTGACTTGTTTGCCTATAAATATCTGTAATTGGAGATTCTGGAAGCATCGAATAACAGAATTGAAATCCAAATTGTGTGTTGCACGCGTTTTTTCTTCTTTTTCTTTGATTTTCCGTTTTCCTTTTGGCCGGAACTTTGCCGGTTCTTGACACATTCATCATCCCATTGCATGCAGTTCAGTACTGGGTTATATTTTCCCATCGCTTTACTAGTCTGACTTTGCTGCTCGTGTTGGTCAATTACTGTTTATTAGTACTTGAATTTGGTCCATTTTCAATTCCATATTTAAGCATCAGGTATTATTCATTAGAAGATCTAATTTAAATTAACTTGAACTGGAGAAAAAATATATTTTTTGCAGTTCGCCCTATTTATTATATAGTAGCATTCTAAAAATTCCGAACACTTTTTCAATCGAAATTATAAACCATTTAACAATTTATTGTAGAATTTGAGTTTTATTTTGATTTTTAGGAACTGCATATTACACATTTAATATATTCCTTTTTAAATTTTAACATGTTCTCATAGCCTTGCATGATCGCTGCCGTGTAATACGTCAGTTTCGAGGAAATATACATCTCTCAAAACAAAGGAAATATACATAGCTTAAAAAGTATTTAATAAAGTATTTAATTTATACGTCAATTTGCTGTATCGTATTGGCGATACAATCCGAGACACTTAATCTCTAATAAAAGTACTATAAATGTCTCGAACAAAATATACATGAATTGATTTATTGTCCTTTTTTCCCCTCTCTAAAAAAACAAAACTTAAAATTACAATTGTTGCGTTAGTAGGGAATAATTCGTAGTTGAATAACAAATTAACTAGGCGGCATAACCACACATTCCATAGTTACAGCGCACCCCATGAGTACACTTGTTGTTGCATCCACCACAATGGTGTTTGTCGGTATTAATGTCGATGCATTTTCCGTTGCAGCATATGTTACCTTCCTCACATTTATCCCCGCATTTTGAACAATTCATATTATCACTCTTCACATCCACACATTTGTTGTTGCAACAATCTTTTCCCACACTTCCCTTAAGATGACAAACTTTCGGGTAGACTTCACACATGTAATTCTCATACACACCACCAGTATTTTGGCCAAGGACACGAGTTTTGATCATCCATGTTGAAGAAAATGATGATCCCTCTTTGTCGTATGTGATTTTATCGTTCGTACCTTTGTTAAGATTAGTCGAAACAATGTCAACAGGCCTCGATGAAGCTTGAATTACCATTGCTGATAGCAGGATAAAGAAAACTGACATAGTTTGGGCCATTTTGTAATGTAATATTGGTTAGGAAGTTTTGGGGAGCAGGCGCAGAAGAAGAGATAATAATGGAATGTTGGTGTTTGAGTGTTGAGATTTTGGGATGGATTAGGAGGGGCATTTATAGTGTCATTTTTTTTGGTACCTCATGAGTTGACTTTTGGGGAAATTGAAGGTGCAAGGTATTGTGCTTTGTTCATCGTGGTCTGAATTCAATATACTAATTGCAATTACTAAATACAGAAGAGACCCAATGTACCTACCAAATTTACTTTTGATCATGGTGAAGTGAAATGGACTTGAGATTGATTGGAGATGAAGAAAAGTGGAATGAGAGAACTCCGGGAGGAGGAGATCTGTATTCTCTCAATTGCAAAGAAGACGACCAGAGTATTTGCTCCTTGATTAATGGACTTTTTGGCACTTGTCCAAAAAATTTGATGACGAGGTTGAATGAAAAAAAAAACACCCTACAAAAGGAGGGGAAGTCAACTAGGTTGCTGCACTTGGGGGATATCAAGAACACCTGAATCACTACTATAACAACATTTACAAGTCTTTGAGAACACAATTTAATAGCGTACTCATTTCGTATACCTCCCTCGTGAGTCCATCAAAAATTTATCCACATTTACAGCCACATTTAATCACCTTACTGTCATTTAGGAACTAATTTAGATACATGAAGTTTCATACCACCTTCTTGTTGTTACTTTGGCGGTTTAAGTTAGCATCATCCTTCAAAGTAATAATAATAATAATTAGATGCTTGTCCCGGGCGAATGCCCGAGCCGCCTTTACTTTTAAATGGATTAAATAAAAAAATAAATTATCTTTAAAAGAATAAAAAACAGAAAAATACAAAATCGATTAAAAGGACAGGAACTGAGTTATTACACATAAACCTATGCCGAGGTTTACAACAGTTACCTTATACCCAGATTTACATAACTCATAAACCAATATCTACAACAGAAGAATAAAAAAAAACAAATCATCCTTAAAAAATCAAATTTCCTTCCATGACCGCTTCTTTTTCCTCTGTTGTAAAAAGAGATGAATTGATATTGATGTCAGATTTTAAGTAGTTGATTTGAAGGTCCGGGTCTGAGAGATAAGCGGAATAGAAAAGATCATTTGAGATTGGGTGGCAGTGTTGTTTCACTTGATTTGAGGAGATTTTCTGACATTTGATTTTATCAACTCAATATTATTATTTTAAGATATTGCTATATACCTATAAATAATGAATTTTTATGTAGTTATAATTAAGGAATTTATTTATTTATTTTATTTCATCCTTTTTTTCCTGATTAGTTAGAGTGGCACATGTCAAAAATGATTTTGTACTGAAAATGACTTTTGACGGGAAAATTTTCATTGTAGTGATGGCACATGTCCTTTTTGTTTGCTGCTTTAATTAAGTACTATAATAATAATAATAATAATAATAATAATAGTTTGGCACGACGAATTTTTAAACCCTGAGATTTTGCAGTAATAATAATGTCTCGCCCACGAGAAATTTTACTCCAATCTTTTTAAATCTCACTCATTACGAGGAACCGACAAACAAGTTCATCTCTGAATCCCTTACAAGCCGAATTGCTTTCTTGTAATTTACTCAATCTTTGTAGTATATTTGTGCAATGAAAAATAGCTTGGGTTGGATTGAAGAAGAAGAAGATAATTGTGGGATGCGAGAGGATCTGTATTAGTGTAAACAAAACCACATGAAATTTTGTTTAATGGACTAAACAAATGCACCATACTCTTTTTCAAAAAAAAAAAAAAAAAAGAAGCACCATACTTGTATACTTTGAGGTCTTAGTACACAAGAGATAACCTACGTACATATTAGGCTCATTGCGATATTTTTTGAATGAAGAATTCCATTCAATTTGTTGCCATAAAAAAAATATATAAAAAAAAAACCCCATCTCTTGCGCAGGTTTTTAATAGTTTCAATTGTTGCTCGACTTTGTCTTTTCTATTATAAAAAAAACTCAATAAATAAAATTTTCAAAATTTTCAGTAGAAATTGTAAGTTTATTTTTTCCCGATTCACTCTCGATAATGATAATCACACGTTCAAATTTGAAATCTCAAAATATCTCATCTACCATTCTCAACCTTCAACAATGGCAATATAAATAGTTTTGTATGCACATTTTATAATTTTATTTTATTTATTTATTATTATTATTTTTTTTTTTGCATATTTGACATTTTATAATTTTATGATAGCCTTATTGGAAACACAAGATTAAAAATTCTGTAAGTACTATATTCTACTATATTAGAAATAAAAATTTCCCTTTCAAACACTTCCTACGATTGCCATGTGACATGAGCAAAGTACTAAATTACCCTTTTGGTCAACAATAACTAAATTACTAAATCCCCCTTTGCACTTTACGTGACACATTTTTTTTTAAAAAAAATTTTCTTTATGTTTTATTCAATTAGAGTGGTTTTATTTTCGTAATTATGGAATCTAAATTGAATTGATCAATTAGGTTTTTGTTACAAAGTGTTAATTTTGTTTTAAGCGTATACCCTTCGGATGAAACTTATTACAAAACTATTAAAAATCTCCAAAACTAAGTATTGATTTGGCACGACCAATGGAGAACATCAATAAATCATCTTACTAATATTTAAACTTATTAGGATACTTTTATATTTTGTCTAACATTTATTTCAACACATATATTCGATTAAGTCTATTTATATTTAATAAGTAACACTTATAAAACATTTCTAAAACATATATGGCAAAATACAATTTATTTTTTTGTTAAATACAAATATTTCTATGATCACACTTAAAAACATTTCTAAATCCTTCAAACGTTTCTAAAATATATCGCTCCAAATACAATTTTTTTTTTCAAATATAAACATTTCTAAGATCTACAGATAGACTGGGCCAGGGTCGCGCAATGCGCGACCAAACATCACTAGTACTATATATAACCGAAAATTGCAAATGAGCCAAACTAAACCACAACATGTAAATCATGCGAGAGGGAGCAGGAAACAAAACAAAACCACAGAATATGGGGCTGGATAGAGTATTCAGCGATAACTCAAAGGGCTCAAACATAAATAATTACAGATCCTTTAATTAGCCACCCACCACAGAACCGGCCCAAAGGAAATGGAAAATCAGCAGCAACTCGACCAAAATTCATCGACAACTTTAACGGGACCTGAGAATCTAGAAATGTCTGCGGCGGCGGCTTCCGCCACCGACGGCGCTGCGGCGGCAGCGTTGAGATCGGTTCTGCAGCGGGTCCATCAGGCGGCGGAGCGTTGTGGTCGACCTTCCGATAGGATCCGAGTAGTGGCCGTCAGCAAGACCAAACCGGTTCCTCTATTACGACAAGTGTACGACGCCGGCCACCGTTGCTTCGGCGAGAATTACGTCCAAGAGGTCATCCAGAAATCCCCTCAAGTAAGTATATATTGCGACACTTCAATAGTCGATCGTAATTGTTATTATTCCGATGAAGTTTGAATCACTAGGTGCAAAGTTGGTTGAATTGTTCGTTGGTGGGAAAATTTTCAGCTTCCGGAGGATATAGAGTGGCATTTTATTGGAAATTTGCAGAGCAATAAAGTGAAGCCTCTTTTGAGTAAGTTTCCTAGTTCTCCATTTTAAGGCCTATTTGTCCCCTCTCTCCTCAAAGTAAAAAAGCTTATTTCTCATAATACTTTGTGATTGGTTAGAAATGATCAAATTATTGGCTATTGATAATGCAAATTTGATTGGATAAAAAGAAGTTGTGTGGAAATGTGTTAATGAATTACAAATGCAAATAGAATGCTGTTCATATACAAGCAAAACAAAGGAGCTGGACCTTTTTCTGGGGCATAAGGAAGTCCATTTGCTTATATTGTTGTCACTCTTGGATTGTGGTGTGGGTGGGTTAATAATAAAGCCATTCTTGATCCATTTTGCAGCTGGAGTACCAAATCTTGCTGTGGTGGAAACAGTTGATGATGAGAAGGTATAGAAACTCTATATCCATGGTAACTTCCTAAAGTAATTCTGTTCTTGCGTCGTGTTAATTTTCATTATTAAAGCTTCTATGATTAGTTTGTACGATATCTTTGGGGTTTTACTGAAGTATGTCTGGTATACCATGAGTAGCACATCCAAAAATGAGCTCCACTTAGGTCTTGGTGCCACTACTATATTGATTATGAGGTTTTTTTTTGATACGGATGCCTTAGAAAATTTCAGATATCTGAAGTCATGATTATCTACAGTACCCCTTTACTTCTTTTGTACGAATTCCTTTGAAAAATTCGAATATCTGAAACCATGATTATCTGCAGCACCTCTTTCCAATTTCGCTCTGTAAAGAAGTCTTTGGTTTTGTAGATTGCCAATCACCTTGATCGTGCAGTCGGAAACATTGGAAGAAAACCTTTGAGAGTCTTTGTCCAAGTTAACACAAGTGGAGAAGAATGTAGGTGCCTGTTGTCTGTCATTGAATAGCTTTAAACATTGTTGTAAGAAGATGTCTGCATTTTGTTGCTTCTCATGTTTTTGTTGCTCTCATTGACAATAGAAGAAATGGAAACAACTAAGCACTCTGAAAGAAAGAAACAAGTGAAGAACATGTCTCCTTCAAGAAAGAGCTTCAGAAAATAGTCAAAATTATATTTTTTGTTTTCTGTCTTTTGCAGCCAAATCTGGTGTCGAACCAGCTGCTTGTTTGGAGCTTGTCAAACATATTACTGTATCCTGTCCAAATCTCGTTTTCAGTGGCTTAATGACAATAGGAATGCCCGATTACACTTCTACCCCAGAAAATTTCAAGGTTGGGAGCTACATAAGTCCGTAGCATTGTTTTCCTTCATATAGTTCAATTGGAGTTGGTTGTTATCTGACAATACACTTGATTCCAGACATTGGCAAACTGCAGAGCTGAGGTGTGTAAAGAACTAGGACTAAAGGAGGAGCAATGTGAACTGTCAATGGGCATGTCTGGAGACTTTGAGCTTGCTGTAAGTTTTTGTTTTTCTTTACTTTGGGATACTCAGATGGTAACTTCATCTGCAACTCATAGATTTTATCTCTTAAGGCAATTGCTAATGCAATATAATTTATGTCTATGGTATTTCCCTACTTTCCAGTTTAGTTTCCGTAGATGTTCTGCTTGGCTACTGTGTCGGGTTTCATTCAAGATCTCGAGTAATATATGCACGAATTGAATTTTGCAGATTGAAATGGGTAGTACAAATGTCAGAATTGGATCCACCATATTCGGGGCAAGGGAGTATTCGAAGAAGTAGACTACACTCTACCCACTGCTGAATGTTAGTCTAAATTGCCTCTCAAAATATGGATGCTTGGAAATCAAGTTCTTTAATTCCCACAGAGGTTCAAGTGCTCTAGTCACTGCTTAATCACAGGAGTTGTGTGGAGTTGATATTCTTATGATCCTACCGGCTGCCGTGGTGACTGTTTAATATGAATATGATGATGTTTATGCAACCACAAAGTACTTATTTGGGCTGAGGTGCTTTGTATGTTGTGTTTTGTAAATTGAGGCTCTTTACTTACCTGGGTTACCTCATCAAAGAGGTTGATTTAATTTGAATAAAAGGGCAAAATCCAAATGGTTGTAGTTATTGCATTATTGTCATCTTAGGTTCACCTGGCCAGTCATTAATCCGCAAGATGTTGGTTACATTCAGATACCTCCTCTGATTAAAATGGCAAAAAATCAGCCTACGAACCATATTCAAAATGAATTATGATATTTTGATAGCTTTTTTGAGTCATATTACACCCGATGTCTTCCACACTAACCTTTAATCGGGTCGAATGCAAAATTTTCAACAAAATGTTTTAGTGTCAATACATACATGATTAGGTCCGGTCCAGTATCTTTTTATCTTTACCATTTAGTCCAAGGGCTCGCTGGAAAATATTTTCCTTTTTAGTTAAAAATCGCTTCGATCGTAGTATGTAAAACAAATAGGGCGATATAATTTACCAAAACGCTTTGCCGTAATCATCAAAAACTGTAGAAAAAGCCTTATGCAAATCGGTTAACAGACTCCCAGTTGATTGCGGTTAAGTCCATCGAGATCCTCAAAAATCTCCATACTAAAGCACCGACTTCCAAGAACTGAAAAGAAGATAAGAACTACACAGATCAAAGAAAGACAAAAAAAACTTAACAGCGTCAAATTCATCAAAATACGAGACGTTTTGGAGGGAGAATCAATCAATCGATCAGAGATAATGATGATGATGATGATGAAGAATCTACAGCACAAAAAGCAGGGAACATGCAGCCCAAAGATGTTGAAATTTTGTACAGGCTTGATGGGAGTATGCCTTGCTGGGTACATAGTTGGGCCTCCATTGTATTGGCACATTTCCGAGACCCTCAATTCTTCTGTGACTCCCTTATCTTGTCCGCCTTGCCACTGTGATTGTCTTGACCAACCCCTCTTCTCCATCCCCAAAGGTATTTTTCCTACTATCCCACTTTCTCTTTTGTTTTGGGTTGCATGCATCATCTTTGAAATCAATGTATATTTCGCTTAGTTATGGGTTGGTGGTGTTTTCATGTCCTGGTTCTGGGTTTAATTTATGATTTTCAATTGTTAGTTTCCTTCAAAATATTTATTTATTTATTGGGTTCCCCAAAAGCCTGAAAGAAAAAACCCAAAAATAAAATTTCGGATTTGTTGCGGTCTATGATTTTCCCATTTTGTGGGAATTGATGAAACAACAATGGTGGAGAAACAGGGATTTCTATTCGTTAGATGCCCTGTATTTTTGCCATTTTGTTAGTCTCTTTGTTCCAGTAAAGAAACTGAAATTTTGATTCTTGTGAGTTTTACTCTCCTATATTTCTAGTCTTACGCTCATTTTAACTTGGGATTTTCTTGTTTTAATTGCAGGATTGAATTTAAGTTTCTTCACAGGTTAGCTTTTTTCTTCAAACCGCTACCCTTTTTGTGTTCTGCTTAATTAAAATAGCCCAAGATGCTTTGAAAATGCTTGCCCCTGTTCTTGGTTACAAAGTTTGATAATCACCTAGTACTCGATCCATAGCATTGCGCTTGTGCAAACTGCAAAAGAAATAGACCGCTTAAGTTCATTTACAAATGCAAAAAGTTGTTTTGAAAACTGATGATGAGATGAAAATTGTTAACTGAAATGTGGTTGGAACAAACTATTGATGCTTGCCAACTTAGATTGCATGAAGCATGATCCTGATGTGAGTGAAGAGTTGGAAAAGAGCTTCTCGGCTATATTGTCAGAAGAACTGAGGCAGAGGGAGGCTGAAGCTCTGGAAACTCAGCAGCATGCGGAGGTAGCATTGTTAGAGGCTAAAAAGATGGCTAATCAATATCAGAAGCATGCAGAAAAGTGCAACTCAGGTATGGATTATTGCGAGGAAGATAGGGAGAAAGTAGAAGATGCATTGGAAGCACAACGGGAACTCACTGAAATGTGGGAGAAGAGGGCTCGGCAAAAAGGTTGGAAAGAAGTTACAATCTGACCTCCGACGCCATTGTAGAATTTTATTATTCTTTTTTCCCACAATGCAGACCTTGCAGAATTTGCCTTTGGGTTGGAAATTTCATGCAGTCACAAAATTTTATCTCACAGAATATGAATTGCGGTAGTTTGTTCCAGGAAGAACTGCAAGTTTCCATCACAAAGGTCATAGAATGAAATTTGCTTGTTTGGAAACCCAAACATTTTGCACAGTCAACCATGTTTTGCATTTCTCATAGGTCATTTGTCTATGTACAGATAGCCCATAATGTAAAACTCTCTACAATGATCATTTGGGCTTTTTACTCTGTTGATCAGATGCTCAGGCCAGCCAAGCTAAGACCTAGCTTCAATTACTCCCTCTCCTATCTTTGCATGCTATTTTGACCTAATTTTCACATTTTTGTTCTTTTCTTGTATAAAGTATGTATTGAACTGGAAACCTGCAGCTTACTCCAGCAATTTGGTGGTATTAAGTTTGCTAACCACCCCTTCAATTAAAAGGCGCATCGCAGCTCCTTCAGAGAACTTCCTAGCAAACAGAAAACAAGGGACTGATGTAGAATTAACTTTGCACCATTCTGTTCTGAATTCTGTTTCGTAGTATACATGGTTAATACCCTGTTGGAGAGGCAAACAAATGGTTGGTTACCAAGTCAATGAAATGCATAAACAAGGTAGGAATTATTTTTGTAAAGGAATTGGAGTGGTCAATTAATAAAACCTTTATTCTTTTGATTTGTTGAGGCCCAGCATCTGCATAACTGAATGTGATAGGATGCCAGCCCGACATTTCCATCTTACTTTTGGATTGGTTCCACAAGGTGTAGGTCACTGGTCTTCTCTCGATTTCATCTTCAAGATCCTTCATCTGAACGCACAAAGAAGAAAAGGAAACAGACACTATAAGAATGTGACTGGCGATAATCCACCCATAGCGCCACTATCAAGAGTGAACCAGAAGCATCAGTTAAATAAATCCAACTTCAACAGACTGCAGTAAGATCACCACTTACAGCAAGTAATGTCTGAACATAATGCTCATCTGGAATACAGTTATGCTGTTTCTGAAGCTTCTGCATAAGATAGTAGGACATAAGACTAATAAAAAAAATTAGGCATAATTAAAACAGACCAGCCAAAGAAAAAGATGAAAAGATACATGGCTAATGAAGAGAAACAGCTGGGTGATTTGAAAACACAAACAAACAGGGAGATTTTTAGAGCTGAGATAGTTATTCAAATGACTTGATAACAAAATGAACTAAGGCTTGCTGGAGCATATACAGAAGACAAGGAGCAGAGACGGCCCGGGGGGGGCGGGGGGGTGGGTGGTGGTGGTGAAACTTACAAGATTCTGCTTCCCCTTACTGGGATCCAAAAGAGGTCGTCTCTGCATGAATAATAACAGAAGTTTTAAGAACATAAAAGAGCGACAGCAAAGAAGCTACATGATATTTTGCAACCTATAAATAACTGTACAGAAATTTTGGATTAAGAACCATTGTTCATCACGACCAGCGTATGAACTGTAGTTCTGTACAGGCAAATATTGCACGTCAAAGTAAAGTTGATTGCTGTAAAAATTAACAAGGACCAAAAATGTTCGCCAAGTTACACATTACTCATTACGGTTCTTACGACAGAAAATACTGTACATTATAAAAGCTTATGTAAAGCCACTAAAAAACTAAGAGATAACTGTTAACCACAAGATTTGCAATGATTATTTAATTATATATGGCAGGTACCAGATAGGAAAATACAAATGAGACTATTTAATGAAATAGGAGATGTAGTGTTGCTGGTTTCCTACCTTGCAGAACTTCTGAAAGACAGGAAAAATGATGTCATCATCGACAATAACTTCAGCATGCTTTCGGACTAAAGTGATCCACTGACATGTCAAATGAAGTAAAGTCATCAAAGCTAAATAAGACAGAAGCTTCTACACCAGTAATGGATGATATCAGCAATAAACAATATGTAAGGATCAAGAAAACTAATTTGAGAGCTGATTTCAGCATAGGAAAGCAACGCACCAATCCAGCAGGTTGCTAGAAAAAGGAGGTCATTTCAAAGTAACAGAGGACTCCAAACAATATCGCTATCATTTTATACTAGAATCTCAACATTTATTAAGAGCTTATTCGGGCATTTTATCAACCCTATTCCCCATCAAACCCTGTGCAAAGCAATTCTAACCACAAAGAACCTATATCACATCTAACCATTATGAATTCAAAGGAACCAGTATTGTGCTTCTGCACCAGTACTGTGCTTAGACAGCTCATCAAATTTATCTATCTCAGATCAAGATCCACTCAAAGGACATTACCTGCGATCCTTTACGCCATTTCTTCTTGGGTATCACTGGCGCCATTTGTTCGTTATAGCGTCCTTCCTTTTTGTCAAGAAAACTGCAAGACATAACATAATTACAAAATGTCAGAAAGTCTTGTTTTATGCTATACAAATTAGTCATTTTTATGAGGCTCAAATGATCAAAATCCGAATATCAACTACGGTTTATGAGTAAGGTGCATCCATTTACCTGTCTACAAAGCTCTTTGGTGATGCCAGCAAATAGTTATAGACATAACTGAAGTTGTACAGTGGAACACAGCTGCAAACAGAGAGAGAGAGAGAGAGAACTGTTAAAGAAGAAAGAAATCTTCAATGTACTGAACAGAAACCAATGTCGTAATGTCATAAAATCACTTCCTACTAAAATGGTGTGTGCAGCACTTTTTCACTGACAAACTAATGAATTCTGCGTAAATTAGAGCATTCTCAACAAACCACATAGGTGCTCAGCACCGCAAAGGGTTTAAATCCACTTCCCAGAAAAGCTGAAATGGTTAGAACAAACTGCTAACAAAATATTTTTCCTATCCTTTAGAGCCAGTTTCTGGCACTCAATGATGTCAAATTATATCATAAATAATGTATCCAAAGTTACCACATTATGGATTCCTATAAGATTTATAAATTATAACCATCAAATTCACAAAAAAGGACAGTAACCATGCCTATGTGATAACTCAGAAAGTGACTGAAAGAATATTTCAGCCAAAAGTGAAGATACCCACCTTTCTGATAAGAGAATGAATCTCTGATTAGCTGGATCCTGAAGAGCGGCTTCAAACAGCAACCTTTCAGCTTCAATCATGCTTGACTCTCCCCATGCTACCTACAGTAATGTTCATAATGTCAAATGTAGCTAAAACAGGATAGACCCTCATGTAAGACCAACTCAAAGAGACTAGAAAAAGGGCTGGTGAACAATCAGTGTATTCACAGAAAGTGACACTGTTGGCAATTAATTTCCTTCATTGTCTATTTAGAGGGATGAGGAACTCATGAAAAAGAAATCTACAGTTCAGTAAACAGATTATAAAGACCCACATTTCCAAAGATGCAAAAAAATGAGATGGGAAAGAAATTAAAAGAAAAACTCCAGTCGTTTACTTAGGCAGACCATGTCAAAAATACCTTTCCTTCAACAAGAACACAATCTTTTTGTTTGAAACCATGAGCTGGAAAAATAACCGAAAAACAACTTTTCCAGTCAAACCATTTTACTGGAACACAATTCTTTATCTACCTTGAAAGGAACTGCATTCCAAGAATTCACTTATGCAGGAAACCATTTTTCTATTACTAACGAAATCTTTCTTCCATAACACAACATTTTCATTGACACCGCATTTTCCTTTTTGTGGTTCATATTATAGTGTTTTAACATAACCATCAACAGAACATGATGACGATAAATGATCTAGAGCCCCCACCAACATATTGTGCTCCATTGTTCAGAATCAATTTATAAGTAGAACACCGGTCTAAAGCTCAAACTCAGCATTGATCAAGTATGCGTCAGGCAAGTAATTAATAGTGTCTTCTCTCGTTTACCTTAATGCTATTTCTTAATTGACGATCATAAAAGAAAGCTGATTTAGTGGTTGATTCATCAAATGCAAACCCAGGTTCAGAATGTACATAGATTGAAAAATTTGCCACGTCAGCGTCCTGTAAACAAGAGAAGGGGGAAAAAAAAAGAAAACCCACACATCAACACAAGTACACAACCATTAGGTAAAGCACAGAAACCACACTCCATTAGCAATGCGGACCACACCACCAATTAAAAATCTAATTAAAAAAAGAAATACAAAAATCAACCAAAACCAGGAATGATTCAATTTCATACGAAAGAGTTAAACATAATTACTTACGAGGAAAACTTTACCGTAATGGGGAGATAGAGAAAATACCAACAATTTAAAACTTCTGAGAATGTTGGGAATTGTAAACAGTAAACTTCAAGAACTTCCTAAAGTAGTAGTACAAAATTAAGGGGCAAAAAGTCTGGCTGTTTCGAAATTTCAAGTTCATATCAAACTAGCGAATAACTGCTCCCAAAAACAAATTCATTTTTTTTGGTGGGGATAAAACTAAAAGGACTCACTCACCTCGAAAAAGCTTCCCCAGAGAAAATCAAGGGGCAAATTTTTCCGAGCAAGAAATAAGAAAGCGATCTTTGAATTGCCTTTGAACCCCGCGTAGCTATTCACAAATCTCGATCTATGGTGAAGCAAAGGAGAGGAAGAAGAAGACAATACCGGAAACGTAGGCCCGGAATCTAATAATTCTGACTCAGACGACGCCGTTGATGGAAACGTCTGAGCATAATTATAGAGTCTGAGGAAAGCTAGAATGCAAAGCACGATTGATAGTCCGGTTAAAAGCTTCCAGCTGAACCAAAAAACATTCCTCAAAGGAAGCACCGCTAATCCTCCGCCGCCGCCGGCCGAGGCCGACTTCTTCATGATTTCCGGTCCTTTCCCTTCCCACCGCCAAAATCAAATGAGCTGCGTAAGAACAGAGATCATCAGTTTGGAGAGCTACAGTAGATAAAATGCGAAAATCATCACTGCTTATTTATATAAGGTATAGGAAGAAAACTTAAGAAATCTCGAAAATGTTTTTGTTTGTGTGTGTGTGTGTGTTTTGAGGTGAGCTGTGTGTTCTTTTGTTTTGCCGCTGGTTTGTTTGTTGGAAGTTGCTTAAAGGACAGAGAGATGCCGACGCGGCACCGCCACGGTGTCGTTTTTTGCCAGAATTCCTACAATTTCTTCCCCAGTTTGCCTATTTGACCTATGCATTGACCTTTGCAATTTTGAATAATACTGTAGAATTAGTTCTCATTGTCAAAAAGAAAAAAAGGGGGAGAAATGTGAATAATAAATGTAAAATAAATCCAATTTCCTTAAAAGGTAACCTAAATTCATTAGCATTTATAGAGTCTAAACTATTCAAACTATTTAGTGTTTCATTCAATTCACGACAAAACTGCCATATAGAAAAATAAATTGAACAACTTGTAACTGAAAATTCCTTATAAGACTTGGAAAAAGAATAGTAGTACTTATTTGGTGATTTATCATATATTTCATATATGTTTTAAAATTATTTGTCATTCTATATTTTTCTAGTTCAATTTGTACTAATAATAAAAATCTATACTGGACAATAATATCATAACGGAGGAGTATGTGTTTGTAAGGTTATTGGAATTTTCGTAAGTTTGACAAGAACATTTACTTAGTGATCTTTGTACGGAATGTAGGGTGGGTTTGTCTCATTACCATTGTATTTATCACTTCATGATAATAACTTTGTAATATTCACAGTTGGTTAACATTTTTTTGTAGTAATAATAAAGCTTATTAGTATTAATGAATAAGTTTAGGCATGCTAAGTTGATTAACAGATATGTTGAATAGAATAGGTGTAAAATCAAATTATATCTCATAATAAGCCATACTGTATCCATTAAAAATACTTATTGTTTAAGGGTTTACGGTTTTCGAAAGAAAAGAATAAGAGAGAGAAAATGGAAAACAATAAAAAAAAACAGAAAAGTGATTATATTTTGTCTGTCTCAAAATTATTGTTCAATTTAAGTTATTATTGTTAGTACAAATTTGAACTAAAAACTGAAAATTCAAACTGAACAATAATTACAGAACGGAAGCACCACGTCTTTTCTTTCTTATAGGCAGCGGAGGGGAAGAAAGCACCCAAATTAAGGCGGCGAAGAAAATTAGGGGGGGGAGGGGGAGAATTCGGACTTTAGAGCCCTTTCTAAAAAAGAAGAAAGAGTATAATGTTGCCCCAGCGTTATACATAAGACTTTGACCAACGACTCCATGATAAGAAAATAAGGCTATGTTTAGAAGGTTTTTTAGTGTATTTTTTTGTATTGGGATTGTAAAAATATGTATTAAAAATGTAAAAAAGTGCATTAGGAATGTAAAAAGATATGCTGGGATGGGATAAATATTAATTAAAAATTCTGAAAAAATGAGTGAAAAAAGGAACCAAACATAGCCTAAGGCTTTGTTTGTTTTGTTTTTTGGATGGTTTTTTCATAATATTAAAATAATAAATATCTCATTCCATCGTATCTTTTACATTTTTAATATACATTTTTACTCCTTCCATTTTAAAATGTAGGTCGTTTTAGGTTTGGAGAGATTTTTCAAAATATAGGTCGTTTTACAAATTCTAGGCAAATTAATGACTATTTTTTCAACTTTACCCTCAATAAATAACGCTAATTTATTTTTATTTAGTCTTGTTTATAGTTTTAACGTAATTAATGAGAGATAAAAAAGATATTTAACATATAAATTAACTGTTGGATTATTGTCTTTTTAGTTTACGTGTCAAGTCTAAAAAGACTAACATTTTGAAATGAAGGGAGTACATTCTCAATATAAAAAACACATAAAAATATACACTAAAAAAACAAAACAAACATACCCTAAAATACTCCATATTACCGTAAAGAATGAAGATTATCAGAATCTGAACATCATTTGTTTTTCCTTTTCTTTTTTTTTTCTTGAGACCGAGCTATTACAATTTACAACCTGACAAAATCTACGAAGGAATAAGAAATCGTCCCTGTTTGTCTATCCATTTATTTCTTTTTTACTTATCAGTCTGTATTTATATCCGTAATTTCTTTATCCCACCTATATTTATATATTTTTAACTTTATGAGGCTCTATTTATATATAAGGCACAAATCTGTATAAGTCGATTATGGAACCCTTTGTCACCTTCCTCTTGCGTCATACGATAAAGATTAAAAAGCTCTCAATTTCAATCCATGCGTTTTTATTCATAAAGGATACTTTACATTCTGATAGCTTCATAGATTCAAGAATGTATCAAATGGCATGTATGGTTGCTGAATTGGTACCTTTCTTATGAAGATTAAATATGATTCATTGTAAGATCAACTAAAAAAATATGTGCAGTAAGAAGTGTTGAAAAAAATTGCACATCCTAGACCCCTTTCAATGTTGTTCATAGTTAAGTTTGTGTTGCTACATAAGCACAACTTCTGTATGTATCCCCATCATACTATATACTAGAACAGAACCCCTTGAAAAAGTCCATTATACCCTTTTCCCGCCCATTTTAACAACACTCCAGCTGATGTGTCAATTTCTGGTAATATAAAATTAATTTTATTTTTCTATTTTACCTCCTTAGTTTGGATGACTGATGTGCCAAAATTTCTTTTTCTTTAATTTTTTTAAACCCCTTTTTCCTTATTTTAATACCGCATACAACATTGTTCTTTGTGTAATGCATTAATTTCCATGTTTTGTAATAAATAAATGTGCAATTAGATAATTTTTTTTACAACATACATGTTCCTTTTTGGTTTTTGCATTTTCTCTTTCAATCCTAACTCATGTCCCGCATTTCCTCCTCCTTCTTCTCTATCATATACAAATAAGTTCTAACAAATAATTTGTGTTAATTAATAATAATAAATAACAAATAATAGTTGTATTTGTATACACTCATAAACATTGTTTATTAAGTAAAAACTATTTATTTTCGTATTTTGTTTTATTTTAAATTTACTTTAATCAATAACGCCGATGATACACATAAAAAATTAATAGGGAACCCGTGAGTACACGGGATTTATCTAGTTTTAACTATACAAATTTGACCATGGTTTGATCCTGAAATAATTAATATTCAACGCACTCGATTACTCCGTGTACCTCAAAAATAAAGCTAATGGAAGCCAATTACCGTTGACCAACCTTGACCTTTTGCAGATCTAAAATGACGTTTAGAATTTTCCCCGGGACGTAAATCCTCTTTTTTATCCGTTGACCATCCAAAAATTTGGATAGTTTTGAATCTGTACAAGCTAACCTAAATGCTTCGTCCTCCGAGCATTGCTTATCCACCTGGATCGTACCCCTCGTCTTCCCGTTGATCTGAACCGGAAGGGTGACTGTTGATTCTTTCAAATATTCAGGATTAGCCTGCAATTTCAACACCGTATCAGTGAATTTAATCAATAGACCTACAACCAAAGAGAGATGACTTCCGTGTACCTTACCATTACCAAGATTTTAATATGTTAATAATACCTAATACATTTATACAGGTGCATAATATCATTTTCCCTTTCCGAATGCACAATTGACAGATAATAAGCATCCGCAAAAATACACCTGGGATGGGGCTAGCAAGAAACTGTAGAACCTTAAGATGGGGATCACGGCAGCAGAACATACCTTGGGAAAAGGTTCATAAGCAAGCGAATTCGAGTGTCCCAGGCGAGACCAGAGCTCTTCTGCCATGTGTGGTGCATACGGAGAAAGCAACAAAACAAACGCCTCCGCAGTTGACCGTGGAAGTATCTCCCACTGTAAACATAAATATACATAAATATCAAATCATTGGCAAGCAGATGTACTAAAAAAAAAATCAGGAAGATGAAGCACTGACAGAAAACAGTCACAAGCCTTAGATGAGGTCATTTTGATCAGCAACCAAAGATCTAGGGTTGGAAAGAGATGCGTAAAAGATATTGAATAGTGAATATCACAAAGATATATACCTTATATGCAGCATTGATGAACTCCATCATTGCAGATATACCAGTATTGAACCTTGTTGCTTCGATTTCCAATGTTACCTGTAACATGGAATGCAGTAAAGCTAAATAGGCCAGGAAATGCAACACGGAAAGATACATGTTCATTCTGAATGGACAACACATAGAATTGAAGATGTGGACAAAAACTTTATTGGATTACCTTATCTATGCATTTATGAAGAGCACGAAGTTGTTCTGCAGAAGGTTCTTCATCGATTGCAACTGTCCCCTCTTTAAAATCACCATTAGGTAATGGTGAACCAACAATTAATCTCCATGCTCTTGCTAAAAAGCGATGAACCCCTTCTATACCACTCGTATTCCATGGTTTTGAGTCACTGAAATGTTACACTAAAGTTATCATTATCAAGCTATTGTTTTTAACATTTAATATACAAGATCAACAGAGCGAGAACTCACCGCAGTGGGCCCATGAACATTTCATATAGACGAAGAGAATCTGCACCGAACTCCAAAACAACATCATCTGGATTTACGACATTTCCCCTACTTTTGCTCATCTTGTGAGCCCTAGCAGTTACTCGAATGGTTGGGTTGTCTTTAAGAACAAAGAAATCACCGGATTTTGTAACCTATATGAGCAAAATGATAAACCAGAGTTGAGGTAGAAATACCTGTGGACAATAGGTATATTTGAGAGGAAAGAAAGGGGAGCGGAGAAACCTGTTCTTCAGCAACTTTTTCTTGAGTGTACTCAGTTGACTCCTCAACAGAATCTGCAGAGATCAAGTTCCCATCAGGATCTCGGCATGCCATATATTCAACCTGCAATTAAGAAGGGTAAAACAACTTGCAGCAGTAAATAAATCGCGAAGCCAATCCTACAATATTACTTACTTCTCCCAGGATGATGCCTTGATTAATGACACAATGGAAAGGTTCCTTGGTTGATACCACTCCAATATCATAAAGAACCTGAAACAGATAGTTGAAATGGTACCGCCCTAAATTATTTGAGACCAATACGCATCAGACAAATTAAAAAATTGATACTCCATTAAACAGGAAGGACAGCGACAACACTCTGCTTTGGGAATCCCCCTTGGACTATTATAAAGAATATGATAATGCACTGCCAACTATACGTATAGCAATTAAAAGTTTAATATGCATGATTTTCAGCGTTATCTAGCCGAAGCCCAGTCTAACTAGAATTACAAACCTTGTGCCAAAACCGAGCATAAAGTAAATGAAGAACAGCATGCTCTGCACCCCCAACATACACATCAACTGGGCTCCAATATCTGGAAAAGAGATGAGATGCAAAGTGACCATTTTTTCCTTGTCCTCTCAACAGCCCAAAAAACTAGCCAAACACGATGGACACATCAAACTATGAAACTGTTGCAGAATTTACCTTTCTTTTTCTTCATCAACCAACCTTTTGGAATTTTTTGGGTCCATAAATCTCAGATAATACCTAGAAAATCAGTTACAAAAGTATAAACTGGTTAAAGTGTCAAAAAGGTCCAAAACTATGACATACAAGAGATCAAAGAGCAATAATCATCAATTCCTCTTAACAAGGCATTGATGGCATTTAACAGTTATAATAGTGATATTCTAGGATGGCTACTGTTCGACTATTTATCACCTGCAAGCTTACTATACTTGTGTATTCCAACAAACTTGGAACCATGGAAAAATGAGTGGAATAAGGCAATGCATTTGTACTGACAGGACAAATACAGATATTTAAGCTTATTAACTAGAAGGTACCAGCATGATCCAGCCCATTGTGGCATAGTGTTGGTCTCCCGCTTAGCAGGTCTCCCCGAAGAAGGATCGTATGTTATAACCTAAAGCATCCAGTCAGAAAAGGCATAAAAGTATCAGTTGACCGATAGAAAAAAAGAACACGAGACAAAACCGAGAAAATAAAAAAGGGTAAAATCGTTAGTCCATTAATATCTTTTTATCAGTTCTCTAGAATAATCCAAACCATATACATACATATCCCCTTTTATTACCTTATGAAACAAGGGAAATGATGGAGTCTTTTAACATCAATCCAAATCTATACAAAACTATCTCAAATCTGAACTAAAAGTGCAAGATGAGAGAGAAGAGCAAGAAAAGTTAGCATACCCAAGATGCTGCCTTTGCAAGAGGTGGTTCTCCTGATCCAGTTGGAGTAAAATCATCCAACTCTGGGAGGGTAACTGGCAACTCTATTTCAGGAAGTGGGACAGTTTCACCAGTATCATCCAAAAAAATAACTGGGATAGGCTCTCCCCAATAACGTTGTCTAGCAAAAAGCCAGTCCCGCAACTTGAAGTTAACCTAAATAAAGGTGGACAGTAAGACAATTTTCCACCAAATAATGGAGGACACGACGGCAGTTTACATGAGTTACAGGTTAAAATATTAGTTAGCATTCCTTCTAGAAAGAGACAAAATTACAAAGACATTAAATAATAATATAGATATCACATCTCATACTAAATATCATTGATACGGTGGATTAGACGGTCTCCAGAACTCACTGACTCCACCAGGAAACACCTGGCTGTGTACAGTGCCAGGCCGATATCTATTAAAGATATTCAAAATTTCAATCGAAAAATCCGTTTAAGTCTTTATATATAAGTATCAGAGACAAACCTTTCTTTTCCCATTTCCAGTTTGCTCAAGCCATTCAGTTATGCGGAAAGCAGCCTCTTTATTGGGTAATCCATTGACATCAAGCCCTGAAGCTGAGCTTGATGAATTTCTCACAGTCCCTGGACCAGAATAAGGATTGTTTTCAAACCCAGTAAAACTTTCATTATCCGGCATCACGACTCCACGAATTGGAATATCATACTTCAAAGCAAACTCATGATCTCTCTCATCATGAGCTGGTACTGCCATTATTGCTCCAGTCCCATAGCTGCAAAAACCTTCCACAGTTAAATATCAGAAGTGGGTACCAAATGCTTTGTACAGTATGAGTAAGAAATAGTGCATGCACCCCGCACTCAATTGCATGCAATTGCATTTGACATCCCTCCACAGTTGAAAAAAAAGACCAGAAATTTACAAACTTTCAAACTTACCTTCCTAAAACATAATCAGCAATCCAAATTGGAACAGCTTCTCCATTGACCGGATTTCTTGCATAGCAACCAGTAAAAACCCCCGTCTTCTCCTTTTGAAGTTCAGTCCTCTCAAGGTCACTCTTTCTAGCAGCAAGTTCTACATACTCCTCCACCTGTATTCGAAGACATTCATCTTCTCAATATCAGGTGGACAAAACGTCTGAGAAAAAGATTTGGGAATTCATTAGCTTACATGTTTTCTTTGGGCCTCTGATATTATTGAAGACACAAGTTTATGCTCAGGCGCAAGAACTAAGTACCTGCGCAGGAAAAATGATGTTTAATGAAAATAATACTAATCAAATAGTGGTTAATGACACACTTAACGAAGTAAATGCATAAAAGAAGTAAATGCATACGTTGCCCCAAAGATGGTATCAGGCCTTGTGGTATAAACTGTAATTTTTTCACTTGATTGCTGGCCATCAGCAATTATTACATCAAAGTCCACCTCTGCCCCTTCTGACCTCCCTATCCAGTTTCTCTGCATTTCCTTAATGCTATCAGGCCAGTCCAGGTCATCTAAATCTTCAAGTAGACTATCAGCATAGGCAGTAATCCTCAACATCCATTGCCGCATAGGCTGCTTGGTAATAAACAATCAACTGTAAAATCATAAAACCATCCAAAAAAATAAGGCAAAAAGTGGAAAAAAAAATTACCAAAGATCTAACACAATGTAAAAGACAACTGAGCAGATGTACCTTCCTAATAACTGGATGTCCCCCTCGTTCACTTACACCATCCACCACTTCCTCATTGGCAAGAACTGTGCCAAGTGCAGGACACCAGTTGACAGGAACTTCGGCCTGAGCAAAGTGTTGGAAGGTTTCAAATACTGCCCAACTTAAAATAAGTAACAGGCCAAAAAAAAAAAAGCGTTCTACAAGCGATACCTGATACGCCAATCCCCTTTTCAAAAGCTGCAGAAATATCCACTGAGTCCATTTGTAGTATTCAGGTTCTGTGGTAGAAATTTCACGGTCCCAATCATAAGAGAAACCTAATGACTTAAGCTGAAAAGCAAGATATCCTTTAGTAAATCTAATGCTCTAAATCTGGGCAAGACTAAACTACTGTCATATTCACATATATGAAATAATAAACGACAAATGCAATTTATTACAAGACCATCAAACATCCACAGAGTTCACAATCAAGCAAAAAACCAGCACGTTCCACTAACTTGATTTTGCAATTTGCAAGAGGAAAGCCCTCAGTCGTCACCAAATAGGCCACAAAGAAATTTATAAGTTTATGTAGATAAAATCTATTCGACAAGCACAACAAAAATTAGAGAAATTCTTATTAATTTTTACATGAGACAACAAATGAAATCTAATCCTCTCAAGGCTTTTTAATCACGGGGGAAGCAGATGTCGCAATGTGGGCTATCAATAAGAACAAGTACCTGGGCTCGGAAACGCTCGATATTTCTCATTGTAGTTATTTTTGGGTGGGTACCAGTCTGTAATACGAACAAGCGAACAGTTTAATAACCTGAAGCACCATACACGTTCAAAAGTTTGGCCAAAACTCGTACAGTACTAACCTGTATTGCATATTGTTCTGCAGGTAAACCAAAAGCATCCCACCCCATTGGGTGCAGGACATTGAATCCTTGCATCCGTTTAAATCTAGCAAGGATATCTGTAGCAGTATATCCAAGAGGATGCCCAACATGTAAACCAGCTCCACTGTAACAACAAAGGTCCAACTATCAATTCTTTTTAAACCTCATGCCTTGCATCTTCCATTGTACACTCACACGTAGTCTTACTTAACCCAGAAATGCATAAGCAAATTCGTTCATTACCATACCATTTTTACGCGCTACAAAGACTCGGGAAAAAAGAGAAAAGGGAAAGGGGAAAGAAGAATTAGTAACGGACCTTGGATAAGGGAACATGTCAAGAACGTAGAACTTGGGCTTGGTGGTATCAAGATCATCATCATCTGGGGTCCTAAAAGTCTTGTGTTCTTCCCAGTAACGCTGCCACTTGGGCTCAATTTCATGAAACGGGTACGCCCTCACTCTCTTATTACTACTAACGAGTTTCTCTGCCTCTTCTTTGCTGGTGCTACTGTTGCTGATTTGGTAGCCCACTGAACTGGAAACCCGAAGAGACAGTGGAAGTGCGGAGTGGCGGCGGCGGAGGGGGGGTGGTGGTCGTCGCCGGCGATGGCAGAAAGGAAGAATGGGAAGACGGAAAGGCAATTGAGGGGAGGATTGTGGAACTATGGGGAGGGAGTTGGAGGTTTGAAAATGGCAATGCATTGTGGATTTTGGGAATCAGGAAATTCGAAAGGAGGGATTGGTGTTTTTCATCTGTTTTCTTTCTGGAGGATTTGGATAAGAGTTGCAGAAATTGGAGAGAAAGGTGCTCTTGAAAGCGTTAAACAAACGAATCGCGCTTTTAGGCAAAGTGCGATGGTTTTTCTTTTTTTTAACGATTTTTTCATAATTGTTGATTAAAAATATTTACTTTATGATTACAATTTTTTCCACATTGCCAATGAATAAACAACATTAGACCCCTTCTGACTGTATTTGGCATTGGGAGAAGATAATGCATACAAGGAACCTGTTAAGAAATGGCATTTACAGAGAAGAATGTGCAATCAACAAAGGTAAATCTTGTACTACAAAGAGTGGCTATCGATGGTTGCTAAGAGGTAAGGAAAAGTTTAGAGGTGCAAGGATTGTAGGGAATCAGTATGCTATATCTAAGCATTGTTTTGTATGTTGCCTAACCATGAGAAACAGATTACTGACACAGGACAGAATGGCTAAGTTGAACTTGCTGCACGACTCTGTTAAATGTGAACTTTGTGGAGGAGGTGTAGAGGATGTGGATCATTTTTCCTTCAACTGCCCCTATGCAAATCAGCTTATGGTTGAACTGCTAAAATGGTTGGGATTGAAGATCAATTTAAGGAACCTCAAGCAGTGGATTGATAGACTCCTCAGTATATAGAAGTATAAACCAGTAAAGTAGAGAGTTTTGTTTGTTACTGTGGTTGTTGCGTTTAAAATATATGACTATAAAGGAATGGTAGGAAGTTTTGTAGTAAAGAGAAGCAGGTTAGAGAAAGATTTGAAACCGTAATCAGGGAAATTAGATGGAAAAAACAAATACATTGTAGGCGAGGTAGCAGTGATTACGGTTTTTGTCTAGAATTGGTGTTAATTTGAGCTAATGAATATATAGCACTTGAATGTAATAGATAGGCCAGTATAGTGTAAAGTTGAGTTTAGTTGAATGAAAGCAGTTTACATTTGTCCAAAAAAAAAATAATGAATAAACAACAAAATACATGCTGAAAAATGAAAAATAAAAATAAAAAAATAGGGCCAGCGTAGCCGCAACGAATCAGGATTGTTCCGTGTTAAGTTAATAACAACTTACAATGTCCAAAATTTGTCATGTTATTATTTCCAAGGTGTATGAATTTGATAAGAATCTGAGTTAATTTGTAATAAGAAAGTAATAAGGTAGCAATAGTAATTAAGCTAATTAAATACTCTACATTCTCTATTCTATCGGTCGACATTGTATTGTCCGTTAGCTGTCGCATTACAAATTCACTGGTGTCTTTAGTAGAAAACTCACTTTATAAACTCATTTTTACGGTAATTTATATGGTGAACCAGTACACTTGTCTAATTAATAGATCTAATTATGAAATAAAAATTAATAAAAATATTATTGAATTGATTTATTCCCCCTCGTCATTATTACATTTAATTATGAAATATCATGTTTTCAAATATAAATATTCCAAAATCTCTTCTATTCATAATTACTAACGTAATTTAAAAATTAGAAACAACTTAAATCCAATAAAAAATAATGAAATTTTGATATATATATATGTGTGTGTGTGTGTGTGTGTCATAAAAAATATTGTTCTAATTCATGAAGATTTCATGGAATGGTATGAACTATGAATATAAGAATTCTTAAATATTTTATTAAATAATTTTCTTTTATTCGTATGAAAATTTGCATAATTCGCATGAAAATTATCTTATATGGGTATGAATATGATCTTTAAATTTCTTATTTGCATTAATTTTCCAATTATCAAGAAAAATACTGTGAAACTTGGATACACTTGATATGAAAAGTATGATAGTTATTCATAAACATTTCATGAAAAGAGTATGAATATTTACTGTACACGTGATTATTTTATTAAAATTTCTCTAATTTGTGAAACTTAGATACACTTGATATGAAACGTATGACTGTTATTCATGAATATTTTATGAAAAGAATATGAATATTTTAGTGTACAGTTGATTAATTTATTAAATTTTCTCTAATTTGTATGAACATTTCACATAATTTTTATGAACAATCATAGTAAATGCATGAATGGAGGATTAAATAGATGAAAACCTTTAATTTGTGGTTATGTGTACAATTTTTCAATCAAAAGCTATGAATTATATATATATATATATATATATTTGATATGAAATATATGATCATCATTCTTGAATTTTTCATTGTATGATTATGAACCTTTAGTTTTTGTATGAATAAGATTATATTAGTTTATCAATATTTTTTTTTTTGTTTTTTGAATTTTATTTGTAATTATGTTGGCTTAAATATATGATAACTGATCTTAAACATGAAAAGAGAATTGAATAATTTAATACTAGTAAGATCTTCATTAATTATTTATTTCTTAAATAAATTTCATTAATTAGATCAGTGTACCATGTATGGTGAACCATAGTGCACCATATAAGAATTGCCTTTTACTGTTAACTTGACAATTGTATAAAAATAAATCTTACGTTAATGGAATAGATATCGATAGAATTGAGTGTATTTTTTATGCTCGTGATTGAATCCGTCATTATTCTTCCGCCAAAGGAATGTTTTATGTGATCTCTTAATTGATTCGCAAAGATCGAGTTCAACAGGCTAATGATTTCCGTAATTTCTTAAATCATCGTATAAAATTTTTTATATTTTTTTTATTCATTTATTACTTTCTTTTTTTTAGAATTATACTAACATTATAATGTATCGTTGAATGGATTTCTCAGTATCATATGTCAAAATCTTAATTAATGATGCAAGGAATAGTGTGAACTATGTCAAAATCTTAATAAATGATGTAAGAAGTAGTGTCGAATTTCGAATTATGATGAAAATCTTTTGCCAATGAAAATGTACTGTTCCATGTGTTTATATGACTACCAACAAAAAGCTTCAAGGTGATGATGTACAATGGATGTGTTTGCCCCTTGAAAGTTGAAAGACGTGTTTGTTTGTTAGGTTTTTTTATGGTATTTTTAAAATATTTAAATAATAATTGTCATATCTCAACATATTTTTTTATATTTTTAATATATTTTTTTTTATTATTAATACAAAAAACACTTTAAAACACACACTAAAAAAACAAAATAAACATACTCTTCCCCCCAAAAAGGACTTTTAAAATGAAACACCCAATTTTGTACCTTAAAAAAACATTAAATTTAGCGCATCCATGATTATTTTCTGTGACATCTGGGAGCAATTAGAGTACAAGCTCAGAGCAAAGCCAGAGCCTTGTGTTTTAGGTTTCACGGATAATTCCAAATTTCTATTATTATGGGACAATTCCTGTTAACTTTAATCCGCTCCAAAATTATGGGTTTTTGATAAAAAAAAAAAAAAACATAGAAGCTGGATTTAGAAGTTTCTTTCTTTATAAAACTTGTATTCCTTATAGTGTTATCTCTTGACAATTAATAATTAATCATTCCATTAAGTTAGAAAGTCTTTTGATTAACCATTTTATTGAGTTGTAAATAATCCAATAAATATTGACCAATTCTCACACCAAATTAAAGGTATCATCAATCAGTTTGTGAAGGATTTAACATCATTTCATCTCAGGGTTTTGGAGCCTTGGAGGTTGATTACATTTTGGATTAATGGCCTTAATTTGTAATGGTCGGTCCTATGAGGTTTTCGTTTTTGTTTTAGATTTGAAAATAATTTGAAAAGTATTTTTTTTTGTGAAAATTAAATTTTATATATATAGTATTTTCATATAAAATAACATTTTTACTAATATTATTATATTACTCACTATGGAACGCCCATCACCGTTCAGTCAAATTCTGATCAACTTGATTAGAAGTTGGTTGAAGCAAAAAGAGTAAAATAGTTTGAGAATTTTCCTAAAAGAAGGGAGAGAAAGAAAAAAAAGGAACAAATTAGATGGTAAATAGGACTCTACCAAATCCAGTCATGAAGATGGCATATATGATGCTTACCATAACACGGCACGCAAATCGGTAACAAAATATCTCATCAAAATCGTGTTAAAAGATACTCCTTCCGTTCCATAATTATTGTCCACTTTGGATTTTCATGTTTAATTCAAATTGTACTAAAAGTGAAATCTTAAATTGGACAATAATTTTGGGACGGAGAAAATATAACATGTGGTAGTTTTATAGACACAGCGCAATAAGGGGTGGGGCAATTTTGCCATTTTAAATGTTGTCTTAAACCCTAAAGTTTCCACTGCCCCCAACTATAAATTGATTCCTCCACCTTCTCAAGGCCTCCTAAGTTGAGAGAACTTGGTCGATCATATGTCTCAATCCCAACAACCTCAATAATTGATCTCATTTTTTTGTTTAATTATTTGATCAAATTTGCAGTTTGGTTTATGGAGATTGGATTATTTGATCAAATTTGCATTGAGGTTTATGGAGATTGGAGCTTTGTTACATGGACTCTTGATTCCATTTTTCCTTTAGTATCCGTGTCGATTTGTGTCAGTGTAGTCTGATACGACTCGACTCTGATCCTTCTCTTTTTGAACCAAAAATTCCATGTGGATCCGGGTTTTCGTTCATTATTAGATGCGACACGATCCCATCCTACTCTTTTTGAACGAAAATATTATTTTTTTCCCAAAAATTTGCAGAGTTCGACCCTCGAATCACGCACCTATATCCGACGCCCACACAAAGTCCATGTAAGTTAGGATTGGATTGGAGAAGCAGATGACTTGTTGGAAGATGGTTATAGAAACTCATTGATAAAATTTACAACTCATGTGAGTGGTAAAAATCAAAACTCTCACACCTGTTTCGTTTTTCTAAAATGTTTGTTTAATTTGAAATTTTACTTTCTAGGCAATATTTAAGATTTTAGATTTTCACTTTCGTGATCATTTGTTTTAAATTTGAAAATATAAATTTGAAAATCATTTCAAAAAATTATTTTTTTCTGGTCATTATTTTTCACTATTTATTAGAAGGAAATTTTCATTGATTTTCACTATTTATTAAAAGAAAAATTGTCTTTTAAGAATGTAATTATGATGAATACGATGGTTAATTATTATTCCCAAAATAATAATAATTGTCCAGTATGTTGTTATTTTTAATATAATTTATATTAAAAGTAAAATTTCAAATTTGACACTCATTTTAGGATTGAGGAATATGTGAAAATATGTTTAAAGATTATTAGTTATTACCATGTGATTCGTGATTATGACTTGTCGTGTCATTAGGATTTAGAATTGAAAAATTAAAATAGTACTCATTCCGTCCTAGAAAAATAATCCATGTTGAATTTTCAAATTCATATTAAAACTAGTAGAGATTTCAAAACTCAATGTGCACTATTTTTTTGGGACAGAGGTAGTATAATGTTTGAACATTCAGGTATTAGGTGGGAGTGCGAGTGTGGATCTGACCGTTAAACTCATCTCGTGTCATGTCAAGTGGGAAGGTGTGTCAGATTGGAGTGCACAGTACGAGTGGACTCATCTCATGTCTTAGTGGGGGAGGTGTGAGTGTATGATCAGTGCATGATGCTGAATCTGAGCGTTGGACTCATCTCGTGTCAAGTTAGGGTGCGAGTGCAGGATCTTAGCGTTGAACTCATATCGTGTCAAGTGGGGAGTATCAGACTCATCTCGTGTCAAATGAGGGTGCAATTGCAGTATCTGAGCGTTGAACTCATATCATGTCAAGTGAGGGAGGTGTGAATGCAGGATCAGCGTTGAACTCATCTCGTGTCATGTGGAGATTGTGAATGCGGGTAAGAGTCGGACTCATCTCGTGTCAAGTGAGGGTGCGAGTGCAAGATCTGAGCATCGAACTCATTAACATTATAGGTGCGAGTGCAGGATCGGAGTGTCAGACTCATCAACATTGTGGGTGCAAGTGCACGCTGCGAGTACATGATGCGTCAGACTCATCAAGTGGGGATACAAGTGCAACATTGAGTGTCGGGCTCATCTCATCTCGTGTCAAGTGGGGATACGAGTGCAATATTGAGTGTCGAACTTATTGTAGGTACAAGTTTAGAATTTTAGTGTCGGACTCATCAACATTATCGGTGCAAGTGCAGGATCTGAGCGTCGTACTCATCTCGTGTCAGGTGGGGATGCGAGTGCAACATCTGCATGATCCGGACTCATCAACATTGTAGAAAAAAGATAATCGGTGCAAGTGAATGATATGCGCATGTCAACATTAAAAAAAAAAAAAAGTGCGTCAACATTGTGATATTTTCTACTAAAAATGCCATACCCCGGATTGATTGAGCTCCCAATCTTTGGGGGAATGAAAATGGTGAAACACATATGTGAACTCCCTTTTTGTGGAGGTTTTCAAAGCCATGGTTTCTCTTCTTAATACTTCACCTTATTTGCTTCTGATAGTGACAATTTTTCCTCAAAATGAAGGGTTGGAGGAGGAAGAGGAGAATGGGAGAACGACACCTCCATATTGATGGCATAAATTGACATGCCAACAAAGAGAAATGCTGAAACAATCTCTCAGTGAAAGCTTTTCAAGGTGAGGAATTCCTTTCACTAAGCAAGTGTTTTCATGGTAGCTGTTCAAAACTTTGGAGTGATAGCTATTGCGGTTAAGCTTAATGAAAAATTCATTTTTTCTTGAAAAGATTGTTTAGTTTGATTTTCATTTTTCGTTTAAATTATTCAATTAAAATTCAAATTGGACAATTATTTTGAAAGAGAAAGATTACTGTTTTATTTTTCTTGAACAATCTGAGACATATCATTCAAAAAATAAATATTTCAAGTTATTATAGTTTTTGTTTTCTTTTTTTTTAAAAAAAGTTTACAATTATCTCTTTTATCGTTGCTACTGCAAAGTTACATAGTTAAAGTTTTTACTCGCATGAAATATTTACATGGCACATTACTCATTCTGCAATTCGGAATATTCATTTTCGTTCACTTTAATAATTCATTTTATTATATTTTAAAAATATTCTAAATTATTGTCACGTTTTTTAGGATGGAAAGAATAGACTACGCTAGCTGAGGCCGCTCCTTGAGAAGGTAACTTCAACTCAAAACATACATCTGTAAATTTTGCCTTTATATTTAAATAAGAAAAAGTTTCCCAAAATTCTCTCATCGTGGCCTGACTACGATTCGCCAGATGATTAACACAACGACCTCAATTCATTTTCTTGAAGTCAGATAACTACTCTGTTCCATGACGCTTGTTCTAACATCCTTCATCTTTCAATTTTCCTACCAAAAAATATCTGAAAAATGCTCAAATTCATGCCATGCCTACAAAACGTCAACAGGGCAATTTCCTCTAGTTTCTATTTGTATACCCCCAAACTCAACCCCATAGGGGACTCCAAAATATCCTACAAATCATTCTCTACAGCCTTTAGAATGATGACTTGTTTAGTTGCAACTTGCTGACTTGTCAACTGTTCATGCAGGAACTGGTCAGCTCTTCAAGTTCTCTAACAGCTTGGTCCACTGCATGGATTATCATTTTCTTGATCTGTTCATGAAGAACAAATTTTCAAGTTAAAAAGAGTTAGTAGTCAATACCGTTCCTCTGTTGTGGAATAATGTAGCAAAATATTAATGAGCATAACGTACCTCTAGTTTGTCTTCTTTAGCCTTATGGCCCTTTGGAAGTTTTCTGAACTCCTCAGTCAGTCGAAGGCATTCATGCAAATTTTCAGGAGAAACGAAGTCCACTGCAACTTTTGTACATGACTGACAATCCCGAACAATAACATACATCAGAAGTTGCATAGAATCAAGAAATTAGGCCTCCCCAGTGGTGAGAGTTTACCTTAAGATTCCGAACCTGGTGAGGACAGCCTGCTGGAATGAAAACAGCCTCTCCAAGTCTTTGCTCAAATGTCCAGGGTTCAATACCTTTAATGATTGAAAGAATTTATCTCAAATTACATGAAAAAAGAAGGGATTGACAGTCACCCACTCACAGTTGCATGCAAGTAACAAAGATAACTTTTTTTGCTGAGTCAGGTCAAGATGACCTAATATAGTACATACATAACGAGTCAGAAACTAACCGTATTCTTCCTTGAGCTGCCTTTTATGTTCCCATGTAAGATAGAATGACTGATCATGAATTGGATGAATAACCTGAGTGAAAAAGGAAAGGTCATCAGGTGTGAATTTAGTTAGGTTGTACAAAGCCAAATAAAAGTTGCATTAAATTTACCTTGTCAACTGGAAGGCAGTAAGTGTGCCTAAATTCCTTGGAATGTTTGATAAGATATTCTTTCAGTTTGGGAACATCTTCCCTCCGGAAGATGTCCCATAGAGCACCACCTTTTTCATAAGTTTTTTCCAATGAAGTAAGGCAAGATTCACTCGCAGTTTCATTTCTTTCACTGAGGTCATTGTCGAGCCTAAAGTGATTTTTATTTTTGTTCTCTTGCTCAAGTCTTTCTTTTTCATCCTGGGCCTTATGTTTCTTTTTCAATTCCTCGATTGCAGAACGTTGCTTATCAGTTAATGATACTTCTGCTGTGTGGGTCAGAATATTTACCTGAACAAGTTGGCATAATAAATCATCAATATCCGGTAAGTCATAACATCAAAAGCACCGAACGTGATTTAAATCCAGGGGATAACAGTACTATTACAGGGGGATATAATAAAACAAGAATGCCACACTGAAACTTACTGCGTCAGACATATCACAATGAAGCTTGGTCACAGAATCCCCTCTTCCAAGTTCCCTTGCAACTCCATATGCTATATATGTTTTTGGACCTAAATCAGGTTTCAAAATGGTATTCGGAAGCTTAACCGCCAGATTCAGGAAACCATCTCTAGGATCTGTGTATTCCGGGAATGGCAATGCACTGATGAACTCGTCACAATGGCGGGGCAGCAAATTGTCAAACTTATCAGAAGGAGGCCAGTCCTTGAGTTTGAGCATCTCAGGCCAAAAATTCATGTAAGTTCTTCCTTCCACATAACCCTTGAAAAACTTGCGGGTATTGATCTCAACCTGTCAAGAAGTCACACAATTATACATACCAATTATAAGTACCAACGCTTTTTGGAAAAAGAAAAAACAAAAATGTTATATGCAAAGGAATATTACAATATTGCTCAGGTACAGGCAAACAGATCAAGCAGAAAAATGTTTGAGCTCACCTGGCAATCTGCCAAACAATCGATAGCCTTAACTTCTGTCATTTTTGAACTGACCCCTGTATCTTTGTGCTCACATAATGCACGCCACATAACCATTGGCTCCCAACTTAATCCACTAGTCTGTTCTAACACATTTTGAACAATCACAGGTTCACCTCTAGCCCAATGATTTCGGAAGCGGAACAACTCATCATGCATCAGGGTATCATTTGAATCAGGGCAGTACAAACAGTTGTCAGTGGATCCTCGTCTGAAAGAAGCTCTTCGTGAGTCTTTAGGGTAAACAGATTCACAGAAATCTAGTGAAGCAAACGTGTTTGGGACTCTGCAATTGTCCAAGACAAATTGTGCTCTGGCTTCCAAATTTGACATTAAGTCTTTCTCAAGGAGAGACTTGAGGATTAGGAAATGACTACCACATCCACCTATCTCCCTCGGGGGACAAGTGATATTTCCATCATCATTAGAACCCCATTGAATAGGTGGTTCAACCTGTTCTTCTAAATCGTTCATTACACAAGACGTCGGTGACGGGTCTCCGCCGTGCATATAATCATAACCCAGATCAGCATACCGGTAAAGTGATGTATCTTGTCGTACTAGAAATGCATTTTCACGAATCTCACGGCAGCAATTGAGACAGAGCTCAAAAGAGCAACTGGGACAACTCCGATGTAGATCAATGATTGAAGTTGAACAATGATCACTGTAAAAGGAATTATCATGGAATCTCTATGGCATGCAATTTAATTATTTAGACAAAACTGATTACTTCCAAAATGGATAACTTACCAGAAAACTCGTTCATCTGGATGATAAACCGACCTTTCGATGACGACTGAAGATGCAGGGACACCTAATGATTGTATACAATCTCCATCAGTATACATTATGATCAAAAAATGAATTAACACTTAAAAAATCAAAAGAGTACCTTGAATTAGAGCTTCCATTTCTATTTCCTCTATTTGCTCTTTATGAATTTGCTTTAAGAATGGCAGAAGTAAACCAATGAAATACTGAAGATGTTGAGCCTTTTGTTGATCAGAGCGATTTGCACGTGGTGTCTGAACCTGTAATAAAGAGTTGATGCCAGACAACTCTTCATAAACCAGGCCAATAAATGAACAAATGAATAGCCAATTCGTTACGAAGATAAACCTTGGAAAGGTCGCTTGAATGCAAGCACAAGTTGCAGTTGCAGTTCCCACGGCAAAATGGGCATGTTTCTGAAATATCTTCTTCTGACAGATTAGGATACCTATTTAATACGGAAAAGGAAAGTGAAACAATCGAAGATTATACAAATCCGTTTACACATCTTCATTACATGAAAAGAACCAGCTGGAGGCAGTAAGGATTTACCACTCCCTAATGCACCGGATGCAATAAACTTTATCTTCACATTTCTCACAAGGAACAACTGTTCTTCTTTCTCTTCTCATGCACTGATGGCACCTCAGTGGTTCCTTTTTGTTCACCTAATTTTTAAAGATTTTCATCAATACACAATCCACCTTAAAAAGGAAAAAAAAGGAATAAGCAAAAAGAAAATACTTTTACATTGGTTTTTCCGCCTGTGGATATATCCTTGCTTTTCCCATCATTTTCTGAAGACGAGGAGTTGAATGACGATGATGATGAAGATGACTTGGATGAAGAGAGTTTGCCATTTTCATCTCCTTTTGTTCTTTTAACCCTTATTTTTTCTTTTGACTGCGCAGAACTCAATTTGTAGCTTACATTCCCAGTGAGATTGTTTGTATCTACAGTGCTTTCTTCATATTGCAAAAGTTCGATGTCTTCCTCTTCATCCATCCAGTCCCCAACCAAATAATTCTCAAAACTATATATCTTGGTTGACGAAGCACGACATCGCCTAGGCATTCTTCTGATGTCTGCGGTTGCAAAACTGTTAGTACTTTCATCATTTCCTGAAACTGTAGATGTCCTTTGCTTGTTGAGGCATTCGTTCCACTCTTCATCACTGTCTCCCCCCTTTCCACAGCAGGTTTTAGGTACAGAAGCCTTCTCTTTCTTAGAAGTTCTTCTTCTCTTATGTGAATGTTGAGCTAGATCTGTAGTTCCAGTGATCCCAATTACATGCTTCCTTCCTTTCTTAACTTCACCTTTCCCTTTGTCAATCCTATATTGATCACAATGAACTTCTCTGAGTTTTGAAGCATGGACACATTCTTCATAATATATCTCTGCAGGTACAATTTCACAATCTGCAGATATATTTTGCCCACCAGTTGAAAGTTCAGTCATTGACAATGATCCAGGACCATAATCTTCGTCTCCGTCCCATTTTGATTTTTCAGTAACAGCACAACCTTTTCTCTCTTTCGAAAAACTAAGGCGCCTTCTGGAAAAACTTCTCTTCTTGGTAAACTTTTTTGCTGACACGTCATTGATTAGTCTGCTACCACTGTTCCTTCCCACGTCTTCTTCAGCTAAAGAAACTTCATCTTTCCGAACAGTCCTATGCCTTTCGTTCATGACGCTTCCATATTTTTCAATCTCTGGAACTAGACTAATTTCCTGATCATCCCCTACATTGTCGTCCTCGTCTTCGTTATAACTTAAAATAAGCTTTCTTTTCCTTGGTTTATCCCTCCGACAAGGAGTATCGTACCTGGTCAGGCTGTCCTGTTTGGGTATCAACACCTCCACATTCACTGCAAAATTCAAAAACCAAGTAAGGGAGGCTCCTATTTTCTGATAAAACAGTTCACTGTAAGCAACAAAGACTTGAAAACTATTAATTGATAAATATCAATGCACAAATGCATCATCTAAAACCTGAACAAGGCCAATATCCAAAACTAGAATCCCAACAAAAATTACATCACCAAAACAAACACAATCTCAAATAACTGGGGTGCCACGTGCCAATATAGCTTATCTAAACTGCAAAACTGAGCATCACTAAAGTGCCCCCCATCAGTAAAAAAAACACAGCTCAACGCCACGTGCAAAATTTAAAACTACCTGGCACGAACATATCCACAAATATGCAGCAGGATGGAACATCAGAGAGATGAGATGACTCAGTTCTGAGTCAATGACCGTGATCAGGTACAGGTAAATCTCAATCAAAAAACCAATTGAAGAACAATAAGACATCAATCTTTGAAAACAGGATTCCGTCTCAAAATCAAACAGAAGAATTCAATAACGAGGTGCGAATCCATCTCAATATCAATCCAAACACAGCAAAAGTGATCAGTTTTCAATCAGTAAACAACAAAGAACATGCACAATTCCATCACCACAAAGGGAGGCCATGTTTGATAAAAACAACAGGGAAACACACTTAGTAATCATCAACCCAGAACCGGGTTTGATAAAGGGTGTCTAAACATAATCAGCAAAATCAAAATTAACTCACTTGTTTCATTGATCACAGAAGAGAAAGTTTAGCCAGTCCGCCTCCGGTTCTGATAGTTTTGTGAGAAATTGGGATGTAAGAAATTCTAACCCAACTAAAACGACAGAAAAGAATTGGGAAATGCTGATTGGGCTAGGAATATATATGAATTATATGGAAAACGACGAAAATCAGAGGGATTGATTCAAATAAGGAGGGATTTGGAATCCCTGAAGGAGACGGCCATATTGAGGTGAAAAAATATGAAGGCCAACTAACGTTGAAGGTCTTTGAAATTTACCTGTTTTTTTTTTTTTTTAATTACTACTATTAAATTCCATCGCGGGAATCGGGATATACCCTGTTTCCGTTTGGTGGGCTATTTTATTTATTTATTCATTTATTGTAGTAGGAGTAGTATATTTGGTTATAAATGTTTTCCTTTACCTGAATATTATATAATCCAAAAGCTATGGAGTTATAATTTAAATTTTTATAGATTTCTAAATTAATGCTTATTAGTACCTCCCCCTACTTGGACCGGAGTCTGGTTGTTTTGGATGAAACTGTGTGCTTTGGAAGTCAACTGGTGCTGTCCGAACATTAATGACCTTATTATCTTCCTCTTAAATGCAGTTTTATTAGCAATTATGTGATTATATTGTAAAATGAAAAATGTTAATGACTGGTTCCTCCAGCTAATCAGAAAATGAACAAGTTATAGTTATGCTCCCAGGTACATGAAAATCACGGGTTTGAGAATAAGAGTTGCATGTAGTGTTTTCATGTCACATCAAAAAATATATTTTGCTTCCGAATTGTCATTTTCCATATTTTAGGAATTTAGGATTAGGCAAAAAAAAAAAAATAATAATAATAATAATTCAGGATTAGGAAATAAGCACATGTGGTGGGGCTAGAGTGTGGGGGCACGTGGAATTCACCATTTAACAAAAGCATCTAAATCATGCTTTTTTCTCTTTGTGAGGGTAAAAAAACATAGGGTCATGCTTTATCACAAGCTTTCGTGGATACTCCTTTAATTAATCTAATAATAATACTACTACTGCTAGTAGTAATAAATATAAAAAAATCTTCAGAGTAGTACATTTGGAATCTTCAGGCTTAACTCACTGTCAGAAGCTGGCTGGCAACAATCAATTTTTAGTTTTTCTTTCTTTTTTCCTTTTTTTTTTTTTGGTTTGGCCTTTTTGGCGTCAGGTTTTTGACTTCGCGCAACAACCTTATGTTTGTTTCGTGTATTTTTAGGTGTTTTTTGTACTTTCTCCGTCCCAAAATTATTGTCTAGTATGAAATTTCACTTTTAGTATAATTTGAACAACAAATGAAAACCCAAACGGACAATAATTATGAGACGGTAAGAGTATTAAAAATGTAAAAAACATGTTAAAATGGAACAATTATTAATTAATAATTTTGAATAAATTATTAAAAAAATGTATGTTGGGATGAGACATTTATTAATTAACTTGTCATTTCTCGCATCTTCAACGCACATGTACAACAGTACAAGTATTATTTTGTTTTTCTTTTTTTTTGTTTCCTTTTTCTTCCATACAAGATTTCATGGCTTTCAGAGGTGTATGCACTTCTTGGCGGGCTGCTGCCGCCACCATGGATTAAATTCATCCCTTCACTATCACCTAGAATTCCCCTGCTTCTGCTTGCAAGAAAAGGAAATAACGATGAATGTGAGTTTTATAACTTATCAAAGAGAAGGATTTGCGTATGAGATTATCCATCCCGGAAGTAATTGGTAAACGATGCATTGAAGTTCGATTTGGTTGGTTACTAACTCTGATTGAACCCTTTTTCCCGATCACCATTTACGCTTCCTCATATTCGAACCTTGCCCAAACCCGAAACCATGGAGCTCAAACCGTTTCTCTTATCCATAAAACAAGCTGTGTTGTCAGATAATCCACATCCAGGGTGTCAAATTTTACCCTGTTTGCTATTCCTTGTCATGGTAATCTTCTAGGTTTTTGGAGGCCTGGAGATGTGGTGTGGACCAAAATCGAAACCATACTAGAATCAGAAAGAACTTCATCATTTCGTACATGTGAATCACTATGACGGTAAATTTTACGTCATTGGCTTGTCACTGAATTTGTTGATTTGGGATGGTAATTTCCCTGTTGTCCATGTTTGCTTCTTCCGAACCAATTTTCATAAAAAAAATCCCAGGAATCAGGATAGTAATGGCTCGATGGATATAGATTTTATCCTGTTTCATTTTGGGTACAAGGAAGAATCATTGGGGGATGGTTAAGGATATCGGAGGGTTACGATCAAAACATCTTATTTCTTCCGTCTCAGAATAATTGTTTTATTTATTTAACTACTTGTACTGATTTAGAAACTAACACGGGTTTTGAATTATTGATGTGGATAAGCAGCGTCATATTTTGGATCTCAATTTAGCATGCATATCTACAAAACTACAAATGACGGGCCAGATCATGTAAATTGATACACCAAAAATGTTAAGAAAGCAGCAGCCATCCATCCACAGAAACCAATTCCATTGATTGGAAAAAAAAAAAGTGCTATACAAGTTTTGTTATTAGTACAACTTACAGTGCCTCGTGTATGTATGTAATGTACAACGTCATATTCCCTCCCCTAACTTCAAAACCAAGGCTCAATTCCCATGTTACAAAAAGATCAAAGCTAAGATTTTCAAGGATATGTTTTGTCGTCATAAACAACCCCATCCGGGGGCAACGATGGGGAAGATCCCCCACTAATTTTGCTAGGCGCTGGGGTGTTCCTCCGTGATTGGCGTTTTGTTGGGACGAGCACAGACTCCTCCAACTTCTGGAAGCTCTCGTCATCGTCACTGTCGTCATCATCATTTTTGAAAACGGGATGAATGTAAGCATTCTGGAGGTAGGACTTCAGGTTCAGGTTTGGCTCTCTTGCTCTTTCCAGTGTATCTTTCCTCATTGCTTCCTGGGATGGGTCAAAACACGAAAGATTTAATAAGAGCCAAATTCCAACGCTAGATGAGAAACAACATTGCAAGTTGATGCTATTCCAAATTACCTGCAATGGGTACCTAATGAAGGCCGGCTCATAACGTCCCTTGCAGTAATGATGAAACGTGATGGTCAATATTGGAAGTGCAATGAGGAACGGCGTGGTACTCGCTGCATGTTTTGTACTCATCAACCCCATCAAAAGTACCTGTGAGATGACCAGGGCATATATGACACGACCATGAACATCAGGCCAAAAAGCAGCGGCGCTTTCATACTCTTGATTGTACACATTAATGATCTGAACAAACATGCAAAACCCAGAATTAGATGCGTTGACATAAGAAACGAGATATTCAATATTGATTTATTGAGCAATCAAGCATGATATACACCTGCTCGATGATAACAAATTGATCAAATTTGGATTTAGTGTTACATAGAAAGATGTTGCACATTGGCACATTGGCACATTAGGTAACCAGTCAAATGACAAGATTTCTTACCTGATGACGAAACACGACGTATGCCAGACCAAAGAAAACCAATATGAATGGGAGTAGAAGCGGGGTCACAACAGCATAAACAAGACCTAGCAGGAAATAAAACTGTATTTGTGGTTCCCCAGTGTCAAAACCAAGACTTCCTGGATCCATCGCCTCTTCCCGGTCTTTCTCGGTTTTCACCAAGAAGAAATTCTTCAAGTGGAAAATTATCAAAGGTTTCAGCCTCAATATCTCACCCGCAATACCAGCCCATCCATCAACCATTATATAAGTTATGAAGAAAGATGCTTTCATCGGGATTGCCACACCTATCGTCTTTGGGATGCTGCACATCAAGCAAAAACTTATTAGGATTAACCGGAATTATATCCAAGCAATGAATTGCTAACAAAAATATAGGAAAAAACCTTGACGACTCCAAATCCCAATAGTATAATATATTCAATGATCTTTCATCTATTGAGAAGTCAACTGAACATTACAAAAATTTAAGAATTTCAAAAGAAAACAACAAGAGCAATGAAGAGCCAGACATAATTTGAATGGAATGACATACTCATTAGCTGACTGTTTAAGGAAACTGTCAAGTTGTTGAAATGCGGTTCCCAAAATTATGCTCCCGAGGAACACATTGACAAAGTTAAAGATGTAATATTTAGAAGCTGATCTCCTCTCCAAAGTTGATATACTCAGAAGGCCTTCAAACTTGGACATCATCATCAAAATGGTAGGCAGGAGAATGAGGAAAATTTTTAAAGCAATCCCAGGAAGAAAACCTTGGATGAATGACTTGATGAAGCCACTGCATGAACAACAGGAGACCATTAGCATGAAGAGAGAGACATTCAGAATAGAAATTGACTTAAACGAATTTAGTTTCTAAAGCAATCGACTAAAGCACAATTTAAACGGCCCAAAAACAAAAAAAAAATCTAGTGAAGATTCATCATCTACAGCATCCATGTTGAATGACCATTGCATACAAGCTATTGAATAAAACAGCAGAAAAAAGAGAAATATTATTTGATAGCCTAATCATCCAGGAGGCTCTTATATCATTTTTTACAACACACCTGTACTAACAGGTTATGAAATATAGAAACAGCAACACATCTCAGAGAGTTTCAGTCTAAACAACAGAAGACTTTATCCTATGTTTTTTCTAATCTCAGCAACTAAGACAACCTCTTATTTGACAAAAAGGCAAAACTTGTGAGAGAAGGACAAGAAACAGCAAAAGGCTGTACAACTAAAATATAGCAACTCTAGAAACGCAACCTGACAAAATAATAAAAACTGACATTCGTTCTAAGTACCCATTTGTTCCCCGAATAAAGAAAACCTTTTTGAAATAAGGCTACAAACAGCAAGACTCAATAAACAAAGTACAGAAAAATAATACCGTCAATGTGAGTGGAAAGAAGAGAACCAGAAACAAGATATTGCAGTAGTAACAGCACGAGCAACTAAACAGCATGTATGTGAAGTCTGAAAACTATAACAAGGACACAAAAACTTACATTTCAATAATAGGCTTCAGAAATTTGGCTCTTTTCTCAATGCTTTCAATATTTGCAAGGGATTGCACAAAAGTGATAGGAATCATGAAGAAAAAAGTGAGAAAGAAGAAAGCAACAGAGATTATGAGCTTTCTGACAGACAAGGAAACATAAGGGATTGCCAAGTTTGGCCAGTAAACATCACGAGGCTCTGAAGCCCATCCTGTCAACCATAATGTTGGGTTTCTGGACTGCTGGGTTTGAGCACAGACAGCGGCACCCCAACGAGTTTTAAAGGAGACAAATGCTGCAGGCATAATGCACTTAGGATCACTGAGTACCCTTTCACGTTCTGCGGCTATCTGTATGATGCCAATACAACATTAGAATAAGAACTTTACGAGCTAAACTGTTTAAAGAGATGCAAATACGACATATTACTTCTTTTGTTAATCTTTCAATTTCTGCGGTCTGGTGATCAATTGCGTCCACTTTCTCACCAAAAAGGCCAAGAAAACCAGTCTGCCAGAGAAGAATGCAACAGGTCTTAATAAGTGATACATCTTCACATGATAATGGAAATAGGAATCTCACGTGCAGCTCCCCCAGGAAAGGAAGAAAAGAATATGAACAAGAGATAAAATAAATTAAAGAAATTGAATGATGAATAGTAGGCTACCTTTGTTGTGGGTCGTTGTTCTTGGTTTCTAGCATATTTTAACTGGTAATAGTCCAGCCAATTTTGCTTACTCTTCTTTTCTGCCACCAATTTTGCCAGTTTGTTGGCATTGCAAACAACCTAGGCACATTCAACAGAAGAATCACAGGTAAAACCCGGTATCAACTACTGGAAAAAGTATTATTCAAACAGATAAGGGGGAAAAGACATCTACCAAACTGATTTACTGCCATCCAAATCAAACATAAGAATCTTTAACAGATAAGAAATTCCTGCTTCTATTCAAATCTTTTGGGAGCCTAAGCAAGACACCAAAAGCTGTTCCATGTGATGGAGAACACATGTTGGAGTCACGGAAACAGCCACTTATACAAATATAAGGTTCTTACGACAACCTATATTAAGCCTTGATGGCCCGATCTTCACCAACTTCTCATTGTCAATTACTATTGACTTCCAATAAGAATAAGCCTCCAGAATTCTTGATGCATGAGTAAATTTAAAAAAGAACTTTAAAGAAAAAAAAAACATGCAGATCAGAAATCAGTTGGGTCCAACCTGATGAGTAAGGTAATTGTCCGGATGATTGACCAGGAAAAAGTGCTCCACGGTCTCACTTATCGATTCATCAGGGTCTGGTGGTACATTTTTAACAAGAACCTGACAAATTTATACCCCAACAGTTAGGCCCTAAGTAAACCATACCCAATACATGGCCATCTTTAACATTATATTAGAAGAGAACGTACTGTAAATTGATCTGGCCGTCGCTTTTCAGTTGCAATAAAGTGCAAGCGCATGGATGCAACTTTTGCATATTCATTTTTTAAGACATAGCATGTCCAGACTGTCAAGGCATACGCCATAATGATATGAGTCCAGAACCTGCAAGTTTGTAGATTCATCATGGACGCGAAGCATATTATAAAAGAATATAAAACTGGACCCATTATTCCATTGTCATAAAGAACAAGTAATAAGAAGAGTATGCAAATCAGGGTGCGTGCTCCAAATGTCAGCTGAGCAAGCAAAAGCAAATTCACAAGGAAAGCATGGTGGCTTGGCAGAACTTGGATATCATTGAAATATAGTAAAATTTCTCTTCTTTTGCCAAAAATTTCAAAGGTAATTAGAGGCAACTATATTCAGTGACGTCAACTCAAATCTCAATTTTCTTAGGCAGTACTGAAAGTCAAACCAAATGGAACTTAAAGTTATTCGTCCAAATACCAAAAAGGGTTGAATAATCTAGTTTATTTTGATCAATTGGGAAAAATAAATTAGTTATTTAAATAAAGAAAGGTATAATTTTGCATTTGAATTCTATATAGATCCTACTGCTGCAGAATAAATACGCGAACAGGCAGAGAGGAGTTCTGTTTGTGAGACTTTATCCTCCAAAAGGGTACAACAACTTAAGTTCTATATAGCATTCCTTGAAGCTACACTACAGCACGACAGCATTTCAATAAGTGTGATGGAATTGAGAAATGCCTATTTAGATTAAAGAAGCCAAATAAAATTACTGTTGACATTGCTATTATCGAATATAGTGTCAAAATGATAACAGCAAAACTGCAATGAAAGTTAATAGCCATTAAAAAGCAAAGAATTCGAACCTCTGGGATCCAAGTGGAATGTTGGAAATAGAAAGCTTATCAATCTCACCGAAATCCACACCTGATTTAGCTAACGTTTGATTTGTCCAGTTAACAGGCACAAGAATTGCCCACACAAGCAATGTAATAGGAACAAAAACTTTAAGTCTGCATCAGAGGACAAGTACAAATAGAATTACCACCAAAAACAAATAGAATCGACTTCTCAAGAAAATGATAGGAAAAAGAACAAACCCAAGCAAGTATATGCGTAAATAAACGGCAGAATCCAATCCTGCGTGCTCAATAAGCTCAGGTTCCGGCATTCTCAGTGCATCAGGCATCCAATTCAAAAATCTTATATACGCCCTCCAGTCCAAATTCACAAACTTACTCACCAACGCCCCGGAATGCGTTGGACTATTTCTCAAACCCTTAAGGTACCACTTCGGAAAATATACTCTATCATTGAATGGTTGAAGACGTAATATTGCGAAGGCTATTAAGAAGATCAGCGCAGTGAGTAGATTGATGCCGGCTGAAAGGCCAATGTCACCAAGTGATGTTGCCATCTAGGACCACTGCCAGAGAAAAAGCGTAACTTCAACGAAAGCTATATGCACTAAAACTGGAAAGGGCATACAGATAAAATGATTCGTAGATCACAGCAGTGGTGGAAAAGAATAGAGCAAGTAACAACTTCACTTGTATTTTACACGGAAAAAATATGTCCAAACAACTTTGATGATTAAAATATATCAGACTGTTCTACAAAAAGAATAAAATTATGTCTTAATTGTTTGTGTATAACTGTTACTTTGCATATTACTGTAGCTCCTAAGTCAAAAAGAGATATCTGTTCATCATTCATGAATCAACCAAAAAAAGTAAAGCTTCATTTCATTCTCAAAGACAACACTGACCGAACGCAAAAAATAAAAATAAAAATAAAAAGGAATAAGGGAAAGAACACTACCCAAATAGCACAGAAAGAGAGTATTCTGCACTAAAGCACAGACAACAAAAGCCAAGATACATATATCAATGTCACAAGCAACTCCCTAGCTAATAAAGGAAGAAAACAAATGACAGTAGGAAATAAAAACTATTCCACTTCAGAAAATTAAACATCACATGATTATAAGGAGAAATTTGAACCAAGAAAACAAAAAAGAACATCAGCCCAATTTGACTTCTTGATCCATCAAGCGTAAGCAGAATAAAGGTGGAAACAGGAAAACAGAAACCGCAAACCCAACAAATTAAAAAGATGCAAATTTGGCAAAATTCAACAATTCTGGAAGAAGAATATGAAAAGAGAGTGCGTGTGTTTTACTATGAACAAAATATTAATGGTGACAGAGACTTCTATAGCAGACAAATTAATTTTTCTTAAAAAAATCATTTGATTTTACTCACAAGGAATAGAATTACCCTGTTGCTCGGTTATTCACATATCAAAATAAAGCATCATTCAAGCTTGATTCCCAAATCCAACAAGCATAAATCATAGAATAAGCAAAACAGCAGAAACCAAAAGTCTCCCAGAAAGCACTGTAAGCACGAACAACATTATAGAGGCGAGATTGCAGCAACTACTAAAGCCAAGATATATCACAGTTACAAAATAATTCCCACACCGTAAAAGCTCCGGTTTCCAGGACAAAGAAACAAAAATCTAATCAATTCCATACTCAAGACAACGGAGACCTAATACAATTAAGATTTAAGGAGAGGAAAATTCTGAACCAACAACCAAAACGAAGCAAAACTCAATTACCTTCTAAGAGAAAATTCCAGATGGCTGAAGCAGAATTGAGCGGATAAAAACAGAAAAAACAGGAAGAAGGTACCAACAGCGAAGGAAAGCAAGCAGAGCAGCGAAGCTGCAAGATTGGGAAAACGCTTTTGGGATTGCTTCAATCCTTCAACTCATCCAAAGAACATTCTTTTTTTTGGTTCAACAAAAATCCCACTATCAAGCAAACTCAACCACAATCCCAAAACCCATTATCCATCTTCCCTACATAAACCCTCAAAGATAAAAAAGTAGCAGAAGTTGTCAGAATCTTTAAAAACAGTATTAGTAGTAGTAGTACAACTAATTTTGCTGCTTTTTAGAGACAGGAATTGATTTGATTATGAAAGGATGGAAAAGGAAAGGAGGAAGAGGAGGAAAAAAGAAAACTTTTCGAGAAGTCACTAAAAATTAATTAAAGAACAGTTTCAGGAATTTATTGATAGGTTCTTATTGCACTAGTTCTTGAGATATTTTATTAATGGAAGTGAGTGGATGAGTGTGAAATTGATGCCTGAAACTATGAACAACGTTTTGTTTGTGAGGAGTTGAGAAAGTTGAAAGGTGAGATCTTTGTGGGAAATTATGACAAATTTTTTAATGAAGTGCTACAGTAATAAACAGCAGATTAACGTAAGAAATTGTGGTCATTAAATTGGGTAATTAAAAAAAGGACAAAGCCCTTGGATGTCGGCAAGGGCCCACGTGGACCTTGTAACGGCTACTTTTTGTTCCTTTTGCTTTCCTGCTGTTGTTTTCTTTTGATGGTCTTTGCTTAGGACGACCTTCATTTTGTGTTGGAGATTTATAAGTTGGAGTATATTGCTTTCTGAGATTTGTAATAAGAACCGAAAACTCTCCAAATAGAATATATTAGTAAATGAGATTATACTTATTTTGACTTTGATGTTATCATAGTATTTGATTCCTCTTGACAAAAGGAAACTCTTATCTCAATATGTCTATGGGTGTTTGTTCGGACAAACGTTAATGTGTTACTTTTCTCATTATCAATTGAATTTGAAGTAAAAGATCAAATTATTTTAATAAATAAATACATTATTGATATTTATCTAACTTATAAGTTAATAACTATTAGTATCATAAGGTGTCTCTTTACATGCATTGGCATGAAATGAAATTATCTTCCATGCGACCGTTGTTGCTCATTAATTTCAGGTGGTTTGTTTCACATTTAGAAAATAAAATAATAATGATGTTATGTAAATGATTTGTATGCTTACATAAAACAACTCATACATGCTAATTACATAATAGCTAGGAGAATATTCAGTAAAGACGCCATTAAAGTGTCACAGAAAATGAAACACAATAGATTTTAAGACAAGGCAGACAACAAAGTTGATAAGCAATTTCAAAATTTAACTTCTAGGTACCCATACAAATTGATGGAGAGGATATGGATCGCAACAACCGCTTTAAATTGCAAGCTAACAAGTTACAACCATATATATTCAGCACACTACTTCGGACGTTTTCTTTTTTTCCCCAAAAATATAAACACGAGAATAAAAAGAAAAATTCAAAAAGATTAAAAAAAAAACACACAACGGGAAGAATAGGTATAACGTCGGCAGTAATGGCTGCGGCCGCCACATGGAAGGCGCGCACCACCGTGTCAGTGTGTATTGCGCGCGTCCGGACAGCGGTTCTGACTTATGAGTTTTGGATTAACTAAATTTTATAAATTTCGTTCTTAATTTATTTTATTAGTGGTTAGTAATAATATATTAGTAGTATTATTTTGCTTCAAAGAGAAATAAAAGCGAGTAAAAACGGACAACAACGTGAATTGACAAACTTCCATATGGAGTAAACAACTCACGGGTCAACCGCGGAGGCCGCCCATATGCCAGTACCAAATTAGCTAAGCTAATTATTCTCCACTTTTGTACAAGTCTATATTTTATTAAAGGAATTATTACTATCAAAAGATGTTGAATGGGGGAATATTATGATTCTTTTTTTTTTTTTTTTTTGATAAAGGTAAACTTTATACTCTCTCCGTACCGAAATAAGTGTCATTTTGGTAAAATGGAAAAATTCGAAAATAAGTGTTGTTTTTGGATTCCAATGCATTTTTTGTAAAAAATTTCCAAACACACCCTCAAAAAAAAAAATTATTGGTGAACATTTATTTTAATGAGGTTGGTTGAGGATATTCTAGTAATTTAGTTACCCTATTTAATCTTTTCTTAAACTGTGTGCAAACTCTAGAATGACACTTATTTTGAAACGGAGGGAGTATTACTCAACTCTGAAAAACTTGCGGTTCTTTACATTTACATTAACATTTCCTTTCCTAGAATCACTATTCTACCTCTGATACCTATTTACATTGTCAAAATTCCTCTAGTTTCTAAGTACTTCAGTTCTGATCTTTTTATCTTCTTACTGCCCTGTTGGATTCTCCATTTCAGCTCCACTATTCTGTCCTCAACCCTGCTACATTCCTGTGCAAATCTCCTGGAGTTTCTTTCCAACCACACATTGTAGACACTAGCCACTATGGTTCCAACCAAATCTCCTGGATTATGGTTCTCTTTTAATTTTTTTGTTTTTTAGGTAGCTAAGTTTGAAAAAAAAAAAGAAAAGAAAAGAAAAGAATCAAAACTGTACAACTCATTATTATTAGTCAAAACTATCGTTCTGCATAGAGATTTTTTTTCAAACCAATAAAAATAAAAATAAAATGTTAGTATTCAAATGACCTATCTACAGTTATATTTTCTCAATCCTAGGACAGTATAAATACTGCAATAAGATATGCGATTCCTAACACAACATGCTTAAATCAATCTTTATACGGTCAATGATGCCGGGGTAATCTATAACAATTTTTTTCACTTTGGATCTGAAATTGAATATATATTATCTAAGTCAATGACTTAGAGAATTATAAAATCAAGTAATCGCCAATGGAGGATCCAAGGAGTGTGTTCCTTCCTTCCTTCCTGTTTTATACTGGCATCCATCAAAAAGATTCACATAACTAACTCTAACATAATACTAAAAGTGAAAATCCATAATTATTTTAAAACACAGAAAATATTAATTGCTGATTGATTTACTTTGCTCAATGTTATATGGACTGCAAATTTGTCATCTAGGGGGAAAAAAAAGTGTACGAAAAAAAACAAGCTAAAGAACATGGATAGGTTACGTTGACCATCAGATTGTTCACTGGGGGAGAGGAACTACTCGTAGAAAGAAAGATTTGCGTTTGACGCAATTAGGAAGAGAGTAACAAAATCGATAATCCTTTTGGGTTAGTTAATGGCGGAAATAATTGTATTTCACTTCAAGCAACCAAATTTACATAAATGTGGAGACAAATTGCAAAAGCACAGTGTGATAATACTCATCAATCATTAAAAATGTGTACATATTTCGTTAAGTTGATCCGATAAAAATATATACTCTTTCTGTCGTAAAATTTTTGTCCAGTTTAAGATTTTACTTTCAGTATAATTTGAACTAAAAATAAAAATTCAAACTGGACAATAATTATAAGAGGGAGGGAATATATAAGTATTCTTATTCTCTTTGTGTTAAATTATTGTTTTACCCATCTTAAACAAGATTCAGTTTCGATTATTTTATTTCGACAACAATCGCTCTAAATCGGAAGAAGTATTTATTATGCTGGAGATTTTGATTTCCCTCATCAACTCAAACGTAACTAAGCAGTAACCAAGTACATTGAAAACCCGAAAAAAAAATGTGGGACAATTAATACTTCTAACCAATTTCCCGTAACAGAAATCTATTTAAGGAAGTTAATTTGTGTATTGAATTTATTCAGTTGCCATAAATATAAGTAAGCATGTGATTTGATTATTGAAAAAATACACTTAACAAAAGAGGTGAATTTAAGGAATGGGTATGGGACAATGGGTAAGGGTGAAGCTGGCAAATCTCATCAAAATTGGGAATGGGATGGAAATCAAGAACTCCAACTACTACAACTACTACTCCCAAAATAACCCACTCCCACCATTTCACCAGAAAAATAAATAAATAAACAAAATCTTCGATGGTAGGAATTCAAAAACCACCAAATCAAATTACTTCTATTAGAAGTCCAATAAAGACCATTATATATATATAAAAAAATTATTCCTTCTAACAAAGTATTTTTTTAAAGACCGATCGGGTACAAAAAATCGACACTTCAATTCAGTAAAGTAGACATAATGGCAAATAATGTATCTTGGGCCTGTTTGATAAAATTAGTGCTTAATTCTGTATATTTAATTTTGAAATAGAAATGCTGAATGCTTAATTCTGAAAGATTAACTTTTAAATTTTAATGTATGAAACAAAATGCTTAATGAACTTTCTTGTTTGATAAAAATACCGATATAAATGTTGAATCGTGCGAATTTTACCAATTTATCCTTTTATAATGTTTTAAAATTTCTTTATAGTAAAATATTTTTTTCCCTAGCCATGCACTAATTATGTTCATTATTCATAAAATACATACTAGTATAAAATTATTATTTATTGTAAAATGGCAAACTAAAATGCACATGCCATTTTTCTTAATAAAATGAATCAGCCAAATTATAAAGTATTAAATTTTTAATATCTTTGCAAATAAATTAAAAGAGAAAAATCTAAACACATGTATGAAATAAATTAAGATTTTTACGGATGAAAACAACGAGACTTTATTTAATCAAAATGAACAATTAAAATATTTAAAGAATATTTAATTAGTGTATTGAATAATAAAATATTCATGGGTAATGTTGGAATTCAATAATAAAGAATTAAAAAAAAAAGATAGATGAGAGTAATTACCAATAAGCATTAATTTAGATTTTACTACTTAAAATTTGTACTAAAGTTTCAGCAGTGCTTAATCAAATAAGTGAACCATTTTTTGATTATCAAACATACTTATTCTAAAAATTACTTAAACCAATAATTTTAAATAATAATTCAAGTTATCAAACGCGCCCTTAATCTAGTTGTGGAAAGCATTACCCATTAGCCATCAGCAAATCTCTACGCTTTTCATAATTCCCAAAGAAAAAGTCAATTTAGGCTTAGGTAATTGCCAAAATAGGTTAACTATACGACACTAGTGACAGAAAGTGACGATAATAAAATAAAGATGAAGATAATGATGACAATCACATCTACCTTGACTGGTTATCTATACTGAATTTTATTACTGATTACATCTAAGCGTACAACCACCAAAAGGAGGCATGGGTAAATCGACATTTTTAAGGGGGGAAAAAAAAAAAAAAACTCCAAACTAAAGTATTTTTCAAATAAAGGAATTATTAGAGCTCCTGCAAAGCAGGGCAAGGATTTCATCTACCTGCCAATTAAGCTCTCATTTTGGGTGTTTCATGAGATCCGTTTTTTAAGATAAAAATATTTTCATCCTGTGATCGAAGGTGTACGTAGATGGCTTTGATGGTCGTAATTATGATGCTAATAGATTATCAATCATTAAGAATTGTGGTGTATGGTTTACAAAAGTTAGCAGCTTTACCAAATAGTTGATGAATTGTTATTATTACTCTTATTCTCTTTTTCTTTTTTTTTTTTTTTTTTTTTGGGGGTGAATTTGAAGGTATTTTAGGGTGGGATATACAATATGACATACTCCAGGTCGTGCACAAATTACTTAAGACCAAATAGAGGAAATGGAAATGGAAACTGAGGAAAATATTTAAAAGCGCCCGGTTGATTCATAGTGTGACTCGTAATAACCAAATTTCAGAGTTTTAGAACGAAGTTATGTACAGAAAATGGTATACTTTGTTCAGGATTCCTGTGATTGGATTGTGGCACTAAAGAGGTAGGTGGTAGGTTCAATACTACTACAATCAATTGAATATTGTTTCTTTTGTACCAAAAGCTATCTGCCTGAAATTAGGTGACCAAGACCTTGGTTTTCATAGAAGGACCCAATGTCCCAATCCTCAGATGTGGAGGACAGTGTCATTAGTGCTACCACTATTGACCTCATGGTTGGCCTTAACTGAGGATTTTCATGTGCACATACTCTTGCCAGTTGAGCCATCTGCAAAAATAACAAAAAAGAGTAAAAAATCAGGATGATTTTTGCCAATGATTATCCATTTTTTCTTGTAGAAAAAGATCGCCATGATTCGTTATCCAGCCGTAATATACAATACCTTCCGAACTGAATCAATGGGATAATCATCCCCAAGCCTGGGATCGATCAATTTGGTTAAGGCTTCTTGAGGGTCAGGTTTCTTATATGCATCCTCAAACTGTCAGAAATGACACCAAAAAAAATCAAGAACTTAGCTTGGGTGGAGTTTTAGTAAAAAATTTATTGATTAGTCTAAAAAAACACTTGTTATTACCAAAGCAACAAGTCCTTTTGATTCAGAAACCATTTCATTTGTCTTCACGATGGCTTCTTTAGCTGATATTAACTCATATAGCACAACTCCAAAAGCATACACATCGATTTTCGGCGAAACATCTCCATACTGAGCATACCTGAAATCAGATCCATCATAGATTTGATACTGTCTTTTCTGGTCTAGCAGGGAAATTAAATTTCAATCTATGCAAAACAAGAATCTAATCTTACTCTGGAGGCATGTAACCAAAAGTGCCAACCAAACGAGTGTGCAAAGAGGCACTGCCTACTTCAGTCAGTTTAGTGAGGCCAAAATCCGCAACCTGCAGGATTATACAACAATGCCTCAGTAGAGTTATGAGCATCATAAGGATGTGTAAATTGCCTACTCAACTTCTTTTGCTCCTAGTTCTGACTGACTGACCTTTGCCCTGTAATTTTTGTCAATCAAAATGTTTGCGGATTTAATGTCCCGATGGATGTAGACAGGCACTGTATGCTCATGAATATATTCAAGTCCTCTAGCTGAATCAAGAGCTATCTGCACTCTGGTAGACCAAGGCAATGGTTCTCTCCCTGCTGGAAATGCAGTATAAAAAAGTTAACCCTAATGAGAAGAAAAGCCTCAAGGTCTTGGAAAAGTTATGCATTTTCAGGACATTGACTCCCTTTTCTCTCACCAGAATTGCGTAAATGCTGGTTCAGATTTCCGTTCTCAATGTATTCATAAACCAGAAACAAGGATCCTTCTATGCAGTACCCAATTAGACGAACCTGTATTTGACAAGCACAAGAAAATCCACAGTCTTGTTTTGTGCGAATAAGAAATAGAGAGCACTTATCACATGGTAAATCAAGAAGGGTAAGACTTAGGGTACTAATGCATGATTCTGGGAGTCAAGTTTAGCTTGGAATTTAATATCACGCCAATGCATGTTATTTTGTGGGTAATCCTTATACAGGACTGATGCGACGAATAATCACGGATTCCAAGTTCCAGCAGTCACAAACTTTAAGAACATGTACGAAATGATTTCACCCGGATGAAGTCCTTTCAGTTCTGTTTTCTTCCAAACATGCACAGATTATGATCATCAACTCGCATCAATTTTCCTCACTATTTGCATGGTTCTGATGTATTTTTTGGATGGTCTATCTAATGAACATCACAACTTCACAAGTTTGATTCATCATGGCTCATGGGATGCATGTCTTATTGAGGGGGAAAAAAGTAGAAAGTAGCTACAGATGAGAAAAATGCTTTAGAAAAATGGAGCGTCGACTTAGAGTCGTCGAGAATTTCATCTCGGCGACGCCCAAGAAAGGGTTACAATTGAACTGCAAAAACAAATTCATCCAGCATCCAGCATGCATCAAATTCATCACACATCCAAGAAGACAGGTGCATATGTATTTTTATCCTTGGAAAAAATGAAACTTAAATGAAGTTCCAATCTCACAAAGAAGGACGAGGAAAGTACCAGGTTCAAGTGATGGACATGGGTCAAAACCTTCAATTCAGCAAGGAATTCTTTGGATGCTTGCATATCCATTTGCTTTATTGCTGCTTTCTACATTTATCCATGACAAAGAAACTATGTCAAAGCTAAGGCACATCCACAACATCTATGGTACACAATGAGTAGCTCCTCAGTATTTTCTTCAGCCTTTTTCACTTTCTACCGTAAGGATGATATGAATGGCATATGCTTGGAACCAAAATACCAAGTGAAGAATCTAAAATGGGAAGTTACATATATTCTATCTACTGCAAATTTTCATTTCCTACACCAGATTTCAAGATTTCAGAGCAAATATCCCTACCTCGCCTCTTAATTCGCCGTAGAAAACAGAACCAAATCCACCTTGGCCTATTTTATTGGCCAGGCTAAAGTTGTGAGTAGCCTGAGCTAGTTCTTCATAGGAGAATTCAACCGACTTGTCCACTGTAATGCCAGTCAGCCTTGCATTGGCAGTTCCTACAAGACGACCCGATTCCGACTCTTTTTCCAACGTTCCAGAATCTGTATTGATAAAAAGATCAATTTATAGAGATACAGAGTAGCTCTGAATTTGTAGAGATGATGAATACCATTATTTAAATTAATCTTCTTTGGGTTCATTCACCAAGAAAGAGAACCACAATGCACATGATCACCTTTAAATTCATATGGCTCTCCTTTAGTATGTGATTCTTCGGTTGAAGTGTTGTCTCTGTAAAAGAAGAAATAGAAGCAGGATGCCACGAAAACAACACCAAGTACCGCAGCAACTGATACTCCAGCAATGGCTCCCGCTGATATCCCTGTTCAAAATGGCACCTCATCATTTGACCCTAGAAACCCAAAAACTATTCTTCTTAAATCTCGATACCCCAAAATTTGAAAATTGGCTGGAGAAAAAGGACTAACCGCTTGAGCTGCATTCACAAAGAAAAGAACATATCATTTAGATATACAAATGGACTAATGTAGATGATTCTGATAAATAATAAACTCATCAAGACAGCCTTATGTTACCTTGACTTTAGCTTAGGAAAAGTTCCGTTTTGATCTGCATCAATCACAAAAGACCACATAAATAACAGTTTATTCATAATCTGCATAAGTAGGAAAGTGGTCTTGATATCATAAAACACACTGCTTAACAAATCTGATGCCTCTTCATTCGCAATTTCACATACTTAATTAGTAAATATTCCGCAACCTATCTGATACTTCACTTCTCTAGAATCACAAAATGACTCGTGATGAGTTACCTTTTCCTGGAACAAACACCAAATCACTTCCAGAGCTAAAATTGACTCTCGGATTATAGTCTTCCAACAACCTTTCAGGAAGACCAAACTTACTGGCTAGAGAAGTTACATCCTCTCCGGAACGAAGAGGGTACGTCACGAATAGTCCATAATCCTTAGAAACTTTACTATCGCCACAAGAACAATTCACAACAACATTCACTTGCGCCGAAACAGGAATATTGCCAGAGGTAAAACTGTTAAACCTTCGGAGCATTTCAACAGTGGTAAGATTTGAATAGATAAGCTGTGCAATCCTTTGATAAGAAGTGCCATTCCTGGCCTGATAAGTAAACTGATGCCCCATGAATCCCTTATCCTTTAAGCAACTACATGAGAAAGGAACATTTACTCTGCTACCAAACTGAATGAGATTGGGATTTGTGATTTGAGGATTGTAACTGAGAATACTGCTGATATTAGTGGAAAGGACTCTGGAGATGACTGAGAGGTTTGATCCATTCCATGCATAATATGATGCTAAGGCATCACATGATGATAATTCTTCACTACACTGTGATTCAGCTCCATCACAGAAAGGCCTCAAGGCCAAAAAGCTTATTACTAACAGCACTAGGACTATCTTTCTATTCATAATGATCATCATCAACCACCTTGGTTTAGAACTCAGTTAAAAATGGATGGAGGGTCTTGAGTATTCAATGCGTGAATCAAAATGTTACTAACTGAACTTTCATACTAACAGACATTTGGTCTCTGTTCATTTCAATGGAGAGACAAACTGAAAAGGTTGAAAGAAAGGTACACTAATTGAGGTTGACTTTGACTCGGGGATACTGAGAAACTACTTTTAGTTACCACACATGGTTGACTCTCGGATACTTGAGTAGTTGACAAGTAAATTCTGAAATCTTGGCATCTGTCCGTATGTCCTAATCATATATATTTGTTATTAGTTAGTACCACTTGCAAATCAATTGTGTACCATCGAAATTACGAGTTGAAAGCAAAATGATCTTGATCCTACACATTGTTCTTAGGTATTGTAATAAATTAATGCCAACTGATTAAGCTTCAAACATCAGTAGTAGTTCTTCTAACTTAAGCAACATATTTTTTTTTCTTTCTAAGAATTCATTTTTAAACCATGATTGAATTAGTAAACCAGGAATGAATCAAATTCATATCCTTTCTCAGCCTTCAATTAAGCTAGAAACTACTATTATTTCGGGTTCGACAAGATGATTAAGTTATCGTCAATTAGTCTACCTTCATATCTCAAACCGAAATATTAATCGTAACCATGGGCAGGTGAATTGTCAATTTTGATGGAGTATAAACATTTTCCCCCATTTTCAATTTGCTAGAATGATACTCCTCCGGTACTTATTATAAGACATTTTGATTTTGTCTTAGGTTTCACCTAAGATGAGTTTTTAATTGAAAAAAAGCCTTAAAAATATATTTTCATATTTATCGTATTTTCATGATTATTAAGAAATATTTTTAAAATTTTTATTAAAATTTAAAAAAATCTTAGATTAAATTTAGGACAAACCTATGACAAATTAAAATATTTTATAATAAAGACCGGAGAGAGTACTACGTTTATTACTTGTATAAATTACTTTAACTCGACTTAGTCAACTGCATTTCATTTGAATCAAACTATGAAGTTATGGGACAAAACTAATATTATACTGGTACTTTCTTTCTCCATTTCCTTCCCTTTTTGTTGAAATTTTAACCCAACCACATAATTATAATATCCCCAGTTCTTTCCATGTCATACAATTGATAAATTTTCTACGTTAATTTTTTTTTCCCAATAAACCCTACTTAAATATGGGATAAAATTCTTTTACATATCAAGGAGAATTGAACTCAGATATAATACCTAGAAACATAATATTATAACTACTAAATTACCATTCAATTCCCTTTCTAAGTTGATTTTGTAAAACACCTGACCTCGAAAAAGAGGGAAGTAAAATAGAATGGCAGTGGAGGGTAAAGCCATTTTTTTTTTTTTGGAAAATAGAGGGCAAAGCGATTGAACGTGTCAAAAGAAAAAAAGGGACCCATTTGAATTTTAGGCATCATTACTACTTTTTAAATACATTCTTTTCCATATTTAATTTATCAATGATTGCCGGAACCTGAATGAATACCATTTGACGGAAGAAAACAACTTAATATACTAACCTTTTGCCGGCACAAAAACAATTCCTGATCCTGCGCTGAAATTAATCCCCGGATTGAACTTTTGCAACAAATCAGCAGACACTCCAGAAGCCATTGCCACAGACGATAAATTTTCGCCATCCCTCAATGGATATGTCTCAAATAATCCATAATCCCCGGAAACTTTTCTGTCTCCACATGAACAGTTCACAGTTACATTGATGATGACATAAGGCAGAATCCCGGGTGGATCATAAGTGTTCACTGCTTGAATCCAATCCGCATTTGTAAGATTGGAAAATGCAATCCTAGCAATATTCTTGTACGTGTCTCCTGCTTGAGTTTCGTAATGAAAAGTGTGCCCCAAGAAATCGCCATTCAAGCACTCGCATGAGAATGGAATGTTGATTCTGGTATCCCTTATGAGGCTGTTTTCGTCTGGAAGTTGTGGGTTTTGCTGAAGGATTTGTGGGATTGTTTCGTTGAAGGTTTTGCTAATGTAAGAGAGATTTGTTCCCCGCCAGACATAGTAGGAACCTAAAGCAAGATCACAGCCACTTTTGCACTTTGCTTCAGCTTGGAAACAGTACAAGCATAGATATTGAAGTAGTACTGTGATCAATAATAACACTATCTTCCAATTTGATGCAATATCAACGATATTCATTATAGTTTAATTGGGGCTACGGAATGTGAAAAGGAACAGAGGTACATAAACAGAAGAGAATGAATTTGTTGTGGTTTTTTAAGATTCCATTGGCAAAAAGGGTGAGGAATGACTCTAACATTTTTGTCCTTGCATGTTTTTTAGTTTATGCAGCCGTCTGCCATGGCTTTTTTTAATTTTTTTTTTTATCTGTTTTTAATTTCTAACTAGTCATCTATTATAATTGGGGGATAAGTATAGTTTTGGCTCTTGGGGGCAGTAATTTTCTCACTTTTGTCACTTAATCATCACTTAATCACCATCATTTGGATTTTAGTGATTAACAACTTATTCCAACAGAGAGAGAGAGAGACATCAGACATTTTCCTTGTTTTTAACCTTTAAAGTGTAGCAGTTATGTATCATGGACGAATTCTTAAGGATTATGTATCAAATCTTGAAAAGCTACGCGGCAAAACGATTCTGATCAGTTGTCACTTTGATTGCAAGAATACCCTTGGGCTTCAAATGATAGTATACAAACTTTAAACCGATTAGGAATGAAACTAAAGAAGGGGAATAAAAGTGAAGAAGATCACATTGGTCGCCAATTCAACTTGGCAAATCACGAGACAATTTTAAGGGACAGAAGTAAAAATTTGTTTCAGAATGGGGAGATATCAAAATTCCGTCAGTAGTAAGAGGACCAGACAAATTCCTTTTGTTTTCTTTTTCGTTATAGCGTAGGATCCACACCTGAGCTGGACATCCAAGCAGTCCCAGAGTTCTTGCCACAAATAAGAAGATATTTGTACCTTTCAACTGGAAGATATTTTTGGTAATCTTAACAAAGAATTAGTCTCCTCTTCCTTCATCATGGTGTTTTAATTTATCCATCGTTACTCACTCGCAATCGCAACAGATTACAGCACTCATCACAAAATTCACAGCCACAATCATCGCTGTACTATGGAATCCACCATCTTTGTCCCTCTATCTCAGGTAACCTATTTTCCAACAACAAGGCCTCAGGCAAGAACCATAGCTTCTCGCTTTGGACAATGGCAGCAAAGGACTTCCCGTCAGCCTACTCGTATCTGCTGTTCAAAGATGTTTGTTCCAGGTTCATATAATCACCCTCTTAATCACGCAAACGTTAAACTACAGCATGTTGAGCTATTAAAATGGTGGAAATTGCTTAGTAAAGTTAAGGTGTGGACCCTTGTGTGGTAGGATTTGGAGAAGCATCGCCAGAAGCCAAGGCAGCAAAACACCTCCATGATTTCTTCACATACGTAGCCGTCAAAATTGTCTCTGCTCAGCTCCAGGTTCTTTTCTCTCTGTTCCTTACATGCATTACACGCACCAAACACCCTCCTCCCCCCCCCCCAAGAAAATTTCAGGTATAGTGATGAGCTATATAGTTCAGAAACACCTCAACTTTTGCTGGCTTTAACAAGAAGCAAGTTCAATCTTCAGTAGGGTCAGAAGTTATGTACACGAATTGTTAGTTAATACTACTGTACTACAAGAAGCCAACACAAAGCTTGCATATGCTTTTTTATTATTATTATTATTATTATTACAGATTGCATATGCATACCACTATTATTGTATTATAAAGTGTATCTGTGTATGAGGCTTTTTATTTCTCAATTAGTCATTTTACAGAACAGAGCTACAACCCCGAGGCATATGAAGAATTGATGGAATTCTTGGGCACCCATCCTCTAAATGATGGGGATAAGTTCTGTGCCGACTTGATGCGTGAATCAGCAAGGCACAAATCTTTAGGTATATTGCTAAGAATTCCACTGGACTAGATGAATACTGACCTTATTAGAAAGATAATATCTATAACGAGTACCCTTGGTGCACCTTTTGATGTGTAATCTGCACAACTGAATGGAATAAAGAGGTTATAGAGCATGATGGAAATCAGTTATTATTCTAAGATCATGTATAATTAATAAGCTGTGCTTCCAAAGCTAAGTAATAAAGAAATAAATAGCAGAGCTGCTCTGTTAAAAAAGATACTGATTCAGTTTCTTCTTTTTCATTTTTCTTTTTCCTTGCTCTGCAGCATTGCGCATACTAGAGGTAAGTACATGTCAAACTTCCTCTGAATAAATTCTCTTCACACTGAACCATTCTCACATCATGTGAACTATTCTCTCCTTTCCATCTAGGTTCGATCCGCATACTGTAAGCAAGACTTTGAGTGGGACAATTTGAAGCGATTATCGCATAAGGTCAAAATGCTGCTGCCTACTTTTTAAATGATTATCATCATGCAAACTATTTACAATGATGATTTTCACACAAGTACAAATGAATGATTTCTGCAGGTGGTTGATGACTCAAACACAAGACTAATGAGGGACTACGTCTTAGAAACTAGTCATGTGGAAGGTGAAAAGTGATTTCTCTAAACCGCTCAGAGACGGGGTTATTGATACAAAATACTCCATACATATGCCGTTTATCAATGGGCCTCGTTAACTATATTCCGATATCAGTTTCTAGAGAAGTTTGTCATGAACATACATGTATTTCAAGTCCTAAATTCTACGTGAGAGAGAATTGGCGAAAATGTTCTGAAATATTACCTGTACAATAAGAGGACATTTAGTTCAATCATCCTTCCAACAGCCTCCTAGTTGTCTGCTGTTACTTAATGATCCTGCAAATGTCGAAACGTTAACTAGTCAAGGCCGAAAATTGTAGCTAAAGGTTTATGCTCTGTCATGTCATAGGACAGGAAAGTAGTATATTGTAGCAAAGGTGCTAACATGATACCACTAAATGCATATGAATATATAGAGGATCAATTATGTCAGCATACAGGTAGCTCAATCAATGTCCAAAATTACTATCTGACGCCAAGGACTTACCTTGAGGAAGACAGACACCTCAGAAGAAGCAGGAATTTGCCCCTTGCTGTAATATGACTGAGCATTTTCTTCAATGTTCTCCACCCTGCATTTAATTAGAAATTATTATTTAACTTGAAAAGAGCTAACTTGAAATTGCAAAATCAGCACGTTATTGACAATCACTAAAAACATAGAGAAAAGTTGTTTGCAACCCATCAGTTTCCTGACATCATTGTTACAAATAATTGTAGAGCCATGAAAACCGATAGAAGAAATAGCAGAAAACACTAGAGAACACTATCCAGATGTTGATCCCGAGCAAAAGGTTTACCTATAGATGTAGTTGACCATAATCCCGCCACTTTGAGTGAGACCTTTTTCAGATCGATCCGCCATCCAATTCAGTCGGCCAATCATCTGTGCTTTCATATCATAATTACTATTAGCAGGGGTCTAATATAACATGTCATACACGCTATTTCAATCATTGCACACTTCGGGCAACAATATCTCTCAGGTACCCATTTCAACAAATGCAAGTAATGAAAAGTTGGGGGGCCAAAGTGTAATCAGACCTTGGACTGTACTAAATTAAGATTTGACAGCTTTCATGATAAAGTTCTGACAAGGATGATTGTTTTTACATACCGCTCCATTTTGTAAGTGAAAATTTGCCACAGAATCTAGAGCTTTCCCCCTCTTCTTCTCTTGCAAAAGATACCTGAAAATCGTTGATTTTAGGAAGATAAAAATAGTTGAATCAATGACTTATTATTCTCCAAGTGACAAATTCACAGAGTCTGAATTAAATTAAACAACACAGAACTTCACACTAATCTTTCTAGTATAGTTTTCCACACTGTCGTCAAGGCACTTACACACTAAGCTGGCTCAAGTTAGATAACCTTAAGCCAAGAAGACAATATTATTCAAACAGAATCTGGACTTTCAACAGTTACCAAGAAAGTTCAGAAAAATAGACTCAAATATGCATATGTCACTGTGTATGATAGAAAGAAAACATTTTACGACAAAACATACCGAGCACAAAGTCGCAGCAGAGAAGTTCTAAGCACCGAGATCAGCTCAGGTGACTTTGACCACTTGTAGGGTTTTGATGTCAATAAGTACTGCATTACTTCCATGGCACTCTTCCCACTATTGAATTCCCTGAGCAATAAAAGGTATTTTATACATGATGCAAAAAATTTCTCTAAGATCTTCCAAATGTGACAAGCATAAGTTCATTCTATATCTGCGTAAACTGAGAAAAAAAAAAAAACAAAAAACAAAGACCGAGAGATTCTCAGCAGCGCCTTAGTAACAGTGCATCCTCTTCTCGTAATTCATATTTTATCCATGTCAAGTGCTTTACTGTGAATAACTAAAATGGGGCCAACAATGTTTTGATAATAAACAAGAAGAGAGGTGAAATCATCCTCTAGCCACACAAGTATATGCTTACATTGATGCATCTAAGATTGCCTTTTCTTCTTCTGGATTAAGCAAGTTCTCTTTAAAGGTGGAAACCGATCTCTCTGCCGATGCCAATTTCGATAGAAGCCATTGCATGTAGCCTGGAATGGGACTAAGTGTTGCAAACATCTGCACAAAAAGTCCCAAAATTCAAAAATTGGAGAGAATTCGGGGAGCTTAATAATGATTGATATTTTGTTATTGAGCATGTAAAAGGTCAGATCAAGCAACTTCCGCTTCTTTTTTTCTTGTTTTTTTTTTCCTTAAAAAAAAATTACGCTTTTCCTTTTCCAAATATCTCCCATGTACTTATTTGGTTTTCCGATCAACATTATCGCCCATTCCACACACATTTGCATCATAAAAAGAGGGATTGCACATGATATTGGCTCATTCAACGAGAAGAGTGCTTCACAACTAATGTATTTTAAAAAAAAAAAGAGTCAAAGAAGGGATAGAGCAACCATGTAAGAATCCAGAACCGGGGGAAGTCACAGAGAGCAAGAGTAACACGATTCTTAAAATATGCTTCTTAAGAAGACTTAAGTACAACATTTTAAGTTTAACATAAAAACAGAACTTACGCATATATTTGGCATATCCTTCTTCACAACATCAATCACTCGCTTAATAAGGAATTTTCCCAGGTTTATCCCAGATAAGCCAGGCTGGAAATGAAGAGGACAGTATAATTTATTAGCTGAGAACAAGTGTTTCTCTAATACAACAATAGCTGAACTGATCCAAAAAAAGGCAGAAGTAAATTGTTGTGAAGGGGATACAACAAATTGTTGTGAAACCAATCAAATAATAAGAGAACAACACGCAGAAGTAACTTTCCTCTATAATCAAAATATGGATACACCTAAAAGTAAGCCAAAATATTATAATAAGCAGCAAAAGCCCAATAGGTTTTTGAATCTCCGCACTCAAGCAACTAATACATTTGAAAAGCACTTTACAGAGGTATGTATACCTGCGTAGATGATATGGAGTAAAAAAGTGCACAAGTTGCCTCGTTCTCGGGTATTGGAGGATCATCCCATAGAACTTCCTAAATTGAATGCACTAATCAGTGTTCAGTACTACCATCTTTTTCTTTTCCCTTTTTTGTTCACCATTTCTAGCAAAGTGTCCAAGGAAATAAAGCTGAGTACAGAACATAAGCATCAACATCTCTAAATTTTGAACAGGTAATAACAAACCTGGATTGTCTCAGCCACATTCTTCATCAATGCAACTTCTATAAATATTAAAGGTTCACCTGAAAATACCTAACTATTAGAGTAGATCAACACATGCAATTTTAGCACTCCAGCTCATCAGTTCAAGATACAAGATGAATGAAAACCACATGACAAAGTACTGATACTTTGTAATAATCACACTCGAAAGGGTCTTGCTTACCTGGTATTGCAGGATGCAAATATCCAAAACAGCGGCGTCCAACTCCAAGTCTCCTCTTCAGATCTAAAAGACTACTGATTGGATGCACAGCCTGCAGAAAAGAATATAAAGATCACATGACTTGTAACAGTACTCAATATATAGTGACCCAAAAAGTTCAACAACATAGAACAGAATAACAGACCTCATAAGCTACTATTTTTTCCAACAAAGAAGCAGGATCGTCCCAAGTGATGTTGTGAAGCTCAAGGTTAGCAGGACTAAGCCACATAGTAAGCTTCTCTTTTAAGTAAGAATCAAGCGCTCGCAAGGACGCGAAATTTTCATTGCTACAATTTGGAATGAAAAACTATCACAAATGTGTATTTCAAGAGTTAGAATCGGGGACTCTTAAATTTCATTATGTAATTTGATTGGCTGGATGGTGAATACACAGGATATTAACTACTCCCTCCGGTCCTTAATATAAGGCATTTTGATTTGTTCTATGTTTAACCTAGTACACATTTTTTATCTACGAAAAAACCTTGAAAATATTTCATTACGATCAAGAGAACACAACGAATGTAAAAATATATTTTTAAGGTTTTTTTGTCAATTAAAAATGTGTACTAGGTGAAATTTAGGAAAAGTCAAAATGCCTTATAATAAGGACCGGAGGGAGAACTACTAAAACAAGAGTTTATATTACACCAAAAGTATGTGCCCAACCATCTCTAAATGCTTGAAGAAACTTAGGACGTGAGCTATAGCATACTTCAGATAGTTAACCTATAGAGACAAGCATAAAAAGTCAACATTATCGTATTCAAGAATTTGACACTAACTCGCCAGAGTCTTCATGAGAATAGGAACACGTGATTGCGGAAATGTTACAAACCTAGTTAATGACTGAACACAAACAAAATCTTCATATCTTGTTATGAAATTTCAACTTAATCCATACAGATCACAATTACTGAACGAAAATGCCCACTTTAACCATCTACTAAGAATATGAACCTTACCCGAGAATAGAAAGAATATCAGCTCGAATGATAGACAAGAACTTCAATCCTCCGGGATGCTTGTTGAGTCGCTCAAATAGTATCTCATAATTTGGCTTGAGGGCATGCCTCAAGTTTCTTTCAATCCTATAAAATGCAGAAAGTGACAATTCCTCTTCATTCCCACTATCCTGAGCACTGCCACCTAGGTTGCATGAATTTAAGCATAAACAACCGACAAACGCCATTAATCCAGAGACTACTAACATAACACTCACCGGCAGGAAGCTCAAGCCCAAGATACTGCTTCACCAGTTCCTGAACTTGCATCCTATCGAGGTCATATTCTCTTGCAAGCGAAAGAAGTAATTTCCTTCGACTCTCATCAGACAGGCCAACATAACCCTAAAATACCAATGGATAGAGATGATATATTCTTCTTTTTCTCTACAGAAAATTTTAGCAAATTCAGGGGAAAATACACACACACGCGCGCACAGAGGTTACCACTTACCTCAGAGAAATCACTAAGAGTAGCATCCAGAATCTCTGTCTTGTTCATTGAGATAGCAGAGTGCATATACTCTTTTACATGCTCAAATTCCCTGAAAAATTCAGCCATTAAAGACAGAACGACTACCGAATTGTGCAAAAACAGTTCTAACATCTTTCATTAAATTGAAAAATCCAAACAACAAAACAAGAGCACAAAATATAGTGTGTGGAAATTCAAGATTACATAGAAGTTGTACCTTCGGGTACCAACGGACGCGTCCGAGGCGGAATTAACGCCCGGTTTACTTTCTTGAGGAGAAATTTCCATTTGATTGAGTTTGTTCAGCTGAATGAAACAATTATAATCGGAAACAAACTCAATCAACTATAATCGGACTTCCGGGGAAGTTCACCAAAAAAAAAAAAAAAAGAAATTCTAACAAAGAGCAACCGTCAAACCTATTAAAGAAGAAGAACTTACGGTAGCCGGCGGAGATAACGGTCGCATTTTGGTACGCATCAATATGGCGAGGCCTTTTCGGTTCATAATTCAAAATCAATTCAATTTGATGATGAAGACGATCTGACTTGTTGAGCTGTCAACACTCCCGTCCACCGTTACACTTCTTCGGTACGTTAAAAGCAGCAACAATTTTGGACTTTTGGCGGTTTTTCTGTTTACGTTTATAATGGGTTTCAACCCAAAAGTTTTAATGTCTTCGTAATAACGGACAAGTAAAATGGGCTGGGCTGGTATATTGGAGAATCATCAGTTTGGCTTTCAGGCTAAATATGTGAAAATGTCTGTTGATTGAAAATTGTAGACTACCAGGGAGAAGAAATTATGTACTCCGTGTCCGTGCAAAATTATTGTGTAAAATAATTGTGTTAAAATTAGTGAATCATGGAAAAAAATAATAGTAAATTAATTAAAACCATATATATTTAAGTTAAAAACTGCACAATTAACCCATCCGGGCGTGAAAGAGAAAAACACATTAATACTTTATATTAATCGATTAAAATCGAGCTTCTCAAGAATGAGGTGTGCATGTGATGTGAATTAAAAATTGAACTCAAATGGTATTTTAATAATGTATAGAGAAGTAGGAAATAAGCAAACTAGTGTTGGATAAAAAATGAACCCCGAAAAATAGTTTGAGTGAGTTGTCACATCGAGATTCTAGTTCGAATTGAAATTTTTACGTGCAAATGTTGCAACTCGCATAAAATATGAACGGCTAACCTAATTAGAATTAAGTTCTTAGGCTGCGTGATAATTTTGCATGTTTTACTTAAAGGTTTTGGGCTTGTCCCGCCGACTCATTTTACATTTTTAACTCATTTAACCTCTGAAACACAAACTCTAATACAAAATAAACGACCGTCCAAACAACCTTTTGATTCACATTTTAAAATCAAACTTGCAACATTTTGTTAGTGTAATGACCATTTTTTAAACTAAAATTAGTTCAGTGACTAAATCCAAAACTTTGCACATTTTTTATCTATTATTTAGTTATCATTTTTAAACTCTTTTATTTTTTTACAGTGACTAAAATTGAGACTTTTTTATTGTTTAGTGATATTTTTCGTACTTGATATTTGAATAAAAAATAATTTTTTGCTAAAGATACCATCCAAACAACTTTTTCATCTCTTATTATGTATTTCGCTTAAAACATTTTTCACATTCTAGTCAAAAATGAAAACGAAACTGACATCTAAACAAGCACTTTATTTTAATAGTCTATTTTGTCATTTTTCCTTCGTTGCATAAAAAATTATAGTATTTTATTAAATTAAAATAGTATAAAAAATTGATTATTTTTCCAAAACAGAGAAAGTATAAATTATTTTAGTTCAATGCAATGACCGAAGGAAATTAATTTATACAATGTTGCTGCATTTTTTGCAAAGCTAGAGTCTATTCTCTATATTGTTCGAGTTGTTAGATTTGGTCGAATAAAATGTAGTGGCCTATTACGTTTTGCCTCTGTATTAATTTTCTATCAAATTTTAGTTAGGGTGCACCCAGATCTGGAGAAAAGATGTTTTAATCGTGAATTTTTAATTTTCATTATAAGTTGTCATTTTCAAGGATATTCTTTGTTTGGGATGATACGTAAAGCAATAAAGGAGATCCATTAATCAGAATAAGATATGAATAAAGGTATTTCGAAGTACGTCAAATCAGAAAAATGTTCATGCATGACTCAAAACTTGAGAAGATTTTGTAATTAATTTTTTTTTTCAAAGAAGCTAAAATGAAATAAAATTAGGGGATAGTATTGCATACTCGAGTAACGCAAAGAAAGGTATATTTTTCGAAGCGCCACCTATATCCATATAGTAATCTGATGCTAAATAGAAAAAAAAAAAAAAACAAAGAAAAAAAGGTGAAGCTTGTTAATTTTGAAATGAGAGGTATGGAGTTCTTGTATTCACACTCTTAATACCGATATATATCAGGAGCAGAAGATAATTCGTACCGGGTAGCTTCAATATATTCCTGGCTTTCCAAAGGATATTGAATCTCGAGACTAATAAGAAACCAAAAAACAACACAAAAAGGTCTAAAAGTGTACACAACTTAGTCTTTAGGTTAAACTGGATTAATGTAATGGATTAATGTACCGTAACAACTAACACGGTGAATGAGGGTGACAAAGTCAGGTTACACTCCTTCATCTTACATTCGATATTCAATGCATTGTCACGAAATATGGCGTAGCATATACTCAAAGCTCAAGAAAATGTTATGGTAAAACCCCATTTCCACTTATCTATTTCCCAACAAGGCCTGATAACATTTTCTGGATGTTTTATACTTGAGTGTGTGCATGACAATTCTGTCATAAAATTTGCATCACATCGATTTATTCAACAAGGGAAGAAAAAAAGAAAAAAAATCTACTATAAAGTTCAACTAGAGAATTTTTTGCTTCTGTCAATTTTATCGTCGTGTTCTGAAAGTCAAAAAATTGTTTCAAAGATAATTTTGATTTCATCAACTATATCATTTAGCAAGAAAAGATGGCATAAATATTTTCTATATAATTTTTATTTGTCATCTATTGTCGAGTTAAAAAAAAGTAAACTTAAACCTTGACGAGCATGTTTACAATGAATTTTGAATTCGTTGACTGTATCATCAAGTTAAGAAAGTTGACGGAAATGTCGACGTGATTGTTAACAAGTGAAATTTGTTTTCGTCGACTGTATCGTCCAGTTAAGTAAGTCGATGTAAAAGTCGACGTGAATGTTTACAAGGAAATTTTGATTTCGTCAACTTTATAGTCAAGTAGAAAAAAGTCGACGATAATTTTTGCAAGGGAATTTTGATTCTGTCGAATTTACTATATGGTTAGGGAAGTCCACAAAAATGTTGACGAAAACATTAATGGAGAATTCTGCTTTCTTCGTCTTTACCAATGCATTTGGTGAGTCGGCAGCTTTGTTTGTTTGTTCGCTATTTTTACCTCTTAAACACAAAATCCAATATAAAAAATATCATTCGAACAACTTTCTGATTTACATTTTAAATTTCAACTTGAAACACCTTTTGTTAGTGTAATGACCATTTTAGAACTACAAATAGTTCAGTGACAAATTTGGCAGGATTCCGTTGTTGAATAATTATTTTTGGAAAAGTTTTCTTTGCGCTGTGACTATAATTGACAATATTTAATTGTTTAGTGATGACTTGTACTTGATATTTCAAAATGTAGTTTAAAATACTTTTTTTCAAAACCAACATCCAAACAACATTTTTATTTCTCATTTAGTTTTCAATTTGAAACACTTTCCACTTTTAAGTGACAAAATGAAATGTAAGTTGACGTCCAAACAAGCATTTAATGAACTTAACGTATTTATTGGTGGATAGAAAAGTTGACAGGCTTATCATAGAATTTTGCATTCAATGAGATATAAAATCATGAATGTAGTATATCAATCAGGTTGTGATAGTAATTAAACATGCATAAAAAATAGCGAATCAAAAAGAAAAATACTATTATAAGGTGAATGCAGTTGAATGAATAAATATTCTTTCCACCCACAAATAAAATATATTCTTATATTTTACTCCTTATGTACCAAAAAAAAAAGTCTGTATTGATTTTTGAAATTTGTAAAATTTTAAAAACTTAATATGGACAAATTTTTTTTAGACAAAGAAAGTAGTTATTTTTTTAAATTTCATCGGACGGAGAATTAAAGTTATTTGGAAACATAGGTATTGAGATTTGAATATACCGTTTTGGCTTAGTACAATAATGATGTACGGCATAAATTTCGAGTGGTAATGTGGTTTGAGTTTAATATAACTAACCTTTTATCAAAGGAAAAATAAATGAGTTCATTTAATAACAATTACAGTGAATTTTATGATTCTTAAATGACATTTAAATACGGATATACTCCCTCCGTCCTATAATTATTGTCCACTTTGCTCAAAATTATTGTCCAATTTGACTTTTTATGGATCAAGTTACACATTTGTCCTTAGTAAAAAACATTATCCATAAAATCTTAGTGGTTAAATAATTACTTATATAGGGGTATATCCGGTTGTTTAAGGTAAAATATAGTTAAATTTGACCAAAAATAAAATCTTTCATTTTAGTAAAACTGGACAATAATTATGGGACGGAGGGAGTAGTATATTTTATTAACAGCTAGAGTACAATTTTCAATCACCACTCGTTGCTTACATAAATTTAAAATGTATTCTGCTGTAGAATGAAATGAATCAAATTTGATTAATGAAACAGGGGTCATGAACATGGAGTTCGGGCTGTTGTCATTTGTCAATTTCTGGCCATAGATATGTTTTTTTAAAATAAATAAATAAATAAATAAATAATTGTACAAATGGTAGGTAGATTAGTTAGAGTTTCTAGAAATTTGTTACTAATAAAATAGATCAGTATGATTGGACTGGATATTCATATTGTCGTAACGATTAACTAATTATTTCATTAAAAAATAATTATACTTTGATTCTAAAAGTAGATGGTACCCATTCTGTTTCTTTGAAGGGAAATTTCCTTACTCGATATGTAGTCATGTAGGTGAGCTACCTCCCCAATTCCACCGGCCGACACCTCCTCCTATCCCGCCCCTCTCCCAAACCACCACCCACCCCCCAGGAAAAGACTTATTATTATTAATATAGATTATAGAGGACAAGATAAGCGAAAGAAGTTAAAATACGCATTGCACTCAACTCAGCAAAACCTTATGAAATATTTGTGGACGGTCTAGAATACGTGTGTGCAAGCGATGATAATAAAATACTTGTAGTGATTAAAAGCCGGAGAACCGAAAAAGGCACTTCATAAAACAAAGAAAAGTCTTGTATGTTTCACCTCAATAATAATGATTCTTTTTTCTTCTTCTTTTTTTTTATTCCCCATTACACGGTCTTCAGAAACTGATGCTGTACTGTATGGGGTATTTTCTGATGAGGTTTCAGGAAGGAGTGGGTAGGTAATGATGCATGAAATGGGATGGAATGGGTAATTGGGGGGTGGGTTATAAGATACAGTGTATATTCGTGTGATTTGTATACATTGAAGGAAAAGAAGTAGGAAGATTGGATTAGTGGATTACCCACAATCCCACATTGATAATGAAGGCAATAATAATATTCATCACAATTATATAGTATGTTGTAACTGCACCAAGGAATTTATCTCCCTTTTCAATTCAATTTTCACCTGCCACTTTAGAGTTTAGAATATACTCATCCAGTCCTTATTATAAGACATTTTAATTTTATCTTAGATTTTACGTAAAATGCGTTTTTAATTGGAAAAAGAAACTTTAAAAATATATATTCACATTCGTCGTGTTCTCCTAATTATTAGGAACTATTTTTTAAATTTTTATTTTAATTAAAAAGACATCCTAGATAAAATTCAGAACAAACTTAGGACAAATCAAAATACTTTATAATAAGGACCGGAGGGAGTAATATGTTACTATCCCTAAAAGACTCTTAGTCCACTCTGCTCAAATCAAAATTATTCTCCAGTTTCAATTTTTATTTTTGTACAAATTCAACTAAAAAATAAAAACTCAATTTAGACAATAATTTTAGGACAGATGAAGTAATACTTTCTAGAAATTGATTAATTTGCCTTAATGACAATGTGAATGTGATATTATGTCTTTGATAGTAACTAAGCAAGTATATAGTAACTTTTTATGGAACCATAAAATTGTGAGAATGAATAATTGATCTATGATTGAATTAAATATACTGAAAGATATTGGCTAATTGGGGAGATGGCTGGTTTGGTGTGGGGGGGGGGGGTTAGGTATTATTTGGTCCGTGACTAATAAGAGTCAGTGCATGGGGTGGATTGTGTCATTTTAGTTTTAGCCTTTTAGGCCGAATCTGAGAGAGACAGCCATTATCGTTACTCAACCACTCGAAAAAAGATAGATGCATTTCAAGAATTTTTTAGAGATGAGAAGTTGAGACATTGCCTTGTATATTTTTTTCCGTTTTTGTGTGTTTTTAGATGTTTTGTATTGAAAATATAAAAAAGTGCATTAAAATATATTAGAATGGAACAATTATTAATTAATTATTATGGAAAAACCATTAAAAAAAAAAACAAACAAAGCTGAACCGAATGATTCCGATGCTGCGTCTTTTGATTAAGTCAAGCAATGGATTTCTCCCATTACTAGATTCCACCCCCACCGGATGAATGGACCAAGTACTCTACTGCCAGTCTGCCACTTGTATCATCATACAAACATGCAGCGGTTTTTTTTTTCGATTTTCAGTAACAATTGCAAAACGGGAAAATCTTACATTTGGCCCAAAACAAAAACAAAAAGTAGGGGAAAAAAGGATTTCCGTTTAATAATAAAATCATTCAACAGTCATTTATGAATGTAAGATATAACTAACTGCGTCATTTCTCAAAAATTGCAAGATACCAATACAAACAATATTCGGCGTCATTATTTTTAACAGCTAGCCAACTATTAGGGGGGAAAAAAAAAGTATTCGTGTAATAAGTTCATATATGCCACGTGTTTCTTTTAGTAATTTGAAGATAATCACTATTGTTGTCATTGCTTACCCAAACCACCGATATGACATTGCTGTTTCACCTAATCTTTCATTTGATCTCACTACAAAAAAAAAGCAGGTTAATTATTTTATTAAGTTATTTCTAAATGTGAAAATTTTGGGTAAAAAAAAAAATCAGTTCATTGCAAAAGTAAAAAAATGTAAACTCTTTTTTTTTTTTTGTAAAAGCAAAAAAATGTAAACTCTAGAGTCTAAACCAACGAACAAGTTATATAATGCCGGATCGTGCGACCATTTTGACTTTTCTCATTGTTAGTTATAGACTTCATTTGACTTCTTCTATGCTGCGACTTCTCCAACAGACTCTGCTGGCATTTCAAAAATTTGATGTCTCTATTAATAATAAATTAAATCTTGATTAGGTGACGGTAATTAGTTGACCCCCAGCAGTTTCATAAGGATTAAGGATATCGACCCTTATCCCAAATGTTAAAAAATCATAGGACTGTTTATATTTATTCATTATTTTTTTAATTGGTGATAAGTCAATGCAGATGTAACATGAAAACAAATCCAATCAAGATTTGAATGCACGGGGCAGAGAGTCAACATTTTACATAAACATCGCATCATTGGTATAATTATTGCAAAACTTATGTTTATTGAATTAATAATTGTTACTTTCAACTTCAACTATTCAAACACTGGGTAGATCTCAAATGCTCCTCGTGGTTTATTGCGTGTTATTTAATCCTATTGGCTTCAATTAATAGCTGGTGCACCCATGAAAATGATAGACATGCAATTGGGCAACAATAAATGGTTCAAAATTTTAAAATTGGCATTTATATTCAATCAAGTCCATTCAAACCTTCACAACCGAACTGAGTATTTGTTAGCCAAATATGTGGAAGTACTTCACTGAAATCAATAGGCATCTTTTGATTTAATATATTTAGTGTTTTTTTTTTAAATATATTTTTTCAGTGTATGTTTTTTCTGTCCAGAATATAAAAATATGTTTGAAAATATAATAAAACTGGTGGAATGAAAAAACATATTAATTCAAAATTCTAAAAAGATATAATGGAGGTGTTGAAAAAGAAAGCCAGACAAGCATGAGTGTTTGAAGTTACTGTTTTGACTAATTTTTTAAGTGACAAAATATTTGGACAGCAGCTTGAGTCAAAATATACCAAATATCAAAAAAAAAAAAAGAGAAAAATATTCGGATCCTAAAATAAGGACAGAATCCGAAAATTTTTTTGGAAGCTTTAGAAAGACGCCATAATGGCAGGATTCTGGTTCCTTACGATGTTACGGACACATTAAAAAAAATATGTTATCATTAAACTTTTTTTTTTAATGTTTTAATGTTCAAAAGAAAGCTCTGTCCACAAGGGAAAAAGGTTACAGTCTGAAAAGCGAAAGGTTCGATGAGAATGGAGAGAAACTGAGATGGAAAGGAAGGAAGAAATCCCATTTTTACAGATGAAGCCAATTTTTTCAACACAAGTTCTTCTCAAGACTCGAAAGGTTTTCTTACTTATAAAAAAAAGGCCACAAAAGCCCGCCTGCAGTCAGTCTTCTCTCCCCTTCTGATTCCCTGCCAAAAAATTCAGTAAGGCCCTAACAAAAATAAATATAAAATAAATGAATAAAAATCCAATTTAATGAATCTGGATACGTACTTAGTAGACTTGTCATTTCATTTTATGACCCTTTCTCTCATCTTTGCATTATTAACTTAATCAGAACAATTCCCTTCTTTACAGAAAAAATTGATCCAGACACTAAAGCCCCTCTAGAGTCTCACTCATCAAAATAAAATAATACACGTGTATTCAATTTGTTTATAGTATTAATCATAGTAAAATAACAAAAAATGTAATGAAATCTAAAAGGCATTTTATATCTTTCTTCAACCACAAATATTCCTCTTGTACCTTATAGTTTATATATTCGTTTCAAGATAATTATTCTTCACACGGCTATTTCACAAAATTTCACGTGTTATTGTTCAATATGTGTTTTTGAACGTCAATTGATTAAAAAAAGATAATGATAAGATGATGTAATCTGTTAATATGTTCAACAATTCAAATATTTATACTCGTTATTACATGTTGTGTGTTACATAACGTTCATTCGCTAGAGGCCTATATACATTTATTTAGCAAATGTTCTTTACCTTATGAAAGTTGAATGCCTGGATAATGATTTTTTATGATTTAAATTTAAAAATAGGAAAAAATGTATAGGGAAAATATAGATGTATTGTGACTTGCGGAGATGATATAAGTTCATTCAAAATGAAAAAGTAAGATATGATTACAGTATTTGAAGCACGGTAAAAAAAGATTATCGTCTTGTAATCTATTGCAAATTTAATTACGAGAAAATCTAGGAACACAAATTAATAATTACAACTGGATAATGAGGGAAAAAACACACACACACACACTAGAACAACTTAGACAAAACCAACCGAAAAAGAGAGTCATTATGACGTGTTTGGAGCTTTTTTTCCTCCGTTGGTTTTCACCGACGCCGACACTTCTAAGGTAACCGCTGACGAATTCAAGTTTACCTGACCCATTTCACTTTCCCATTCACACACACCACACCAAAAAACACGCACTAAGCGCAACAAAACAAACAGCAAAACCCCAAAAGTTATTCAAAAGTACTACCTGAACAGCATGAATGAATGACTCATTTGTTATTTTCCTTTTTTATTTGTAGTATATTTATTTTCTCTCTCTCCCTTTCTTCATAAATCATTATTACTCACTAAAGCTTCGAATCTCACAGCTTTCCCTTTAACGATGGTGACACCTACCGCTGAATGATGATCTCACCTTGCTCCTCCTCCTCTCTGCTTCATTTTTCCTCCCAAAATGTGTTTTTGGGTTGGACCCTTTTCAGTTTTCATTAGGCTCTGAAAAGTTTTGATTATTATTCCTCGTTTTTCTTTTGAGGTGATTTTGGGATTTAAGCTAACTTCTTGTTCTATCAGCTCAAGTGCTAGAGCTAGACTGTTAGTACTTGATATATGGGCAAGATCAAATCTCGTTGCATTCCAGCCTCTCTGCATTGGTGTATTTTGGTCGCTGTTGCTGTTTTTTGTTGTTTCAGTCCCGTGAATGGCAACACTGACCAGAATGATTGTAAGTTGGCTTCACTGCTATGATGAATAGTTTTCCTTTTCATTTCATCTGTGGAATGGCCTATATTTTTAGTTTCTTATTTGGGTTTTTTTTCCCCATATGGTTTTATCTGACGCAGTCAAAGTGTTGACTGTTTATGTGTTTTGCGAATATGTTGTAATAACTACCAATTAGGGGTTATTGTCCTTTAGATGTTTCATTTCATTGTAAATGGGGGATTTTGATATTACTGGTTAAAGCACATTTCAAAAATAGAAATTTGTTTGACATGTAATTTGTGAGGTGGACCGTTGATGGTGGTCTTTTGATTTTTCCTGCGTTTGATTTCATCTTTGGACTTGAGCTTTAAATGTGTTAATCTGTAAGCCAAAGACCAATATTTAGAAAACCTTTTAAAATGATGCTTGATTTGCTTGAATATTTGGATGCTCCAATTATTTACGTTTTTTCCCTCTAATTTGAAGATTATTAGGCCAATGCTAGTGATATCACTGAAAAGTTTTCTGTGTATATGATGATGAATGCTTTCATGAATTTCGCCTTTGACACAATAGTCCTTGCAACTTTTGCAGTGAATGCTCTTCAGGTTTTGTACTCTTCGTTGAATAATCCTCCGCAGCTAAACCGTTGGAAGTCAAGTGGGGGCGATCCTTGTGGAGAGTCATGGCAAGGGGTTACTTGTCAAGGCTCAGCGGTTACTTCCATGTAAGTAAATGTGGTACTGACAACAGTTTATAGTTCTGAGTTTGCTCCATCTTAAATGTCGAGTTTTGTTTGTTTTGGGACAGCCAATTATCTGGTTTAGGACTCAATGGAACATTGGGATACATGCTCAACAGTTTTATGTCTTTGCAGACGTTGTGAGTACTCCTTTTCTATTTAATCAATAGTGACCTTAGAAGCTATCAAAATTGATCATTTTTAACTTTTTCTTTTTAATTGATCATTTTTAACCTTGTTGTTGTTTGCTATTGATATGTCTCAGGGATTTGAGTAGCAATATCATCCACGATTATATTCCGTATCAGTTACCTCCGAACCTTACCAGCCTGTAATTTCTGCTACTATGAAACTTCTGTTTTGTCTTATATGTTGTTAGATTTGCTTATGCTAATAGAAATTTGGTTGTGTCTGCAGAAATCTTGCAAACAATAATTTGACTGGAAGTCTTCCTTACTCGCTTACTTCCATGCCTGCCCTTAATTATTTGTAAGTTGCATTGTCTGAATGGTTTTTGGTTTCTTCACTATTGTAAATTTTCTAGACCTTCTTTTGAGAACTTATACTCTGTATTTTATGATTCTAGGAATGTCAGCCACAACTCTCTTAGTCAAGGTATTGGTGACATCTTCAGCAATCATTCTAACCTTGCCACACTGTAAGCGATCTGAATTTTTAAGTGTCTCCATTATGTTTCCAGTTGCCTCCTGTTCTTCAGTTCTGTTCTACGGGTGTTTGGCATTACTAACTCTGTAGAAGAAAGAAGAAACTTTTTTATATCTCAGAAATGTAGCCAGGGAAATGGTTTATAATCTTACACACCAATCTAGTCTAATGAGTCTCCAAGATCTGAATTAGATGCTGTTTGTTGATGTTTAAGATGTAATATAATGAAGGGAAGAATGTATGATGGTATGACTGCATTTGGTGTATAATTTAGCATGAAAATTTCTAACCATTTGAAGTAATCATTGTGTTTATTTGCATACACTTTGCAGATGATTTGTAAATGTTTGATCGTTAATAACTGATATAATAGGTGCCCTTTACATCACTCTATTTTTCTTCTTCTATATTTGTGCAGGTTTACGCATATGATAAATATAAGATGTGACTGATTCAACCTTGAATATACGCCTTTTCATGTTTCTGAAACATGAACTGAAAAGCTAGAGTTATTTTGATATTTAACACTTGCAACGAAACTCGTCGTTTTGAAGCCTTAGACTGCTTGATGCTAGTTGATTTCAGTTTTTTGCTTGCGATGGATACTTGACCAGTATCAGTAACAAGCTATTTAGTGTCATTTTACATTGTAATATTTTTGAAGTTTGATATGGTAGCTGAAAATTTTGTTTCGACTTTAATGCTTTGCAGGGATCTTTCAGCTAACAATTTTTCGGGCGACCTTCCACCATCCTTTAGTTTATTATCAAACCTTTCCACTCTGTGAGTGTTTCTTGGTACGTCTTGGTGATGAGATAGTTGTTTTAGTTACTTGTTTCTCACTATTTGTATCTTCTTTCCTAGTTACTTGCAGAATAATCAATTAACTGGTTCACTAAATGTATTGGTTGGCTTGCCACTGAATGATCTGTAAGAGACACTCATATACCTTTGCACTTTTCAGATGTACTGAATCGGTCTGTCAGACTGTCAATTGAATATATAACTCACGAACCTTGCTTGCTTCTAATTTTTTTTTTTTTTTCTCTTTCTTTCTTATTGTCGTAGAAATGTGGCAAACAATCATTTCACTGGATGGATACCCCGTGAGCTTCTTTCAATACCAAATTTTAAGTAAGTATGAAACAATGCAAAATATCTCTATCTATTTGAATGGTTATCTTTTGATTTTTTTAGTTTAACTCTCAACATCTAACAGATCTGATGGAAACTCGTTCGATAATGGTCCTGCTCCTCCTCCACCACCGTACACCCCGCCTCCCCCGGGTAGACATCCATCTCCCGTAGCACCTCAACATCCTAAGAATAAACCATCAAACCCAGATAATTCTGGAAATGGAAAGAAGGGGCTTAAAGCTGGTGCTATTGTTGGGATCGTTTTGGGTTCTGTTTTGGTGGCTTTCCTGGTGCTAGTGGCTCTTGTTTTTTGCCTTAGGAAGGGTAAAAAGAAAGAAATTGCAGCCAGACCTTCTTCTGGAAGTCTTTCTACTGGCACGGGTATAGGTACTTATATTGCTGTTTCCCCATCAATTTTAGTAGACACTACTTATAAGTGTTCCATTTCATTTTTTTTTAATAAAAGATCCACCCCAGTGGACCCTACTTAAATGTGGGTAAAACCCCCCTTACAACCCCTGGTGGGAATCGAACCCTAGTCTATTACCAGGAAGGACAACAACCTAACCATTAGGCTGTCATTCAATTCCCACATATTTAATGGTGTCATCTTTTCTTCTTTGGTGGGTTTCTGTCTTGAATAAAGAACTCCTAACTTGGCATTTTTCATTGGGAAAAATTTGCTGTTTCACACTTCTTCCAATCTTCCTTGTTCAATCCTTTTAAATGATACTCTGGGCTGTTTCCTCCTTAATTTTTGCATACAGCAGAAAAGAAAATAAAAATTTAACAACTCTTCCATTTGGAGTCAAAAGTGGTAATCTTTGTGGTCCTTTCTTATTTGTAGTGAATAAAGAAATGCAAGAACAAAGAGCAAGAACTACAGCAACTGCCGTAGATTTGAAGACCCCTCCTGCAGAGAAAGTGGCAGTTGAAAAAATACCTGGAAGGAATGGATCAATGAAAAGAGCTAAATCCCCAATCACCGCAACATCTTATACTGTTGCTGCTCTCCAGACCGCAACAAATAGCTTTACTCAAGAAAATATTATTGGTGAAGGTTCACTTGGACGTGTTTATAGGGCTGAATTTCCTAATGGAAAGGTACTGCACGGTTTTACTTTGAAACTTGCTCGAACTATTCTTGTTGATGTAAATGGAGAAACTAAACACTCAGCTTTTCCTGAACCCGATTCTTTTGTGTGCAACTTCATGCCAGTTTAGTAGGCTCATTTAGAAATTGAGATTTACAACTTCTAACAAGGTTGTACCGTCATTGTTCTTTAAGTGGTACTTAAGATTTCTTATTTTTCAAATTAACCTGTTTCGTTGTTTGATTGTTCTAGATCATGGCAATAAAAAAGATCGATAGTGCAGCAGTATCCCTGCAGGAGGAAGACAATTTCCTTGAAGCCGTCTCGAATATGTCACGCCTGCGGCATCCAAATGTAGTTCAGCTGGCAGGATATTGTGCAGAGCATGGCCAGCGTCTTCTTGTTTACGATTATATTGGAAATGGTAGCTTGCATGATATGCTGCACTTTGCTGATGAGAGAAGCAAGTTGCTGACGTGGAATGCACGAGTCAGAGTAGCACTTGGCACAGCTAGAGCTCTAGAGTATGTAGTCTGCTTTTTAATTCATATTTTTGCAATGGAATCATCTTTGTTTGCTTGGGATTCAACAAAAAATAATTTTTTATGAAAACTTAGTTTACAAGAGTAATAGTTGATGAAAGCTGATTCATTTTCCTCTAGGTACTTGCATGAAGTGTGTCTGCCTTCAGTTGTACATAGAAACTTGAAGTCAGCAAATATAATGTTGGATGACGAGCTCAATGCACATTTGTCAGACTGTGGCCTCGCTGCCTTAACACCCAACACTGAGCGACAGGTAACTTTTAATGCTGTTACTTCTACTTATGCTGTGTTAGTTTCCAGCCACACTTATCTTTTCTTGGCTGTTGACCTCCTGATAGCTGGGCCATTTAAATATACTTTTCTGTTTTCTTCATTTGCTAGGAGGTCGAATGTGGGTGGGTAGGATAGTTTTTACATTACTTCTTAGGTCATAGTTGGTATATTTTAGATTCATCTTTAGCTGTCCCTGGACTCTGGCAACTAATTTCTGCCATGGATTGCTCTAACGTGTTTAATGATCCTCAATAGGTTTCTGCAGCCCAGATGGTGGGTTCATTCGGTTATAGTGCCCCTGAATTTGCTTTATCTGGCATATACACTGTAAAAAGTGATGTGTACAGTTTCGGTGTGGTAATGCTGGAGCTCTTGACAGGTCGCAAGCCACTTGATAGGTACACTATCTCATTTTAATCCGATGCTCACTTCAATCCTTGGTTTCTCTTCCAAATTGAAGATAATTGTTCCATTTTGTATGGGTGTTTTCTTCTTTTGTATCATGAATTGTTTATTTTGTTGCAGTTCAAGGGTAAGATCAGAACAATCACTTGTGAGATGGGCCACTCCTCAACTTCATGATATAGATGCCTTGGCCAAAATGGTTGATCCTACTCTAAATGGGATGTACCCAGCCAAATCGTTGTCCCGTTTTGCTGATATAATCGCACTTTGTGTTCAGGTACAGTTCTCTTTCGAAATAAAGCTTTAGCTAAACATATAGATCCTTGCTACTTTCAAGTTTGGAACAGAAAGAGTGTTTTTAATAAATAAGATGAAAAAGCACAAAGTTTGTTTGTGTTCTATGACAGTAGACCAAAATCTTGCATATGTTCTCTATGTGGAGAATTTGAGAATAATTTCAGCCTGTACATGTGTTAGCACAACAAATTAATTGAATTGGTCTGGCCTGTGGTTTCTCTGAGCAGCCTGAACCCGAGTTCCGACCTCCCATGTCAGAAGTTGTACAAGCCCTGGTGCGGTTGATGCAAAGGGCAACTTTTGTTACCCGGCGATCCAGCGAAGAATCAGGTTTTTCATACAAGACTCCAGATCACGAGGCATATGACATTTCATAACCAACCCCGATTGACAACTCATGCTCACCAGGTACCTTGGCCTGTCTGTGACTGCAACCTCTGCAAATTTTGTGCCCAATTGATGCAAAGGTCATTGTGGATGGATTACGTCTTCTTAAGAAAATAGGAAAAACGAAAGAAGGAAAAAAAAACTGGATCACTAGACCTGTTGCAGAGGAAAGAAAGAAAACTGTAATCATGGATGTCATGATCTAAATTCAATCGATGCATAGTACATTTGCCTTTGATATCTTAGGCAAGTATTGCTATTTCAATCTGTAAATTGGTCTTCTTTGTAGAAGGATCTCCACTTAAGTACCATTCCATCCATCCATCCGGTCCCATAAAAGTAGTCCATTAATGGCAAGTCATGTTTTTTTACTTTCCTTAATAAGAAACATGGTCAACGGTTCAGTAAGAAAAGACGGAGGCCAATGAAGTAGGGTTAAAATCCCAATGGAGTTTGGAATGCAATCTACAACCCCTTTTAGATCTAACAGGCTGGATCAAACGTGTTGGGTCTGTAAATAACAGACCCAACAACATGTTCATCCCATTTCCCCAGGAAGTTTTTATTTAGGGATAATCATTCTCCCTGTAACACTTTAATTACAAACTAACATAGAGTAAGTGAATTCCACTCTAATAATAAGGTGATTAATCTCAATGGTGCCATATATATTTATGATGATTGAGGTTCGTAGAGATGAGTATCATTATTCCACCGGTGAATAATTTTCATAGATTGAGTCCGTACGAAAGAGGAGATTATTGGTCTCACTCATCTCACATTGGCTACCAAAAAAAAAAAAAAAAACACTTAAAGGTATAGTAACTAATTTCCAAATGCACCTCACATTTGTTCTTAAAAAAAAGAAGAAAAAAAGCAATCCTCTTTTTCGCTCCAAACACATATTTTTGACCGACTCGCTATATATACGCATGCACAGGCATCTTGTCAATTTGTCAAATTTGTGACCCGGCTGGGCCCCCACATCCCAACGTTTTTCTTTTTTTTTTTTCCCTTTCCCGGTAAACATTCCTTTTTTTCCCTTTGAGGCTTTGGGTCTTTACTGTTGTTTGGGGGGTTGGAAGAACGTGAAAATTGGAAATATTACCCCGCAAGAATTTCAATTCTTGCAGAGATGCCCTCCCTTTCACCCGACATCAGTGACGACCCAGACGCCGGTGGGCCCCTCAGCCCTTCCCGAAGGACCCGTTACAACCCGGGTTTCTCCCGGAGCAACTCCTTCCTCAATTCCCCGACCGCCACCAGGTTGTTCTCCGGCTCCGCCAACTCTCCTTCCCCGCCTTCTTCCTCTTCCTCTCTCACCTCCTGGTTTGGGCTTGGGCCGGATTCCGGCAGGAAGAAGAGGAAATGGAAAGTCTGGCTTCACCGTCACCTGGGCCTGCTCCTGATTGTTACCTTCGTGCTTGTTTTTTTCCTTGTGAATTCCTGGATGCTTCTTCGGATCCGGGATTCGGGCCAGCCCGGTTCTGCCAAGATTAAGTTCAAGTTCTTGAAAATGAATGCTTCAACTGTATCCATCAAGGTGTGAAACTGAGTTTTATTTCCTTCTAATCATCTTATCAAATTTCCAATTATGTAATTTTCCCGCCCTTTTCTTCTTTTATTTATTGAACGAGTGGGATTCTCTTGGTGGAATTTTTGAATAGGAGGAACTTCTGAAGCTTGGTAGAGGAAAAAAGCCACATAAAACTATCTATGCTAGGTTGTTGGCAAAGGCTGCCCATGCCTTAGCTGAGGTACGTTTCTTTTCTGTTGATTTTCTCATTGTTTAATTAAATAGATAGAATTGCTTTAAATGGTCTTTTCCCGATCTTGTCTTGGGGGGGTCCTCCGTTGATGAAAGAAGACAAATATCTGATGGAATCGGATTCTTGTCTGATGTCTGAAATACTAAGATGGCGGAATTCTTTGATTTGTAACTCTTTGATAACCACGAGTGGATAAAGCTACTTCCAACGAGGTTTTATTATGTTCTTTTGCTTGAGCCCTTTTGTTGATAAATGTGAAACAAGAAAGTTTTGATTTGGAATACTGGATTGAAGTCCGAAAAGGAAGGGCTGAATCGTTGATTTGCTATTTGGATTTCACAGTTAAAGAGATTGAATATGTAACATGTTTATTTTATTGTACTGAAACTGTAACATGTTTTCCCAAGTTTTATTACCATGTTTCTAGAGCAGGAGTTTAGAGGTTCATTCAGCTGTTACTTTTGAGGCGTTTCCCTTTGTTATCTTATTTACCCCAAAAAAAATGTTATTCTGGAAATGATGTTGGTCTGTTATAGAGTTGGAATTGATTTTGATAATGCTACTACTGAATTCAGGGGCACGATAAACCAGAGCCAAAGGACCTGTGGGTGGAACCCTACCTTCTTGCTTCTTCCTGGAAACCTTGTGCTGATCAGCGTGACTGGAATCCTAATGGTATCTCAATCTTTCATTTTGTGTCTTCACATGCATCAACACGTGCAGAAGTCTAGCATACATACATTTTAATTTTCTTGAGTTTAGGGCTCTTTATTTACATGTTTTGTGGAGCTAATATTGCCATGAAAATGGTTTTCTCTTTATTGCAGAAGGTACTTATGGTTATATCATGGTCACTGCAAATGGTGGGATAAACCAGCAGCGAGTTGCTGTAAGTTATGTGTATGGTGATCTTTCTACTATTGGATTAAACATTATCTTTCATATCAATTGTGGGAACCATTATCGATCATTAAAGTTCTAAATTTTTTCTAATTACAGATATGCAATGCTGTTGCTGTTGCTAGATTACTTAATGCAGTACTTGTTCTCCCTGAGTTAATGTACAGCAGTGTGTGGAGAGATGCAAGGTGAATCTTACTTTCAAAAGGTTTAAGCCTGTTTACGTGCATTTGGTTCAAACTTTTGGCATTTGATGAAAATTATGTTGATGCTAGGTTTTTTAATCGTCAATTTCTTTATTACGATTATGTACAATTTTCAATACGTACCACATATGGAGCAATGTCTCCTGATGGCAAATGCTGCCTGTTTTCACGTATCTTGATCCTCTCAATATATTTGAAATTTTATTTTATGTTTTTTAGAATCACTGGTTTGAAGTAAATATAAATTCTTATTATGCTCTTTGAGCGGAAAACTGATGGCCAAATTGATAATTTCTAGCCAGTTTGGCGATATCTATCAGGAGGAGTATTTTATCAACTATTTGAAGCCTGATGTTCAGATAGTAAAGGAACTTCCAAAGGAGTTGCAGTCACTGGATCTGGATGCTATCGGCAGTGTGGTTAGATTCGCCACTAATTTTAAATAACAGTTTGTATCTATGTCTCAATTGAAAATGTATATGGAGGCTCTTGCTTACACTTGGTGTTTCTTTTAGGTGTCAGATGTAGATATAATGAAAGAGGCCAAACCAGGTTTTTACAAAAAGCACATCCTTCCTATCTTACTCCGTAATAGAGTGGTGCATTTTGTTGGATTTGGGAATCGTTTGGCATCAGATCCAATACCATTCCAGGTGCAGGTAAGGGATTACTCTAATGCTACCTACATTGTCATTTTAGGATTTCTATGTTATTTCCTACCTTTTTACTCTCTTCTGTTCACTTTTCCTCTAATTAAATACCCCATCTAGAGACTTCGATGCAGGTGTAATTTCCACGCTCTGAGATTCATTCCAAAAATACAAGAAACTGGAGCGTTACTCATTCAACGAATGCGTCAAAATGTGACTCGACTGGGGCCATTGGATAACCAACTTCTTGGTTCATTTGCAAAAATGGAAAACAGGACTCGAAAACCTCAGGCAAAAAAAGTTTCCAAGTATCTGGCTTTGCATTTGAGATTTGAAATTGACATGGTGGCACATTCATTATGTGAATTTGGTGGAGGTTCTGCTGAGCAACAAGAACTAGAAGCTTACCGTAGAGAACACTTCCCTGGCTTAGTGGAGATAACAAAGACTAGAAAGTATGCTTACTTACCTGTCTTAAAACATCTCGTAAAATTGATTATGACTTATAAAAGATTGTATTTAGTGTGTTATGCTACTATATTGATGTTGCTGTGGTCACATAATATTAGAGACATGAGATCCATGCTGAATACTTTGAAACTTTGTGTGCTGCTTGATGTGTTTGTTAAGTTACTATTGTTGCTGAGTGAAAATTCATTAATTAGTTGTTTGTGCAACTTTTTGATCTTGTTGTGCTCGTGATTTGTATAATTTTAAGGCATACTTATTTGTAATCTAGAAAATTATTGAACTTTGAGTAGTTGGATTCCATTATATTGCACTCATTTGTTCCATGTCATGGTTAAATAACTCTTTGCAGGATACCTTCCCCAGAAGAACTTAGAGCAGAAGGTTTATGTCCATTGACGCCTGAGGAGACGGTACTTATGCTTGCAGGCCTTGGTTTTAACCGTAAAACACGCATATATCTAGCTGGAGCACATATTTATGGAGGGAAATCAAGATTGGCTGCACTTACTACGTTGTTTCCTAATTTGGTTACCAAAGAGAACCTGCTTTCTTCAACTGAGATTGAACCATTTAGGAATTATTCATCCCAGGTAAATTTGCTTTTTTATCCTTATTAGATTAGGGCTTATGCATCAATGTTAGGGTAGCTCATTAGACCATTATACTTGACCAGCTATCTCCTAGGAGCACCATGTCTAGTCTTTACGTGAACAAAAAGATATAGGTGGTTCACACCGGAGGACCACGTTGTCGGTGCAGGGATTGGTCCTGTACCTGTATGCAAAAAAAGTTACTTCTATGATATTACTTTGATGAACATTGTGGAGAACTGATCAAAGTGGGAAAATGAAATAGGGACCCTCAGTCGTAATATGCTATCTTCTAGAATACACCAGAATTTTTTATGCACTATTTGCAACTTCCTCCATGCTAATAACCAAAGAGAGAACATTTGGTTGTTCCATGTGACCCAAAGCCGGATCCATGACATCGCTGACTAGTGAAATTTATTTGCAGTTAGCAGCTCTAGACTTTATCGTGTGCACAGCAGCCGACATGTTTGCCATGACAGATTCAGGAAGCCAATTTTCGTCTCTGGTGTCTGGTTACAGGATATATCATGGAGGGGGGAAAATGCCCACGATTCGGCCTAATAAACGCAGACTTGCTGACATTTTTGTAAGGAACAACACCATAGAATGGAGGGTTTTTGAACTTAGAGTGAGAAAAGCTATCAGACAAACGAAAAGGGTATTTTCACGTCCTATAGGGCGCAGTGTGTATAGATATCCTAGATGTCAAGAGTGCATGTGCGATACTGATGTATTTTTAACCTAATATATTTTTTTCTGGCCAATTTATAAAGATCTCATTCTTTCACAGAAAAAATAAAAAAAGTATGGATGTTAATCTTGGAATTTAGCTTTAAGCTTGAAATTGCAGGAAGAGAATGTTGGAAGTATGGGTGATCGAGTTGAGATTAATGTTCCGAAGTTGTGAGTTGCAAGGTGTTATTGTTGGTTTCACGAACATAGCATAATTTAGTCTGGTTTTATAAGCAGAACGAACAGGCATATTCATGTTCATTAACATAAATTTGTCATTTCTTTTGTGCTTGTATCGCGTTAAAAAATATACTCGTACTGGAAATGCCTGTTGTATCAGAAGTCCTCTAATTGATGGATATGAAAAGAAAATGCATGTCTCTTTTCTTTGCTTCACTTCAGTAACACTATTTCAAGTTCCTGTTTGGTAGAGAGTCAAGACAATGAAACAGGAAAGACTGATATTGGCAATCTTACAATGTGATTGAGGCTTCCTGTAAAAACAAGTTCACCAAAGCTGAAGTCATTAATTGCTTCCGTAACAGTAAGTTTTATATCCAGAACTTGAATTCCTCCGGCGGCAGCCACTCTAAACGACTGTGGATGTATATCGATTGCCACTCCACGTGGAGGCAGCCCTGCACATACATAGGTCTCTGCCTTGCTTCCCACATTCATCATTCTCCTGCGAATCGTTCTTGATCCGGTTAGCGCTGTTATGGTCACCGAAGGCACGTTCAGGTCAGCCGGACTTCCAAATGAGGGAGTGCATGATCCTCCTGTCACTGCATGAATCGATGAGGGATCCACGTTTGGAAGCGAACACAAGAAGCTGACATAATCTCCGTATCCTGTTTCATGACAACTCAAAAACATGAGTACAAAAGGACTGTGTCTATGAAGTGATTGTATTTACAGTTCATGAGGAATTTACCAGCTGGGAAAACTAGTCCTGGATCAATAGCACGACTGGGATCGACATGCCCAGAGCCAAAGCCAAATGGAGCTGCTGTGTATAAGCTATCGATCTCGTATCCACGGGCCATAATTATATCTCCTTGATTGTCATATTTTGTGGCAGTTGTTGACATTGCTGAAGCAATCATGGACGGAGTCCATGTAGTATGGTTCTGCTTTAGAATTGCTGCTATACCTGCAATGTGAGGTGTAGCCATGCTGGTACCAGATTGTAGAGCAAAGTTTTGTCCTGTAAAAACATCATGCTAAAAAGTTTGATTTTTTTTTACAAAGATGTATGCAGAGAATACAGCATTTGAGAATACCAGCAAGTATGGGATCTGAAACACTCATGGGATTCCAAGCTCCCCAGATTTGATGCCCTGGTGCCAAAATATCAGGCTTAAGCACATCTACTGCAGTCCTGTTTCGATCTTTATAATCAGGTCCCCTTGCAGAGAATCTGCTGATTATCGGTGCTCTTCCTGCGTAAGAAGCTGTTCTTCCCTCACCAATCGACGCTCTTCCATCATATCTTATCACGCATCCGCTCTTGTCTCTGATAGTTTGTTGGTCATAGTAGCGAGATATAACCTAGGAAAACCACCTGAATTATCACTTCTAGTCAAGCTTACTAGCATAACAAAAAAACAATGCAATAATATAAGCTTGCTCACTTGTGCATCTTTTGTTCTAGGGATCATTATGCCTGAAACTAAGAAGGGAATAGCCTCAGCTATGAAATCTCCATATTTTGGATTTGAAACAAGCACAAACCCCATAAAACCAAGACTTTTCGCCGTCTGAATAACCGCTGTCAGGGTTGAAGTTCCGTTATAGAAACCATCTGAAAATGTGCAGATCACCACACTTCCTAGCACCACTTCAGGAACCAGTGCCTCAGGATGTTGGCATTCTTCTAAATATTCTGATGTTTTAGGAAAGTCTCCATCTGCTCTCACTGCATCTTTGGCTAGGACCAGTTTATGTTGAAGTAAGCCTTGCCCGAAACTTGGACCTAATGCAAAGATTCAACAGACACAATCTAGTTGCAACCACCAGAACAGAAGAAAAATGAAGAACAGAAAGTATCTCAAACCAGGACCAAACAAAACTTGTGCATTACCTGATAATCCCACACCACTAATCTTTTGACCATTACCTAAAATGAGGGTGCCAGGGTAATTCCTGTCAGTTTCAGAAGCAGCAACTCCAAAAGCCCAAGGGCTATATGACACCACAGTATACGGACCGGGGCCTGTATTACCCACAGCTTGTACTACAAATTTGCCAGCCTTATTGGCTGCTAGCATGAAGATGTCATACATGCCTAAAAATGTGACAGTGTCCGCGGGTGGCTCATCCGGTCCTATGGAAAGCGTTATGATGTCCACTCCATCCAACACAGCCTGCAAATTTCATTTCTTTCATCAAAAGTAGTTTTGCAGTAACAATATAATCACTCAACAGAAGTTCACGTAGTTTTGAGACTTAAAAGAGAAATGCCTAGAATAAATCAAAGTTACTTGGTCAATTGCAGCCAATACATCTGATAAAGCCCCGATACTTGGATAAATAGCTTTGTACACTGCAATCCTGGAGACCACAAAATCAAAATAGCAGTATAATTTTGGGTGAGAAATGCTCCGGGTATTACTGAATTTGCTGATGCAAGGTAAAATGAAAATGGATATGTATACCTCGCACGCGGTGCCATTCCACTGGCTCTTCCATAATAAAATCCATCTACAACAACAGGAACTCCATGGTTTCCAGCAGCAATGGAAGCTACATGACTATACATCACAAGGAAACATCATTCTCATCATAAAAGTCAGCATGACTGCCATTATTATGAATAAACAGTTATAGGAAAGAAAAAAAAAACTATTTTTTTTTTTGTTTGCCATTTCTATGACAGCAGCAATGCAGCATATATATCAACAGCCACTTTGTCAAAACATGTAATTGGAGAAATTTAAATCCATGAATAAAAAAAAAAGGGAAATTAAGTGAATGAATTAACTCTTACCTCCCATGACCTACGGCATCATAAGGGGAGTGAAAATCCGCAGAAGAATTAAGTTTGCCAGTAGCTTCAGCCCCAGCTGAGAAGAACCTAGCAGAAACTATCTTGCCATTGCAAGAAGTCTCAGGAAACAAAGGTCCGCCCTGACAGATCCCCGAAAAATGAGGAGGTTTCGACGTGTAAGGATCAGTTGGATCATGATCAGGAGCAAAGCTGGGATGAATAGGGTTTATTCCTGAATCAATAACACCGATCACCACGCCTTCACCAGCATTTCTGTCCCCGCCTTCTTGCGTCCAAACTGACGGCAAACCTAAAAACTCAGGTGTGTAAGTTGTCATTTGTTTCACTCTTCTATCCTTCTCTACTAACTTCACTCCACTGGCATTCTTTATTCTGTCAACCTGATTTATACCAAAAAAACAATGGATCATGAACCCTGAAATTAGAAAAATTTAATGGTTCCAAGGATCAAAAACAACTTGAATGTGGGTAAAAAAGGTTTTGCCTGAGTTGGGGTAGTATGGACAGCGAAGCCATTAACAATGTGTTTGAAGCTGTAAAGCTTGGTGTAGCTTCCAACATCAAGAGCCTTCTGTAAAAACTCGTCGTGAGAGTTGATCAAATGCTTTGCATGCATGGCCTTTGATGCTTCGCTATAGCATTTCACACCCCACAAGAAAAAAAAAAAAAAAAGTTACATTTTACTGACGTGACAATTTCTATTAAGCATATGATATAATTAAAAAATAAAAACCATATAAAAAATTCTGGTGTTACATAGACATTCATTTCATAGTTATATTTTTTTACATAAGTATTGAATGATTGACGTGTGATCACCTGTTGGGATGAGGCTTTCCTTGCTGATGAAATGCAACGGGGTCTCCTTCCATTAGAACTAAGTATGTGTGGCGATCTTCTCCATTGCATAAAACAGCAAATACATAAATCAACACCACTTTTAGCCCAACTCTACAGCTTTCCATGGTCTAATTATTAAGATGTGAATTAAATGCTGAGATTTGCACTGAAAAATTTAGGGTTTGAACTTTGAAACAATTGCAATTGAAAAACAATTAAAGCACTCGATTAATCTGGCATTTTTTTGACATGTAGTAGTATTACAGTACACGAATAAATTAATCACCAGATGGTTATTGATGTATTGCTGAAATCCCGTAAGAAAGCTACACTGCGCATGGTTGACGTGAATAAAGTTGGGTTCGCTGAGTTTCCATATCAGAATTAACGTGAGATGAACAACAGTTACGTACGTTTCGCCGCCTTCTCTTTTTTTTTCTTTTTTTTTTCCTTTATTTGCATTCGGAATAAAGGTTAACAATAAGAAGGAAAAACTTATAGTCAAATGTTTTTCTTGCAGCTTCTTCTGTTTGTAAGATGTGACATAAGTTTTTCAGTTGTTACCAGGATGGCTGCTCACAGTATCCAACCAAGAAATTTTCCATTTAAGGATACGTTTGTTTCGATTTTTTAGTGTGTGTTTGTAGGTGTTTTTTATATTGGGAATGTAAAAATATACATTTGAAATATAAAAAAATATTGTGAGATGAGACAGTTATTATTTTATTATTACGAAAAAACCATCCAAAAAACAAAACAAACAAAGCGTTAAGCTTTTACCAACGTATTTCACTTGAAATCTTTCTCTGTTGATTTGTAAAGCATAATTGTTCCCAACCGAAAGTGGCTCCATGTATGATGAACTACTGCATAAAAAAGCATCTCACAATTCCCTACGTATAAATCAGGAAATTACCCCCGATAATTAACTTTCTTTTCCCCTATGCTACTTGCATTCTTATCATTCAATTAGGTGTCTTATTATTTGTAATGTATCGTCTTCAAAATGGTCTCTATATTAATTTTTATTGAGCAATGTCTTCAAAATGGTCTCCTCCCTGTCCCAAATAATTAATTTTTTAATTTTTAATACAAAATTAAACTAAAAATAAATATAGTTCGAGGTGCAATTTAATGATAAACGCCTCATCTGTTAAGGAATAAATTACGATTGACGAATAAATTACGAGTTCAAGTCATGCCTAGGGTAATTACGGGTTCGAATCACGCCAGAGATAAGTATAGAATCATTATTGATCCTTATAAAAAATTAAAAAAAAAAAAAAAAAAAAAGCTCCACCGCCTGAAAGTTCTGCAGGTTTTTTAAAAGTTGCAGAAACAAGAAGGCTTCACCGACTGAAATTTTGGGCGATGTCTCCACCAGCTGTAGCTGTGAAATTACCAAACGAATCTTCTGCGACATCCATATATAAAAGTGAGTGTGTGTAGAACTGTAGATGGCTAATGATGGTCACATAACTTCAATTAAAAAGCTAAAATTAATACACAGACCTTGGCATTTTCAGCAAGGCCACAAATATGTAACTCCAAATCCTCGTTATTTCATAAACACACGAGATTAAAATCCACAATTACAAGGCACCTACAGTTTGTTTTTCAAATCTATGCACTACACAAACTACAACTACCCCGTCTCTGGAGTCCAAGGACATGAATTCCAGAGGCAGTACAAAGAAACCAACAGTCCTAATCTTCAGCAATGTACAAGAAGACACAAACAGCACCAGAATGGACGACAACTCCATCCATCTCTTCACCAGCATTGTTGCTCTTCCAGCTAGGCAGCATCCTTCTTCAGCCGCTTTGCTTCCGTCTGTAACAAATCAGATGCGTCATTATAACATGGATATATGATATGAACAACAATTCGTACTGTTCCTCTCTTCGAGCAAATAAATTAGATAGAGAAAAGCATGTAAAGCTAGCGAAGAGATCCTCTTTAGCCGAACATGATAAATCCACCTAAACCAGCATCTAGCTACTTCAGCAAAAGTCATCATACAAAAACAAACATTTGATAAGAAGATATCAGAGCAGGTCCATCATCAAAACAGTAACCTTGGAGATAACTCAGAGCACCAAAAAACATATAACTATGATAACTCAACGGATCATGATCCATAGATCCAGAATTGACAAGGTACTGAGATCCTCTATCAACTGTAATGGCTGCTTAGGATCATCATAAAGAACCAAAGATTTGAATTACAGTAATTGTTCACCCAGGTTACATTCTCCAACAAATTCCCTTTGCTTCAAGAACACAACATGTATATACTTCCCCACATTACTTTCTCTCAGACTATTGGAAAAACAAGACGAGTGACAAACATTGAGATAATAACTGAAAAATAACAAATCGAGAAGGAAGCTGGAAAAAAAATCATCTACTGCTTCCTACATGCAAAAAGGATCAAAGGATATCATGAAGTTAATTTAAATTGCTTAAGATAAAAAGGGGAAAAACAGACGATCTTTTTGTTGATTTAAAAATTCCCCCGCAATGAGTGAGGTACTCAGCTACCTATATCTTCTTTGTCAGCAATTAATCTTCATACTGCCAAATAAAAAAGTAATATAGATCTTTGAACTGATGCCAACTGACACACAAACAAATGGTCTTGTGTCCACAGTAAAAATCGGTACCCATAATCCCACCTTAACACTCGGTATCGGGGAAGCAGTTGATGCCCCCTGAGGCTTGTTTACATCAGGAGATCCACAATCAGTACAGACAAACAAATCCAAAAGCTTTGCCTGTTCTATAGTCATCCCCAAACAAGCTGGATGGAACCTACATCAGTGACATAACAGAATGCTGTTAATGAAAAACATTCAGCAATAAAAGCAGATTGAAAGCTTCTGGGCAGTATCATAGGATAAAACAGATTCATAAAGAAGTAGGACAAAGATGTATGATTCAAAAACATATTGGTTTTTCTAAAGTGAAAAGGCTAATTCGCCAACTTCAACTTTTAAGTTGCTGGATGATCTTTTCTCTTTTCTCCATTATGAAGATGCAGAGGGGGTTTACCAAAGAACGAATAAAAGCGGTGGGAAGAAAAAAAAAATACAAGAAAAATAACGTTTCACTCATAAACGTCAAAATACTAAAAAAAAAAAAAAATTGTTGTCAAACGTGTGAAAATACAAGATAATACGTGTCTGACAAACCTATCCGAGATTACTCATCTGTAAATAGGCAGAAAGAGGCACACAAGTGTCCTATACCCTTTTGACATCAAACAACTAATAGAATCCTAGTGACATGCAAAGTCAGTAATATATGATTGCCATCAAACAATTAATAGATTCCTAGTGACATGCAAAGTCAGGAATATATGATTGACACGTTTCCTCATTTTCCAATTTCTCCAGGCACTAAGAAGAAAAACACTATCACTTAAACCCTCCATCCACAACTTCATTAAACCTAGAACCACATGCATTGCCCAAATTTTCATTTTTACTTCCATATTTACTCGGCACATTGCACAACTATGAGGAAGAAGGAAGAAAAGAACAAAACCTTATGGTTCCTTACCAGTCTCGACATCCCTCACATTGTATCATCAGATCATCAGGATTGTATGGCATCTCACATTTGCAGTATCTAATTGAATTGCCAAAAGATAGAGTGCACATCAACAACAAAGCAAAGTCAGAAAAATAAGAATAAAAAATTGACTTTGAACAAGAGTATTATGCAAAACTCACACTGCAACACGATCTGGAACAAAAGCTCCAGTAGTGGCTTTGTATTCGAATCTGCAAAAGTAATCCTCTAGTCCTACACTTTCAAGCTTGGTATAATTCTTGAAAGAGTGAACAACACACTTTCCTTCTATTGTGTGTGCACTCTGAACATCATAGTGGTCTGAAAGGAACAACTCCTTGGACCCATGGAACTGTCTTCGCCCTCCAAGTGACTCCTCTGGCCTATAGTACCACCGCACCTTAACCTTGTGATTGTTGCGGGTATCAGCCTCAATTTTCTCAACCCGGGCCACATAAGGAGCCTTACCATTTTCTGGGGGACGCAGCAAGACACAGTCACCAGCTGCAGAATCCAAATGACACAGTATTAGATTGACCTCACTAAGTTATCAACATACACACAAAATATAATCAAAGGAACAAAAGAGGCATTCCATTTCGGTCCCTATTTACTTTTCACATTAAAAATAGGGGCAAAATTACACCGACAGAACCAACAATTGCATCATTCACATGCATGCGATGAAAGTAAGAGGCTACAAGCCAGCATTGAGCATCACACAAAGCAACACAGAGCAAAGCAGAAAATAAAATACAAAATAAAAATAAACGGAAGAAAATCCTATTTCCACTTACCCAACCCTCAAAAAAAACAATCATTTCAAACCCAGATTTTTGCAAGGATCGTCAGAACAAAAAAAGAACTGCAAAACACCAAACATGCATTGTTGAATCAGCCAAAAGAACATGTCTTTTTTATGACCTGCATGTAATCAACAATCAGCCCATTTAAAAGATAAAAATTTTAACAGCATCAAGAGCCAAAACACAGCCTAAAGCCTTGGGGAAAAAAAAACCCACCGCAAACAAGAAATCACTCATTTCAATCACTCCAAAAAAAAAAAAGAAAAAGACAGATTTGACACCCCTTAAAAATGGGTCATTTTTAGAAAATGAACACCACAGAAAAAAATAAAAATAAAATAAAAAATCAGCAGCACCAAAAGCAGGAGGCTTGTATACCTCGAACAACTTTATTAGAGCCCTTGATGGTGAAAGAGTCCAAGTCTCGCTTGCCAGGTCTGGTCTTGGCCATGGAAAAAATGCAGAGGGTTTGGGTTTTTTTTCTTGTCTTGAGTGTGCTCCCAAAGACTGAGCTTTCTTTCTATTTTTCCCTTTTCTTTCTTTTCCGTTTTCCTGTCTCTGTTGGAATATCTGGGAAATAAATAAAAGGGTAATTTTACAGATTTTATAGAGAGAGAGCTGGGTCGGTGATTCTGTAATTAATAATAATAATATTATTATTGTAATCGTAAAAAATCTAGAGGTGCTGTTCCTGATTGTGATGGTCAAGGTTAGAATATCAATATCTAAGGCACTTTCTCAATTTTTGTGAAGTTTGAGGACTATTAAGAAATTCCAAATTACAAGGTTTAATTGTTTTTTTTTTAAGGAAATAAAAGGTTTAATACAAAAGCCCGAGTATGTATCTACGCTTATCATTTTTAAATCATTTTTTTTGTGGAAACTAACAAAAAATTGTAATATCAATATTTGTTATATGTTACGAATTTATCAATGTTAGATAAATTTCCTCTCACTTTTTTTCTTTTTTTGGTTTTTAAAAACAATGTATATAGCAATATTTGAAAATGTAATCAAAATGCGTAGCTATTACTGTATGTGAATGAAAGTAAAATGAAAGATTCATCAAAATTATCACTAATATTTTTGAAAGACAACGAATGTTAGAGAAATCATAATTCAAAAATATTTCAATAGGGAGCTATCTTACATAACATTTTATTTCAATTATGGATAATAGAGGAAAGTATTAAATGTTAATGATGATATATTCAAGGAATTTATGTGTTGTTTAGTAAGTAGTATTTATATGCTGATCTACATGCACCTTGCTATTCAATAATTTCAAGTGTCACACTCACACTGGAAATGCTGAATATATATATATATATATATATATATGTATGTGTGTGTGTGATTTTAGACAACCATGAATATATTATTTTAATCTAACCAAGTGGTCAATATTTATAGGAAGGACCGAAAGAGAGAAGAATAAAAATCAAAGATTGTGTGGAAAACTTGCAGGTTGATTTTGGTAATATGGTAAATGTTGCATTGACTAATACTATAATATTACTAGTTTTTACAGGCGGTGTAGGTGATAATATTGGGTTTGTTCAATGCATGTCATTTATGAGTCAGACGTAAAAAGTTGAGTTACATTCGGTGAACGCTATCTACAACCACATATAATAATTCAAAATGTAAGGTGGACGTCATTAATGGTAATTAAATGTTTTAATTGTTGCAGCTGTATTAGGTTGTAGACAAATATTAGGTCGTCTTAATTATTATTAGTATTATTTCTGTAATTACTTTCTTACCAAATTTCTAGTCACCAATCACGTACTACTCTCAAAGCCCAGTTAGTTTCCGAATCCAGCCGATTCGTTATGGGCTCTTTCACGGGCTCATTAATTGAGATAAGGTCCACAATTGTAGCACGCCCTTGTAAGGCTCTGAGATTTATAAATGGGCGGGCTTACAAGGCCTCCTGGGATTCACTTAACATGTTTGTGCAGGGAAGCCCCGTATTACATTTTTTTTTCCCCAATACATTTTTATTTTTTTGTTAAAAAAAAAGCAATAAAAATACAAGTAAATAGGGATTACGGAACATGCGAAATGTAGGAGAAGTAGAGTAGGTGGTGAATAGAGCATGAAATGAAATGGCAGCAAGCAATCCTGTACAGTAGATAAAAGTTACTTGACTATAAAACCATATTCCTATTTCGGTAGGAAAAAGAAAAACCATATTCCATTCACCCAACGTAAAACTTTGGAGAAAATAAATGAAGACCCCAACTCTCCGGAAACAACATTCCATACATCTAAAGAGGTCAAGCCTAGACAAACCATCATGGAGGCTGGTTGACTCGGTACATATACAGTTACTAGATTTATCGATTATTAACTTAGCCATAAAGATAAACTTACTTGATAATAATTATATCTATAATCCAACTGTTATATTTGTGACATAATGTACCTTGAACATTTCACCAAATGTGTATGACATAATCCAACTTAGTTCATACTTCATATTATACATACACATCCCTGCACACATATAAGATTAGGAATTTGCTTTGGTTTGGTCTCTTTCCAATAACATGGTCTATATTCATACACTTCATACATGCATGCATAAAACTTTAGTTGAAAGAACGTTTTAGGCACAAAATACTGAAATAGGGGTGACGAAGGTAGTAATAAGTTGTCTTGAGTGATGAGGGCGGGCATCTATCTCCAACTTGGTGAAACAGTTCACATCCATCCATAGTGGCTTACTATAAATTTTGGACAAGAAAAAAAGCAAATTGTTGTCGGCCAAAAAGATATATATACATCTTTAGTGTAGTCTATCTCAAACCTAAAAAGATTTTTCTGATCTAGGGTTCGGTCCACAAGAGGACCCCTTCCTAGAAATAATATCTACCAGTCCATCTTTGTGTAAGAATATTTAGCCAATCACGTAAAGGAACAGAAGGGTTGTGTGCTTTAATTTGGTTTTGAGGGGTTTATGTTATCTGAAATTTCGACCAAATTGTAGTACAATAAATGAACATCCGATATCAAGTTAATCCTCTTATAATGGAGACTGAGAATAATAAATTATTAAGTGACATGAAAATAAAATTTAAGAAAGCAACACTGGAGAACCAAGGTAGGAGCAAGTATACCTGTAATTAGGGTAAAAGAAAAAAAACAACCTTTTAAGGATAGTTTGATTAGTCAGTCATCGTCGTAAAGAGTTTTCTTCAGACATCAACTTGGGACTTGGGAGGAGATGGATCGGACCTTGCACACAAGCGGGTGAAGCATTTATTGGGAATTTGGAGTCATTTGATTGTGGGAGTAGGAGTATAAATCTGGGAATTTGGAGGTCAAATCATGCACGAAAAGGAAAATGAATAGAGAGTTGAAAGTAGATCCATAATATAGAGGCCACTCACGGGACGATACGATAAGCCTAATCTTGTTGTATACTATATATATATTATTGCATGCCCAAAATGCAAACCCCATCTTTTTGTTATTGCAAACTTGCTCATCAAGTGAAACACTCCAAACCCAATCAGATACAACATTTATTTCAGACATCCTCCGCCATTTTTGCACTTTGTTCTCCTCATTTTCAAACCTTTGTGGGGTCTCCTTTCCAAGAGTTCGATACTAGCTAGTAAGGATGGGAAAACAAAGTATTGGCACTAATTTAACATGAACGCTGCAATTCTATTGTCAACTTGTAATTTGCGAACTTTAGATTCAGAAACACACTTGGGGCTGAATGAAAGCCAAAACAGTCAAATTATTGTGCATTATATACACAAAAAAGATGTCAGTGATATGTATTAGGATTAAAAGCATTAAACCCTAATTTTTAAATTTAATTACAGTGTTTACTTACTTTGCGGAACGGATGTAATTGTCAGTTTCCGGGAACCAAAGTATTCGAATTGGTCCGGGCAGGAGAAAGTCAACAAGATGCGGAAAACTCTTCGGTGCCCTTAGAGGTTTGACAGGTTGATTAAGGGTAACCTGACCTTTAATACGAAAAGTCATGATTAATTAGGGATTAATCCTAGGTAAAAGTTCAAAAGGGTAAGCAAGTCATCATGATTTCACCATCACTATCAAAAAAAAGATTCCTAATTTGGAAGCTGTTTATTTTGCATTTCAAGTCATGGGACTAATTAATTACACAGATGTGGGGTGATCTGATGAAATGATTAAGGCAAATGTACTCTACAACGGATAGGCCCCAAAAGGGATTACGTAAAAAAAAACCACTAATTAGGATCAAATCTCATGAGCATAAAGATTTGGGTTGTTAAGTAAAGTGTAATCATTGTTAATTGTCATTACTGGCATAATAAAGCTCAAAAGGTCACTTCCTTTCTCCAATTTAAATACCATTACTATGCGTTAATCCCATTTTTTAATTCTACCAAACAATTACACTAAAAAGGACTAGAGAGAGATTAGCTATATATGTAGCTAGCTATCTAGCACCAATTTAAATAACAATAAGAAAAGGGAAGATGGTTTCTCCTTTTTTCCATTCTCAATCATGCTAACTGCTCATGGAAGTGACGTAAAGCAAAATACTTCACAGTCCTAAAAGCTTTTGGGAAGAGCCAGAACACCCTAGCTAGCTACTTAGGTAGGCTTCCCTATTTCACAGATGTACCAAGTTTTTACACTCATATAATTTTCAAAACTTAAATGTATACATTACAGCCACATTAGGAATAATACATTCATCTGAAAAATTCCACAAAGGAAAAGAAAAAAAGAAAGATATAATTATATGCTTAACCCATGGATTAGGCCTTTTAAGTAGTTCATTATTACCTATCTGCTTATATATAGTAATGTTAGCTAGACATGCAAGACGTACTGACGTATAAATCCCTCCGAAACTGATAATCAGCTCATCTTTTCAAAGCAATCTGCTTTTTATTCTTTATGCAGATCTGTTACTTTGATGGTTTCTTGTACTAAAAAACTAAACAACGCCTAAACCTAAGACCTAAACACCTAAAAATAAAAATATTTCTGTACTGAGTTCCCAAATATTTCTGTAGCCTCCTTCGAATTTCTTATATATATTGTCCGTGCAATGTAGCCCTACTTTTCATTAGCTTTAATTGCTTATAATGATGAACTTGGGTCTCAGTTTTGAGTTTATTACTCCTCCTTTTACAGTTTTACTAGCTACTCAGGTTCAGTCAGGGCATGTCATTATGATTCGCGTTTAAGACTACTTTGGAAGCTACTTGCCACGTGTCGACGGGGTTTGCCTTGTGGTAATAGCTTCTTTGTTTTTTCCCCCATTTTCCTTTTACATTCTGCTCTGAGACCATTTATCATTATATTGAAAAAATATATAAATTGTTTGGCGTAATGTAAAATGAAAAAATAAATGATTGGCTACACATTATAATCTCATTAATGGATCCTGTAGTAGACTCTTTCCCGGAGTAAAGATCTCATAACTTGAGACTTACTTAGGGGGTAACAACTTTTCGTCCCTTCATTAGGTTGAACAACTTAGGGGGTAAATCTTCATACTTTTTTTACCTGACATCTTAGATATTTGACAGGAAAATCGAAATATT